TTGATTTGATTGATCACGGAGTTCCATTGTTTCCAACCGAGAAGCACAATGCGCATGCGTACATACGTCGTTTGCTGCCAGCCTTGGCGACCTTGTTACATCTAATCAAACACTGTAGCGTTGAACATATCCGGTGCATTATAATTGTCATCTTAACAACGATTCTATAATGAGAAAATGTGTATTTCATTTTCATTGGACGATGTGTGCATCTCTCTCCCATTGAAGTGGCTCAAGTTTTTCTTGAAGCACTTTCAAGCACAGCACAAAACTGCCTACGTGGTGGCGTGGTGTCAAATATTTTAAACGGCGCTGCAGCAGCGTCCACTTTAATTCCACTTCAAATCATTCATCCGTACGACGACGATGTTTGTTGTGTTGCATTGAAACGACGAAATGAGCAGTGAGCACTAATGAAAGGAAAAGTTGCGTTGATCTTGAATTTGCATGGCTGTTGGGTTGAACTTTATATGGCATTAAAAGCATTGTGTCGTTCCATGCATAGTTGTTGAGGCTGAATAGAAATCAGTGGAGCAGCAGAGTGGGCATGACACCAACAATAGAGCAGGCTTTATAAATATGATTGAGTTGATTGGGTGCTGAAGTGTTCGTTTTCTGATGTGCCACCAAGAATTAAAATTGCAACTATCTCGTCTTGTTAGTGACACTGTTGCGAGAGGTCACCTCAGATGTTAGCATTGACGAAGGTGGTTGGGCAGGTCAGCTGATTAGAATAAGTCGAAGTGTGGAATTACAGTTGACCTGATGCGTCTCCTGGTCGTGGTATCATCAGCAGCAGTGACTTTGCCCAAAGGCGAGTCCAATAATTTCTCTCTCAGTTGAAATGAGAGTGAATGATGACCGAGTGGTTTAACTGGTTTGAGTGCTTTTTAGTAGTTTCAAAGGAATGTCTTATTTTGGGGGGTTTCAAGTAAATCGCAACGAGACGAATTTTGCATTAGCAGAAGGACATGTACATATATACATGTACTGATGTATGTATGTACATCCATGTAAATTCAACAATCATGTCCGTTTCGGAAGGGGTTAGACTGTAGAAAATGATAATGAGGTGCATTTTCGGACTGATACTGACTGTGTTACTTTGCATCAATGCATCATACTTCCCAGGAAGGCTAAGTTATCTACATTATTATTTATTTAGGGGCAAGAATTGTCAATTTATCAATTCAAACTACAAAATTTCATAAAATAATGACTGATTATTCTTTCCAATAAATAACACAATTGGACCACGTTGCGAATGACACCAATAATAATAACTTGATCAATCAATCCAGTTCCCACAAAATGTTTCCATACAATTATCAACGTTTGTTCTCGTGCGTGGGCACCATTTTCGACTATTAAACATCTTGCGGTTCTGTTAAAGCAATAATTGCGTGAGCTGTATATTTTATTGTCTTATATGACAATAAAATATCTGATTCAAGTACTTAAGTCGTCTACATACTCCTTGTGGATTTGTTAAACTTTGCTGAACAGCATTGTGCACTTGTGAATAAAACGTTTCTCACGACGTAAGCTATTACAGGCATGATAAATGAACACATTTATGTAAATACGCTTAATTTTGTAACACACGTCATTGATTTAACTCGAGTCATGAGAGTTTATTGCATTGTAAGATTTTGTAAGTGTGGTTTTTACCTAATTAAATGTCTGCTAACTCTGAAAATACAATTGATTTGGATTCAAGGATACATATATTGCGGTTAATCTGTCGCACTTGCTTCACGACTTTTGAGATTGAGATGTTCTAGAAAGCACGTCAAAATAATTCAAATAAACTGAACCCAGGATTTAAGTCGACAATTAACTCAATTAAGTGACAAATACTATACAAATGGTCGTGCGTTGATTCTTAATTCAATAATTATATGTACCGTAGGTCACGGATATAATCTAACTATAACCCAGAATTTCTCTGTCGCCATTGAACGGCATTGGTGAAATATTAGTTTTTGTTTTCATTTGTCGATCTCATTCTGAGAAATTCTTAATGCAAACTGCGATTTACGCTATTTTTTTTATTGTTTCGATGTGCAATGCGTCTCAGCAATTGGTAGAATTTACATCTGAGCCGAGACAAAAGCCACAAACAGGAATTCGTTGAGAGTGAAAATCTATGAAAGTGGTAAACGAGTTAATGTTATAGCGTTTTTTGTTGGTCAGTTATTCACCTCACTCGCACTCACTTATGATCCGTATACATTTACTAAATTGCATACAAAATCTGTGGATTTGAAATGTGGATGCTCTCCGTGACCTTAATCTAAATCTCACTTGCATCTGCTTCCTTTCCCCCATCCGTCACTACTACCAAATCCTAAAGATTACTACTTTTACACTGCATTTATTTACTAAGCAATTACATACACTAGTATTTTAGATCATGATTATGTAAATTTGACGCCAATTTTTTACCTTCATTTGGCCAGCCTTAGAACCACAATCTGTAACTTTGTGCATGTAATTAATTATGTTTGTCGCTCCACTTTAGTAAATTGGAAAGACACACATATACACTTTAAAACTATCATCAATTTAAGTCAATAAAATAATTTCACAAATGATAAATACAAAATTCTTTGATTTGTCATTCCTTGCATCCTATTATCGTAAGTTAAAATAGTATCGAGGAGAACTGTAATCAAACATTATTTTTTACTCACGTGTTGAGGTGTGCTTTGTTCAGGATCAGGATAAATTCTTTGAGGTTTGCTTGCTTATGGAATCGTCGTGTAGATCTATCGATAACTCCCGTAAAACTAATCAATAAACTTGAAAATAAATACGTCTAAAATTATGACGAACCGGGTTCGACGATGGACGTTACCATCGTTGTAACTGCCTTGGGACACATACATAACAAAAATATGTACTACTATATAGGAAAATTCCGATTTTTAATGACAATAATGTTTATTTTTATACCCAACTCTGTGTGTGAGATCCATATTCTGAGTGAGTGACCACCCATATTCTCAAATTTGCAGGTATATCTAAATACATATGCACCTCGCCGAATCAAATATGCTCGTGGTTGTCAAATATGTAGTTTAGGGTAATTTTTTGTGGATTCCACTCCAAATAATTAGTGAACTGCCGGTCTGGAGTTTTTGAGAAGCAGAAAGTAGAAAAACCAGCACAGGAATTTCATAGCATGAGAGCATGTAAATACATTTTGTTTAGACGATCATACAGATATTGAATTGACACAGACGACTCGGGATATAAATATGTATGAATGTGCATAAAGGTTGCCTGGAGTATTGTATCCGCTTCATTCTACTTCGAAAATTGAATCCTGAGTTTTTTTAAGCAACTTAATATGCACTATAGACTAAGGAGTTTACAGAATATTAAGAAGCGTACAGCGTATTTGCATCAAAACCCTTAATTTAATTACCCATCCTGCAATTTCTGTTAATTTTCCGACATACACACAGAGATAGTTGGAAATTTTCATGAAACTAACCCAAAAATATCTTTATATGCTGTAATATGCAGCATAGTGCTGAAATAAGTGCAAAATCATGATACTAAAAAATACTTTCTTAACAAGTATTCTGAAAGGAAAGGAGATGAGATGCCATATGTACGTGCAGTTTCAAATTGCACCCAACCACCGACATATGGTGAGATTAGCAGCCTGATGTTGAAGGAATGCACATTTTCTAAATTTTGCACAATTTTTAACTCATTACAGATTGTGTACGGGATAAATTGTAGAAAATTATAGGTTTGTCGTTAATGTGATGTGCTGCATTTTTCTACGTATCTCTTGTATCGGGTTATGCTTCTGGCTATTGCCTTGTATACTCCTGAATGTCTTTATTCTGATTTAGTCAACCGATACCATGATTGTCTAAAAGGGAGAAAATTGCAGATTTCGAAGAGTCCTTTCTACTCAGAGAAGTAGACTGAACTGAGTTTATCAATTCATGACTTGACTTTTTTTCGCTACATAGATTAGATCGCTATAATATTGGCTAACTATAGCCGATTGTCAAATTGACCACCTTGTAGGCCTTCCTTTATGCCGATAATTCATAAGCGTTAGTAAAATGTTCTATTCATCAGCGTATTCAGAGTTTTGTAACTCGTTTCATTCCATTGTATCTGTCCACAGATAAATACAACGCTAGCAACATATAGCGTGTCACCTTCTGATTTATCTCGTAAAATTAATGATCTGTGGAGGATTTTAAGATTTGAGGACAGGAAACGCGAAGTCTAACTAGGCAAAACTATGGTGGATTTCCAACTACATTTTAAAACATTGACAATATGAACCTTGTACTAACTGGTAAAAATATTTATATTTGTACCACAATTCTTACGACGAGGTAAACATATTTTTATGCATACCTTGGTAAGAATTACATTTAATAAATACATTTACATAAAAATATTTGCATATTTCTCATCGCCTGAATTATATCTGCACTTTACACTGTTGACTGTGATTCACAAATCTCTGTATTCATTGTTAATCTTACAATCTTGTTAGTAATTATGCTCGCTAACAAAAAAATCACGACTGTCATGGACCCACAATTGGCTGAAATAATCCTACGTCAAACTAATCTTACTAATTTGCACAATGCGCATATACATACGTACATTCAAAAGCTCTCTAAAATGTACAACTCTAAATGGGTTATTTTGAAAGTTAAGTTTTCAGATTTAAAGTCATTTAAAGACAAGTAGGTGCATACATGTAAAATATGTATGCATGTGTTTGCGAGCACAGTAAGCAAAGCAAAAAAGCCCGACGAACACCATGCAAAATGCAAAGATTATGTTGACCAATAACAAAAAAAACCTTAATTTCAAACAAACTAGGACGTTTTCTGGATAGTTATAGTGTTATACAGTTTAACGTTTATTCACATGACAAAGTTATTCGGGAACTATTTAAATTTTGAAATTTATGTTGTATGAAATATTTAACCTTTTTTATTTAATTTCAGCAGCAGAAGCCAAATACTCATCTTCATCTGTGGTTTAATATCATCGGCAGTAGCAATTAACCAATTTGAATCATCAGATGACTACGGTGGAGGAAATAGTGAATGTGGTAAGTGCAATCATTGTAATCATTAGTAGAAACATGCTTATTTATTGAATCGTGTATGTTGGTTTCTTTGTCACAACAAATATTTAATTGCATTTAAGAACAAAACACGCAATAATATTGAAAAGATGAATGATTAGAAAAATAAATATTATGATCTGTGTATTAAAAGAACACCAATTTTTCATGGGAAGAGTCTTCTTTACATATACAGACCAAGAACGAATCAAAATATGAATAGACTAAGCTACCCGTTTCATAATTCTCAAAAGTTTCACATCATTTTCTCAATATTTCATTTTATTTTTTTTTCAGCCCTTTTACTAGAAGGACCTGGCAGGACTTCAGCATTTGACTATAGCCTTAACACATTACGAGGAACGTAAGTACAAAACCATCAACTATTTAGCACTTTATCAGTACTCTTCACGACGACTCATGCGCCACGGGTTAAAGTCCGAAATTCTGCAACTTTCTTCCGTTTAAAAATTTTGCCTGAAGAAAGCAAGGCAATGCTAATATCCCTCCAAGGACGTTTGCAAGGACGCGAATGGATGCTGTATACCAATGACGGGGTTGTGGGTTTGCCATCCACAAACAAATCCATACCTACATAACCTGTTTCTATTTCATTTGTACTCAATATTCATAATTTGGCTAAAGAAAGACGCAACACTTCCTCATGCAATGGGCCAGCACAATTCTTGCACATCCTTCCACTTTCTAAATAAATTGCGTAGAATTTGTTTTTCTCTATAAAACGCATTTTATTACTTGTTATCTTCAAGTTAAATATCGTTTTGCAGCATCTCATAAAATGTTAACGTCGAAATATTACAGCTGTCTAATCACAAAATGCAGTAGACAAAGTCTTTATTGTTTTGATTGATGCTATCCGGCTGAATTCCTTACAATGGAAAACATTTCTGGAAAATAGTAAATTCATATTCTTAAAAAAATTGTCTGCTACACAATTAGAAACCAGCTTAACTGTTCTTGCGTGTACACCCTGGACACGGTCTGTAAAATATTTAGTAATTATAACATCAACAATTGTAAATAACTTGACATGAATATAAGTAAAGAGTCACTGGTTTATTCAAGGAGGACGAAAAACTATATGTTTCAAATATTTACGTATGCATGATACGTAAGTATTGCCTATTTTTTTGAATTGATATTTCATAATTAGATAAATTCAACATAACAGTAAAGTCTATGAATAAAAAAAATCTCCGATATTGCAGATAAAAACAAGTATTGTGCTGGTCAGTTAGTGCTTATTTGATTAATTACGAGTTGGTGACAGCGACATGATTTTTTGTACAGATGATAACTGCTGATCAGTTTAATTTTACAAATTAAGTTCTGCATAGGTACATCACTTGTGTGAACGCAAATGAAACTTAAACATATTTAAAATGCATTTTTATGTGGTCCTCATTTTTCATATTTACGTTACTGTTGCATAATTACATTAGCGCGGAATACTTTGTTTAAATTATATTTTATAATTTAAAGTTGAAGACTATAAACACAAACTACCTTTGTCTGTTCCGCACAAGAGATACTTTTGTGGGCAGTGTTTCTGTTGTCGGTGTAATAAATTGCGATTAAACAAAACTCGTAAATTAAAGTCTCATCATTATGCCATCATCAACATTAAGGTGGTCTTTCTTTCTTCGTCTTTGCGAATTTGATTTTCATTGCAAAGGGGCTGCTTCGTGTTGCATTAGATTGCATCCTCATATGTCGTTGCGCAATGTGCAATAATACGCTTTAATTAATCGTACACCACATAATGTAGGTTGAGTGGAATGGGGAGAGGAAGATGAAGCAAAATAGGCTACACAAGCGTGCATCTCATTCCTAGTCTGGTCTCCTGAAAGGAGATAATTGAGCTATGGACATCCTCTTAATTTAGCGCATAAATGTGTGAAATAATTCCATCTTCACCAAATTCCTCTTCATTCATATGCACTTACTTAGGCTACATTGTGTTGTGTTCAGTCGTAGATCATGCGCACGTGTGTTATTGTGCACAATAAGGTCCTGGGGACCCATTGTTGCATTAATAGCCGTTCCATTAATTGGCTAGCAGGCACCTGTAGCGAATAGTGTTTGAGTACTGCACGGCATTGTGATAATTGTGAATTACGGCCACTTTGTCGCCAGTTATGTCTAACGTTGGGCATTTGAATCTTTGGAGATGATGTGGATCTAGTGGGAAGAAAGTGAAAGTGAATAACATAACGTCACTCAACATGTTTAACTTTTTGCCAAAAATGCAACGTTGAAACGGTTGTACACGTATGAATATGTGTGATGCTTTTATGTGTAGGGTCTCTATTTGCAAGCTTATGTATGACTTGTAAAATTATTGAAAGTACACAAATAAATGAGTAAACTACCATGATGAATAAGAAAATATTCCTGCATGAGTTGCATATTATTGTACATACACATGATGTAAAGGATTATTATGTTACGTTCGTGGGTATTTTACTGTCAACAATTTAAATTGATTCCATTCTTGTCATTTTACATTTTTGGCATCACATGGGTGAATTGTGATCATATTTCATATTTCATGGCATGACCAACAGAAATATGAAATCAAGTTGAAAATAATGATGAATTGATCAAACTTTAGAATTGAGTGCAAAAGTATTTCATTTCCAACACCAGAACAATACTTGAGGAATTCATATCCGAGTCCTCCTCTATTTCATCCCCCGTCCGTACAAAACATTTTGTATGTACATACATGCACACGCTTCTGATATGCATGTTTAATTTTTTGGCAGCAGATCAATATAATTTGGTAACAGTTCGCCAAACTCTCACGACCAGAATGAGGTAGATTATTATATCGACTTTACTGCATCACTGTTGTTACGGGATGGCTATTAAATTTATTAAATTTTAATTTAAGTGGTGGAATCAGAGGTCTGAAAATGAAGTGTTGGTCACACTATCCAATAAAAAGTTATCAGTATGATCAATATAATATGATATTTGCAAGCTAAGGTACCCTAATTACAAAAACGTTATTACGCCAATATCGACATATGCGTATGAATACAATTACTCTCAAAATCCAAAGACAAGGATCAGTGAAGATGTGTCGAAGTGTAGCCAAATTTAAAAACAGGCGAACAGACAGACAGTTAACAAAGTATATGATTAATCAATATTTTTACAAATTTAATTGAGAATTAAACACATTTTATCGTACACATGTAAATGTGCTGAACTGGTCATAACAAATACAACTACTAAATTTATGTTCAACATTATGCTCTTTACAAATTTGCAACAAACTTGAGCAGTTTACAATTCCTTCTTGCATATGTGCACTTGGTGTGCGCCATGATTTTATCACCTCGTCGATAAACACACGGTGCATTTCTCTCGTTCAAATCAGTCAATTATTTTTTGATGCATTTGTTGGTTATTCCATTTCGCTTATTTTCAATCTGAGGATTAGACGTCAGAAATTAAATTTGACCTCGGCTTGGTATCTTGCTGTTGAGCCTTTGAACCAATTTGTTTAAATTTTTTGAGATTATTTATGTTAATTTACTACAATAGGACCATACACGGTATAATGTTGCATTATATGGTTGGCAATCCCATGCTAAAGCTCCGTACTTCAATTGAATGCAAAGTTTACATTGGCAATAAAGAAACTTTACTTCCTCTGAATCTGCGCTGCGTTACATGCTGCTGAGCAACTATTGTTAATCAATGAGCCGATTTTTGAGGCGAGATCCCACCATTCATTCGATCAACTCCATCCTTTAATTCGTCATTCACGCTCTGATCTATTTCGATCTGGCCAGCATCAAAGCAGTCTCTCGATCAGCACAACATTACACAGACTTCCGGGCGTACAAGTACAATAGAGGAACTCGCACTATGCATAATATGAGATTAAACTGACAGCACCACTACGACGGCAAACTCATCAATAAAGCAAAAATAATGCCAAAATTTCGTGGTACTTTTTCTTCACAAAAGCAAAAGGGTCAGAACGAGAGAAATTTAGCCGTCGTGCAATGAAAATTTGGGATTTTTCCAAATCTTCTCACATTGCTAAAATGAACACAAATATGTACATGCACCTTTTGTCGAGCCCTGTATTTAAGAAATTGCTCGAGATGGGATCAGGGAATAAATGTTGCTCGCACTGGCCCATAGCTTGCTCGCACCGCTTATGGACGGGTGCGAGCAAGATTTATTCCCATCATGGGATGACATTCACTAACGTGTAATACGGCTAACACATGAAGCATGTCATTATGCCTCAAGAAATATATTTAATTTCTCAAACGTGTCCCAGACAGTTCCGACTAGCGACAGTCACCAATCAGTCCGCTTATCACCAATGACTTTGAATATTTAGATAGGCATTGGCTTAATTACGCTTGAAATAAAGGGATTTGAAGGTTGCAGGCGTATTCACTAGGTCTAAAAAGTGCTATCACACGGGTCAGTATCAAGTAAATTGGTGTTTGATTTGCCGACATGCAAACTGATCAAGTTAAATGCATACTTAATTACTTTGTCACCTTCATTGTTGAAGTTGACACTTTAAGAAAGAAGGAGGGTACCCAAAAATAAAAATTATTGGCTCAATGATTTGATCATTGACAGCGCAATCCTGTCTGTAATGAGTAACTTCTCTTTAAATTTTTATTTGTTTATTCAATTTCAGCATATTTATGTATACTTACAGTGTCGGACAGATCTCTACGTCCACATAGTCGCGTCAATTTCATTTTCAAATTGTCACTGAACTACTGAACCAATTTTCATCATTGATATATCTAATTCTCACAAATTTAACGTAATTTCATAAAACATATGAGTTATTTCTGAAAATTCTGGGAAAACTGAGAATCATAGTGCAGAGCGAGAGAGGATGAAATTTGAGCGGACAAAAGTCTACGTCCACTTCACTTTAATTGTCAACAACAAAAATCTCTCCAATTTATAAAATCAGGTAACTTAATAAATCTATCAATAACATATGCCGCATTAATTTTTAAATAATTTTCTTCCAGAAAAATATGATGGCGTCGACACGCAAGGAAATTCCTATCGCTATTCGAGATCTTGTCATTCAGGACTGGAAGGGTGGACAAAAAGGGGGGCTGTCGCAGAGACAAATAGGGACCAAGTATAAATTAGCAAGGACAACCATCCAGACAATCATTAAGAACTTTAGAGCTAATGGTTCAGTCCAAAACAAGGTCAGAAGTGGTCGAAAACCGATTTTGGCTCACCGAGAAGTACGCCACGTGCTCAACAAAGTCAACGTTACACCCTCACTTAGTGCTCCAAAGCTATCTACCGAGATCAAGGAGATGTTCGACAAACAAGTTAGTCCTAGGACCATCCAAAGAACACTGAACAAGGGAAATTTGAAATCCCACAGAGCAGTCCGGAAGCCTCTTATTGTACCGAGGAATGCAACCAAACGAGTGAAGTTTGCCAGAGACCACATTTCCAAGCCACAAACATTCTGGGACAGTATTTTATGGACTGACGAGTCAAAGTTCAATGTCTTTGGGTCAGATGGGCGTCGTAGAGTGTGGAGATATCCAAAAGAAGCATTGAATCCAAAAAATCTCAACCCCACAGTTAAGCACGGCGGCGGGTCGGTAATGGTGTGGGGATGCATGGCTTCAAGTGGGGCAGGAAAAATGGAATTTGTTGACGGAATTATGGACCAATACAAGTACCAGGGAATACTTGACCGTAATATCCAGGAATCTGTTCGAAAACTTGGACTTGGACGACGATTTGTCTTCCAACAAGACAACGATCTGAAACACTCTGCCAAGTCCACCATGGAATACTTCAAGAAAAAAAAATTTCGAAGCTAGAATGGCCTCCCCAATCTCCAGACTTGAATCCCATTGAGCATCTGTGGGACCACATTGAAAGAGAAATAAGAAAACAATCTTTTTCAGGAATTCCGGGCCTAAAATCCAGAATTCTTGAAGTTTGGGAAACCATTTCTGAAGATGTGACCAAGAATTTGGTAAACTCTATGACTCGACGCCTTGAATCCGTCCTTAAAGCGAACGGAGGCCCAACCAAATATTAAAAATTAATTGTTATAACATTCCTTATAAATTACAGTTTTTTTTGTATGTTTTCTCTGACTGGACGTTGACTTTTGTCCATCCAATTGTTTTCATTTTGAATTAAAATACATCTCTGGCCTAAAATAAATTTTTTAGCGGAAAACTAATAATGTGCTATGAAATTACGTTAAATTTGTGAGAATTTGATATATCAATGATGAAAATTGGTTCAGTAGTTCAGTGACAATTTGAAAATGAAATTGACGCGACTATGTGGACGTAGACATCTGTCCGACACTGTATGTAAATTTATCGATAGCCAAGTTTAACACACAACTGACCTTAGATGTTATACATATAGGTGTATGAACCTAAATGGTTATAAATATTTTGAACTTGTTTAGAATAGGAGTACTACCTATTTGCATTTTAATATTTTCACGGTGAAAATAGGACCTACTTTCCTGCATGATAATGCTATTAAATAAAGAGGAGGGTAATTTTTGAATAATCTAGATCAACTCATGAATGAGTTAAGCACTGCCATACGTATGCACATTAAACTCTTCTTCACTCTGTTTGGACTTGTAGTAGCTGGCAAAACCAGTAAAATCCAAACCAATCTGGTTTATTTAGTTGCGAGAAGATACACGATAGAAATCCTCTGTTAGGTGTCTTATGAGGATGAGACTGTTGTATGTCCCATAAAAGGTTAACTTGCTTCTGTGGCAATTACCAACAACACGGAGCAACTGGCATGACATCGTCGTGAAAATATTTAGAAAAGACTATGTTTTACGCTTCGTTTTTGTTACGTTGATTGCAATTCTTCTTCTCGAGTATTACAAAATTACTGCAGATTTAAGGAATATCGTCTCGTCCTCGAATAACGTCTCGTAGCGTCTGCTTGTGTTGCTGAGTCGTGTGAAATTGTTGCAACAAATGGCGAGAACCTCTAAGCCACCATTTAGTTTTGTGCTGACAGAAATTCCATTGCATAGTTTTAACCAACTCGATTCATCCCAACAATTAAGTAAACCGTGATGGATTTTGCTTCTTCATTTTTGGTAGAGTTTCACACTTTAGTGAATGTCTTTGGCAGTGTCCTTTTTTGCAGCGATATTATTTGCACAAGGGTTGCAGTCAAAAATCAAGCTTACTTCACCATTCTGTTTATCTACATACGTAATGGTCATCATCTGCCAATTTCACTTATTGCCATCATCACTGTATGCTTGTGACAATGCTGATAATAATTATCGTTTATGCAAGGCACGTTATTTCAAAACTTGACTCGATGGTTTTTGCTAAATTAAACCAACTAAAAATAAACAGCATCTATTCGTTCATTTCTTTGCAACCTTTGTAATGATTATATGTGTTATGTAAGTATAGACAAATATGTATGACGGCATTCTCAAAGAGCTTCAAAAAGTCTCATTTCATTAATTTTCGAATATAAAACATAATTAACAGCTTCTTCGTGACCAATTTTTTTATAGAAAATATCATAAAAACTGAAAACTATCTTCAGACGCAGTTGCATGAATATTCTCCTTGGATTTTATGTGAAACGGACGTTGCATCATACGAATGTTGCACTGCGACTCTTAGCATTTAAATATCGGCTTTGTGTAAATATTTCTATACTGTTATACATAAATCTGTACAGCATAAGACTTACTTATTTTATTTTATATTTTATTTTCACAGAAACAACTATGGCGGTGGGGCACATACCTGCATCACGTATGACGCCGTCAACAATGCCTATGGTCAGGCAAGGAAATATATCAGTAAGTTCTTTTGACCAACAAAATCAATCAATTGCTGAACAAAAAAACGGTTTTATGCGTTTACTTTCCTCAGCTTTGTTGCCACTGATTGAATTAATTGTGGACCAATGAACGCGACATTTCATTTTGCAGGGGTAGCCGAAAGAAGAGAGAGATACCAACACGAAGAGTTGGCGACTGTTGGTGAACTACTTCTGGAAGTCTCACGGATTTTATCGAGAACGTGAGTTTTCCAAATCCTAAATGTCAAATGAACATTGGATTATTAATCTTGGTGACAAAGAATTTTGTTGTGACGGCAAGTTGTCTGTTGAGATGAGAAATGAAGTGAAATGAACTGTCGCAGTGCATCATTTGATTAAAGTTGGATTTAACGGGATGATCTACTGTAGAGGAGTTTATATATAGATATCAATGATATCATTTTATTGATTAGGCGTGCTTGCAAGGATGGACGTGAACTAAAAAAATGATTTAATTCGTGTATCTGATTGTACCTTTTTGACAGGTATGGTTTGTCTGTGGATGAAATTGAGCATGGTCTTCCTCTGATTGACACATCGAAGACGGCTATTAGAGAAATCTGCCCTGCTTTCTTGGTAAGTTGACGAAGAAATGGGAAAATGTATCCTACATTATTTTATATTTTATTAATCCATTTCAAATTGTACTCCACTATTTAAAAACAAAAGCATTTTGTCCATTAATAATTCAAAGAGAAATCATAACAATTTTGTAAAGCTAATCAGTTGACTATACAAACAGATTCTCAAATATCTAAGTGAACAGTTGAAACGAAATCAAAATGCAAACAACCTGGGAGCATCAACTCCAAGGATGAGAGTTGTCATTGCAGTTTATGTAGTTTCCAATCAGCTCAATCAATTTCCAGCGTTATGACTAATTTTGAACTAGATACTTCTCCAAAAATCAGAATGTTGACCGGGTTTTAGTCTTGGAAATTCTTTGCGTGTTTATCACAATTTGGCATAATGTACATCAAGTTAGAGCAATGAAACTCGCTAAGTTGGTACATTTACATTTTTTTAGTCGAATGTTCATTGCCAACCCGGCAAGTACAGAAGATATGACGGCCTCTGCAATAATTTGAAACATCCAACTTGGGGAGCTGTGCAGTCCACGTTCACGAGGTGAGAAATTTGCTGTGCTGTGCAACATTTACTCTTTTACCAGTTCAAATTCTAATAACTAATTCAATTAATGTTTATCGGCACATATTTAACATGGGGGGCCATCATGTTACATTGATCTGATATGAAAAAGATTACAGTTAATTTAAGCAACAACTCGCATTTTGCAATTTCAAACGCAACCCAAAGTCATGAACCATGAAACATAAAACATAAAGCATCGACCAAAGAGATGAATGCTACAAGATAAGTATGCACAACAGATGCAGTTCTGTCTTGCGACATTTTAATTATATTTCGCATTCACAACTCGTAGTAAAACTTCATAGTAATAAATTACCCCTTTCTTCATGGTCAAGTTGTGGTTATGTGTCGTTCGTACTGGGGTATATTTGTCTACATTATTTATGTGTATGAGAATTTATTTACTTACACGTAGGCAGAATTTATATTGCTGTGGCTTCTAACCGCTATCATAATATATAGGTATTACCTGCAATCATTATGTTAACCAACATATGCCACTTACATATTACTGGTGGTCAGAATTTAACAATCAAACATTTTCACAGAATTTATATTACCGATAAAAATTTGATTTCGCCTTTGGCCTTCATCACAATTGAATGTGAAAGCATGTGTATGTATTTTAATGTATATCAAATTTGGCTTAAAAATAGGTTGTTGAAGCCCGTGTACTCTGACGCGGTGTCTGACCCTCGAGTGGGCTCCCACGGCTCTGCCCTCCCCCCACCAAGAATTGTGTCGCGAACCATTCACCCTGATGAAGGCTACCATGACCATGCTGCCACAATTCTGCTCATATCGTAAGTTCAATTATTAAGGTTCACTAAGGTTTCGGCCTGCCATGACCATCATCAGGGACACGGCTTCAGTGTCCTACCTATTTTATAAAATTCATCTTTGTATACATAGTTCATATGTAGTTCATTAATTAAATAGTTGATTATATTAAATGGTTGATTAAATTAAATAGTTCATTAATTAAGTGGTTGATTATATTAAACTAGTGTAGAAGCCCGTCAATCGACGTGCAAAATAGGCCCGATAAGCCCGTTACCCCAACATTAGTGAAGTTAGCCTCTCCTGCTCTGTCTGCAAAGTGGAGAGAGAAAAGGGAGGCTAACATCTCAGCTAACTTGTAAGCCACCGACCCAGCCAGCAGCGATATATTCGCCTGCTTTATATAGTTTAGATAGTTGATTATATTAGTATTCTAGGCGCCCCAGAATAGGGAGGCCGACTGGGGCAGTGGAGCCCTTTGTAGAATGGAGGGTAGCAACTACTAGCAACCTCCCTTTCCATCCTGGGTTTCTTTGTGACCATCAAATGTCAAGTCACAACACCCGCTAGACAATTTATACCCCCCTCGAAAGTCGAAACATGTATATAATTCATTAGATAGTTTTTAAGGGTCTAATCCGAATCCGATTCTTCGTCTACTGGGCAGAGGTGGGCAATATACATCAAAATGTATATTGAATATACTTTGCCAATATACTCAAATTTTCGTGTCAATATACTATACTATATACAATATACTGCAAAATTGAAATATACATTATACAAATATACGTATATAATATACAGGATTTTAGCTTCAATATACTATACATGTATATTGAATATACAATTCCAATATACTTTGCAAAAAATGAGATGCAAAGCGTAATTTAGTGTTTTCAGTTAAAAAATTTCCGTTGAATCTTAACGAATTTTAAGACGGTAACTGGTAAAAGTCGCCAGCAAAAAATTAAATTGAATTTTCACTATCGTCAGATAGTGAGATAGATGCATATTTCGAAAACTTATGAGTCGGGAAAGTTTCCGGGTTTCTCGTATTAACGCCAATTTTTGTTACCAGTTAGTTGCACAATGTATTAAACAATTATGCAATTGCATTGCATAATGCAATTGCATTGCATAAAGCAATTGCACTTAATTATAATTAAAAAACGTTATAACATGAAAAATATTGACAAAAATTAGTTAATATGAAAATGTGAACGTAGGGCTTTGTTATAATGGGTGTTCCAGGCATGTTCCTTTCAGAATTTTTTAACATGCACAATTCAACACATTTACTATTTTTTTTAATTAACTCGAAATAACTTTTAGTTCAAAACTCGGACTACTACCCAAAAATCGCTGATTTATAAAATGCCTCAAAATTAAAAGTTCGCCCTTTCCAATAGCAGAATCATTATACTGGTTTGAGGACCATCCATCCATCGATTCCAGTGTGGAAATGTGAGCGTTTTGTATTTTATACATAGTTTAAAAAAATCAGTGGTTTTTGTGTACTGGCCCGAGTGTTGAGCTTGAATTGTTTGTATTTTCTAAATATCTTGAACTATATAAATATCTATGTGACAACAATCTAAGGAAGGACCAAGGAAGCCTGATATACTCATTGTTAGAGCACCCGCAAACGGATATAACGATTTTGTAACTTCGACATTTAACGTATACCCCAGCACAACTTTAAAATATGCATTCCTGTCATTCACCACGTATTTTACGCCTAATTGTATATTGTATATTTACTGGACATTTTTTTGTCCAATATACAATATACAATATACTTTTTTTCGAGTCTTTTAAGATACAATATACAATATACAAAAAGTATATTATATACTGTATATATTATACTTGTATATTCAATATACATGTATATTGCCCACCTCTGCTACTGGGTTCATACCCCATACCTTGTATGGGTCATTATGATGATCATAGTTCTCATCATTCTTTAGTCTTTCTCTTCTCTCGCTCGCACTTTCCCTTGGTCTTTCATTGTCGCTTTCTTCTTCCTCATCATCACTTTCTTGTTTCTCATAGTCACTTTCTTGTTCCTCATTGTCACTTTCTTCTTTCTCATCGTCACTTTGTTCTTCCTCACTTTCGCCATCCAATTGAGGGATGCGTAACTTTGGAGTATAATTAAGGCCTTCAACAAATTTATGATACTCCTTCAACTCTTTTTCTGATAACTTCAACTTCCTTCTTACGAAAATTCCATTGTGTTGCTTCTTTTGTGTGTCTGTTAATTCGTCAATTAACTTTGGTTTATCCCGTGAAAAAATTAACGTTTCTGGTCCCTCTTCCCCATTTTCACCATCCAGTTGAGGGATGTGTTGGCTAGGAATAAAATTAACGTATTTAACGAATTTATGATACTCATTTAATTCTTCTTCTGATAACTTGGTTTTCTTTGCCTTCTTACGAAAATTAGATATTTTTTGCTGCTTTTGCTGTTTTGTTACTTTAATAACAACCGTGGGTGGTATAATGATAACATTGCCACTATTCCGTGCTTGAACTAATGTATGTAGGAAAGCCTCAGTGTCAGTGATGTTTTTTTTCGTTAGTTTTGTTCTGAGATAGTTAATCTTCCCGAGCATCCGTTTGTCGTCGGTTGACTTCTTGTCTCTAGACAGCTTATGAGATTTTTTCCAACTAGCATTATCTCTATCCTTGCATGCTTGTTGTACTGCCAAAGGTGCTTGTTTTAACTTGGCGACGTGCCGAATTCGAGTTTTGTTCTTATAAACCCTGAGCTGGTCTGGTGCCATGTTTTGAAGTTTAATTCCCTTATTAAACATTTTGCTCTCTTTCTCCTTCTTGGCTTCACCATCTTTCTGCATTTTGTTCGCAACGGCTTTCAAGTATTTCTGAAGGACATCCTCCCCCTTATACAACGGACATTTTGTCGCATGAGCATTTAGTGCAGGAAAACCGCGACCACAATATCTACAAATGATTGATTTAAAAAGTAGAGTTTTCTTTGATTCGCCACCTTGTACCATATACTTAATGTTTATCTTGTATGCAATGGTTCTATTTGGACATCTGGAAAGTATGGCTTGAAGTGGTCCGTAGTCCGAAGTGATGAGCTCGAAATCCAGCAATCTTATTTCACACACCATATTGTTTTCTAATTTTACTGCACAGTGATCCAGCAGATTCTTGGCATGAGTTGCGTGGCCAATATGGCCATCCCAATGTGACCAGGGTGGTCCTAAAGCGCCCACCCATAACTGATTGTATGATTCGAGAGATAAGCATACAGAGTTAAACAAATGAACCAACTCACCCCAATTTTGCCAAGTACAATGGATATTGTAGTCTCCAATCACAACTACATTCGTTTTTGCTGGCAATTAACGGATGTACTTGACGGTGGCATGAATCTGAAGCCGCTTCACATCATCGTTCGAACTTTTGTAAAGCACATTGATAAGATGGATGCATTCATTCTCTCCATTTTTAATGACTACAGACATTTGTCTGTGATCCGGTGGGGTGGAGAAACTTTCGGGAACATATCTGGATTCGCAATCGAAATCAGGGTGACAAAATATGGCTAATCCATGCATTCCAAAGCATTTCCCCCCAGCTGGATTCGGACAAGTGCATGGCAATTCATCCAAAAACCATTCTTGACCATCTGCATTTGCTGAAAGTGCCTCTTTTAATTCTTGCAACATTTGGCGTTGGTGCTGTTGTCCCAAAGTGGGTGGGCGGTGCCAGGTTTCCTGTACGGCAAGAACATTGAATTGGGTCTCCAGTTAGTAATTGTAGTTCTGGTAGATTTTCCTGCTTCAAGTCATGCTTATTAATTGATACAATATTAAAAATATCCATACTTTTCTCCTCCACATTCATTTTCTTGAGTGGTTGTGGTGTTAGACCAGAATCACTCATCTTCCTTTTTGACGTATTCTGAATCGAGTCAGACCTGGTAAGCATAAGGGTTTGGCACACGATTTCTTCCCTGACCCTTTTGGTCCCCTACCAATTGTAAGTTTAGTACAAGTTAATGCGATGACAAATTTCTCTTTTAAAACTGTAATAATTTATCCCCGTGAAATTATCCCGTGAAATTATTCCCTTAAAATTATCCCGTGAAATTATTCCCTTACAATTATCCCGTGAAATTATCCCGTGAAATTATTCCCTTACAATTATCCCTTACAATTATCCCTCGAAATTATTCCCTTACAATTATCCCTCGAAATTATTCCCTTACAATTATCCCTCGAAATTATTCCCTTACAATTATCCCTCGAAATTATTCCCTTACAATTATCCCTCGAAATTATTCCCTTACAATTATCCCTCGAAATTATTCCCTTACAATTATCCCTCGAAATTATTCCCTTACAATTATCCCTCGAAATTATTCCCTTACAATTATCCCTCGAAATTATTCCCTTACAATTATCCCTCGAAATTATTCTCTTAAAATTATCCCATGAAGTTATTGTGAAATTATTCCCTCGAAATTGGAATTTGTGAAATTTATTCTGCAATTTCAAATAAATTAGTTTGCAGTGAGGAAAACATAAAACTTCCCGGTCGTGGTGGTGGTGAACGAAGTGAGCCGAAAGTAAAAACAAAATGAGACATCTAATTTTCTCATTCACGTCGAAGTTAGGAAATTTGCCGGTCGACAACTCTCGAGTGTAATACCTTGTTGATAAATTCATAAATTAGTGCTTCTACAGTTATGTCAGGACATAATTCACACAATAAATCTTGTACAATAGTATTACACCTAAAACATCATTCGAATATAGTTTATTTATTTCTTACTAGAGTAAAAGCCCGTCCAAGGACGGGGCCTGTGACTCCCAGTACAGGGCGTGGAAAAGCAAGAAACCCGTCATATTATTAAATAATTCCCAGGGTCTACTCGGTCAGAGACCCCAAGTGCCTTATATATTCTGGAAGGTATTTATAAAACCTTTCGAATGATACCCCACTTCATGGGTGACATCAGTTGAAATTTTGGTGACCTGTGACCTTGATTGCTTGAATGGCGTGACCTACACTAATCAAACTATGACCTCTATAACAGCCTTGAAATAAGCTTTCAAATGCGCTATCATACGTTGTTGTATGTAGTCTGGCGCCTGAGTTAGCTTTTGACCGTTATTCTAGGTCACGGTGAGGTCACAGATCCCAGTTGTCTTATATATTCTGATAGGTATTTAAAAAACCTTTCGAATGATACCCCATTTGTGAGGGGTTATGGGTTGAAATTTTGGTGACCTGTGACCGTTGACCTTGAATGGCGTGACCTTTACTATTGAAACTATGACGGCTCCCACCGTCTTTGACCAAGCTTTCGAATGCGCTATCATACGTTGCTGTAAGTGGTCAGATGGCGGAGGAGTTCATGCCGACACAAATCGGCCGTGCTGAATTAAGTAATAGGATGAGTTTTTAACATGTTTTTGACCGTTTTTGACCTTTTTTAAAGCTGGGGCCAGACGATGGACCATGACCTGACGCTCACCGCAACCCCATTGGGTCAGTAACAATGAATAAAAAATTAGAAATATGTTTTGTGAGAAAAATGCTATAATTTTGACTTGTTCAACAGACCCGGTCACTCGAAATGAGCCGGAAGAGTGTTGTAAACGGGCCCCCAATTCTAGAAATCCCTACTGCCTTCAAATTGATGTTCCCCATGATGATCCATTCTATGGGGTGTATGGCGTGCGCTGTATCGACTTTGTGCGTGGATTTCCTGGCGTTCGTGCTGGGTGCAGACTGGGTATAGTTTTTTTTTTTTTAAATCAAGAAATCATGTATTTAATCATTACTTATTTCTTTATTATTACTAGGTTCACGTAACCAGTTCAACATTCTGTCTGGCGTCATAGATGGTAACACTGTGTACGGGGTTGAAGAAAACTTTGCTCGCTCTCTTCGTACGGGGTACGGAGGTCTGTTGAGAATGAACCCAGTTTTTGCACAATACGGTCTCCATGATTTACTTCCACTCAAGCTCGATATCCCAGACGAAGGTTGTACGCGTAAGAAAACACAAAAATTAAAACAATAAGATAATGCAATCTAATCTGCGTAATGCCATGGTACAACAAGATTCAAAACTGCACAAATCTAATATGCAGTATGCGATATGCAGTATATTTAGTAAGTACAAGACTTGTAGTTACTAAATATACTTAGTTAGTAGTCTCAGATTTCTCATGAAATACCCATTTCATCCAATTGTTTAAACGTATGAAATTTTTGCATCCAAAAATGCTCTTTGAACGCATAATTTCTTTTGGATCTTCTCATCACTCTGATCTCCAGTAGTATCATTGTATCGATTTCTTTTTTAGTTTTCCATTCAAGGCCATAGTGTTATTTTTCACTTTTTAACACAGATGTAGTATTACAAGGAACCATTTGGCTCAGAATAGTATTAGGCAAACCACTGGAGATCCACACCACTGTATCACACTTCCGTATCACCAATACGTCGAATGTTGGTCTGATCCTTAACTGATGCTCCCTTTTATCGACGGAATGTGTAGTACACTCATTTTTGCGAATAATGCATAAAATCACATGCCTCGCCAAGGTTAACTCAAAGCGAGCGAGACTTATCTGAGATTGTCCTCATTCCAGGTCCCAACCGTTCCATGTACTGCTTTGATGCTGGTATGTCTAAATTGTCATTATACTAATATCCATTTACCGTCCTCGCAAAATAATGGCTCAATTATTTGTAAAGTTAGAGTATTTGTGCACAAAATTAGCTATATGGAGTTCTGACTAATATATTTTCTTATTAGGTGAGATTCGAGTCAACGAACAATTGGTGCTGACTTGCATGCACACCTTGTTGGCTCGTGAGCACAATCGCATTGCTTCCAAGCTGGGAGGTAAGCACAATCGTCAAAACCTTTAATCAAACACAGGAAATAATTTCCTTATTATGTAGCGACAAATAGATAAAGTAAAAATCATCCAAATTGACAAAAGCATGTCAGACAGATATTCAAATGAGTCACATACATTCAATCATGCTGCACAATTTGACATGTTTTTACTCTTGATTTATTTCAGAGATTAACCCTCACTGGGACGACGAAACAGTTTATCAGGTATGAAATAAGGAGTAAAAATATACAGACCGTCGAGTTCTTATGTTTCACATCTTTTGTGTCTGTTTTAAGGAAACGAGACGAATTGTGATTGGAGAGATTCAACACATTACTTACAATGAGTTCTTGCCTCTTGTGTTGGGCAAGGAAGTTATGGCAAAGTTTGGACTTTTGCTGCAAAAGGATGTTAGTTTACGTTTGTTAAAAGCAAAAATTCCAATGCATCACGAGTAAAAGGTTGACTTTGAAATTGATTTTAGGGTTACTGGGACGGCTACGACGAAAACGTAAACCCAGGTGTAATTGCTGCATTTGCTGCTGCGGCTTTCAGATTTGGGCATTCTCTTCTACCCACAAATGTGGAAAGATGGTCCAAGGCTCACAAATTCATTGGTAACGTTAACATTAAATTAAACATTGCAACTTATTGGGGTACATGATTGGATGAAAACCAAAATCTGCAATCATAAATCATACGTATTTATTGTTACCAAATTGCTCACTGTTTCAATTCTCTTACATTTGCATATGCATAGCTTCCAGAAGACTTCGAGACTTGATTCGTCAACCATTCGACCTTTATCGTGCTGGTGTGATTGACGAATATTTCATGGGCATGTCCAACCAGGTCGCACAAGCCATGGATGACTCCGTCACTCAAGAGGTATATGTACATGATAAGCAGCTTTACTCCCAATTAAAATTTGCATATGGGATTTGTAATGTCATTCTACCAATAATTCAAATTTCAGGTTACCAATCATTTGTTCAGGAAACCCAACCAGCCATTCGGAGTCGACTTGGCAGCCTTTAACATGCAACGAGGTAGAGAAGTTGGTCTACCTTCCTACTTATCTTACAGGTACAAAACGATAAAATTACGTCGCTGAATAAGAGATTTATCTAATTTACCATACCGTGAGTAGGCTCTAGTTTCGTACCTAGTTGCGAGTGAGACCGGTCACAATATACATTTGCAATACTAATTCGTTCTCTTATTAAAATCCAGGAAGTACTGTGGTCTCCCAGGTGCTACTGGTTGGGATGACCTCTTTGGCTCCATGAACAACATCACTGTGAAGAGATACGCGCAGATTTATGTACACCCACAGGATATTGATTTGTGGTCGGGTGGAGTTTCTGAGCGTCCGTTGCCGGGTGCGATGGTGGGACCCACTTTTGCATGCATCATCGCTTCTCAATTTAGCAACTCCAGACGAGGGGACCGGTAAGCCTACATATTCTTCATCACCGTTAAACCTTTTATTTGATGCTATGTTATGATTCAGCTTTTGGTACGAGTTGGGAGGCCATCCCCATTCATTCACTTTGGAACAATTGGCCGAAATTAGAAAGGCTCGGTTGGCCCGAATCGTATGTGACAACACTGACCTGATTGACACGATTCAACTCTACCCAATGGTTCTTCCCGATCATGAAATGTATGTCATCTCAGTATTCAATTAAAATTATTCACTCAAAAGCTCTTAATCAAGTTAAAATTAGAGTGACCAATGTAAGTCGGGTGGCAACATGGTTGTTTTAATTGAATGTGGTATTTCTCGCGTAAATAGCAATCCTCGTGTTCCATGCCGATCTGGAATTTTACTTCATGTAGACTTGACCAAGGTGAGACTCAATGTTTATTACTTATTCAAAGCAAATCGCAGTATGATTTACTCAAGTGACAAACAATATCATAATTTCAAGTGGGCGGATTATGGAGGACAATATTCTCATCAAGTTCCAGTTCATGTAAGTTAATCCAATTTTAGACTGATTATGAACTTTTGTGCAATCTCTCGTCCTGGGATGCATCAAAATCAACGCGTAATAAATAAACCATTCATTTACTAGTTTTGCTAACTTGCATGGTTATAAATAGTTTAAAACTATTTATTCAAGTTTCTAAAATCGTATCATAATATTTTAGTTTAGAAACGTAGCATACTTAGATTTCATATGTATGTACTAGGGATGAGAGCCATGAGTATATGTAAATAATAACACTTTGCGACATTGTAGATATATTTTCATCAGCGAGGTATTTTGTAAAAACTTAATTTGCGCTCAAATTTTCCTTTATCATTACTAATTTTTTTGTACAAAATTTTGGCTTGTCTTTTCCCGCAGTTAATCAATTTTTTTGATTATCATTATAAACTGATTGAATTATTTTCGTACGCATATTTCAAAAGCTACGGAATGTTGCCTTCATTTATCGACTACATTTGATTGACAGCTGCTTTGAAATATATGCTGTAGCTGTTTTACTGTTGATGAACATGTGTAAAAAAATTTGTATAAATTGCGAAATTCAGGTGCCAGCTCCACTGTCCCCACGCGTTCCAGAATCAGTCATGGCCAATTTGCTCCCTAACCAGCAACGGCTTAGCTCGAATCGCGTTGTTCGCACTTTTCACGGCAAGGCCAACATGGCCCCAATTTTTGGCGTTCCAGTCCGATCCCACTCAAACACCAATCGACATTTCAACAAATGACCTGCCCAATTCCACTAACTCCGTTTGTACTAATCAACAATGAATTCAATGTGCTAATTAATTAATCAACTATAATCAGCGAGTGATGCGGAGTGTATTGCTGCTAAATTTTAGCTATGCTCCTCCTCACCAACAATTGCTTTTACTTTTATTATTAACCATGTCATGTCTTATTAATACGTAACCAAACCTTCTCCTTAAAACATTATTTTATCAACTATATCAACTGGACCAATAGGATGTGAGCACTGAGCATGTAAATTTCTGCATATTTTCTATCAGAGAATGTATGCAAGTTGTGGGACCCTCCAAGTTAATGTAAACATTAATAGCTTAGTTTAGGATTAATTATTGTAGTTTGGTTTCAGTAGAATTAGGTTAGAGATAAAAGTAAATTAAAGTTTACAAGATATACTAACTATAAATATTTTACATTGTAAATGGGTTTATTAGCCGACTTTCTTTGGCCAAAAGGATTGACTGAATGATAAAATAGTGTATATGTATTTACCTCAAGATGAAAACTTTCTCCCCGAGTGGGGAAACTCGGGTATAAGAATTTTATTGTAGTCATGAATTTGTCTAAAGGGAAGTCTATGCATCTTCTGCGACGCCTGATTGAATTTATAAATAGTGGAGTCTTACGTAGAGTAGGTAGTACATGAATCCACCGTTTCTGTAGATGGTGAGAGATAAATAGATGATAGACCGAGATTACTAGATAGATACATAACTTCACGAATTAGTATTATTAAAAAGAGATTTGTTGGAAAATGTGATACCAATCAAATATTTTATGAAGAAACATATTTGAAAACTCGCTTAATGAAGTTTCTGTTACAGTTTCAAGATGAATAATAAACTTTGCAAACCTTGAGAAGATCACGATTTCAAGAAGTTTTTTTAAAAATAGAGCAGAAACGCTCACGAAAATAACTAGCCAACCTGATAATCCAGCCGGTTACCACAATATTATTATAAACCTACGATTTGTGACGTTCACTATATAAGTATAAAAATAAGTAATAATCATGATGGATATAAGGCTTCTCGTTGTTATCTATTTTTTACAAATATGTAATCTCCAGAAGAGCAAGTGTATAACAGTACATATGCCATTTATGTCAAAATTGATATGTAAAACACTGTTATATTTTATTTTATTACATAAGAAACAAAATTGTAAAAATTCGAAAAATATAAATTCCAAATAATATTTTCGAAAATAACTAAATTTCTTCTCTGGTAATTTGTCTTGTTTTCCACTAATCAAAATCAGTCTTGATTCACACCTTCTTTTGAACTGTTATATTGTCTTGTACCTTATTCTGACCTATTTACCTACCTCTTGCTGCCGGGTTGGTGACTTTTCGGTGACCTCTCTCTCCCTTGGTGTACATTGTCCCATTTTGTAAATGAAGACCTAATGAATCTGAATGACGCCTTTGTGAAGGTAAGATGTCGTGGATCTGTGAATACTCAATGCTTTACTTACTCACTCGACTGCATGTACAAAAAAAGTTGTAAACAAGCTTGCTTCTAATACTACATGTTTTGCCTCGTGTTTATCGATATGCTAGCGATTTTTGAAACCAACCCGATTTTGACATTGTTGGGTGTGCCATATGTAAATGCACAATAAATATGTACAAATGTACAGACAGTAGTTTAGTCAGCCACATATACTGGTGCTTCTGTCCTGTCGAATTAATGTAGTTTTAAACAAATTGTGTCCGTCACAAGGCTGTATCTAGCAGTTTTGCGAAACATGAGGATTCGATGAGTAATTGCCATTTTTTCACTGATTTTACAGGCTGACGAGGTGAATCTTTCTGGATTCGAAAATGATCCCGGCGTGGGAAAATATGTAAACCAAGATGGCCTTCAGCAGTTAAGACACTACTTGAAAGTGGGTCCATACAAGTCCTATTGTAAGGATAGTAAATTTATTAATGTACGCCCTCATCAAATTCAATCGACTGACTTTATTTTATTTTTTATTTCAGTGACTGGGTCCAACAAAGCGTTCATGGGATATATTCGACAAGTAATTTTGCACAAAAGAAAAAAACGGGATTTGAATTCCCAAGATACTTACTTTCATCTATGGAATTCAAGTTTATGCAGTAATATGGCAAATGCCAGTGATAACTCTCTAGCAAACCTAACCTCCGCTTCACCAGCTTTGCTTTGCTTTTCTCCCGAGGAGGAGAAGAAAGTTGCGAGTAATTTGTAACCGCTTGATTGTAACAAACACAAGTGATAATAAGTAAATGAGAGCAGGAGAAAGCTACACATACGCCAAGTTATGTATAACAAAGACGGACATACGTGTCATATTATAAACTTTTTTGCATCCCAACCAATCCTGAACTGCTTGTACATAAATATTTATCATTCGCTTTGATCATGGTTTCCCCCTTTTTTATTTACAAGTCATTCCAAAGTTCCAAGGTTTCCTCAACACATGTAGTCAAACATATGTTGGCAAGTCAAGTTAATTGTTCCGGTGCCCTCATTTATAGCACTTTTACCTATTTTTTGAAGATCCATTGAAACTGCGTGATCCATTCCAAACGGGGAAAAGTATTTGTGGTCGGCGCAGGCTAACTATTTTTTGCATTGAGTAAGCCGTACTATATGTAGAAATTAGAGTGGAAAAGTAGTTTGAAAGTTGATAGTTAGCAGTCTAATTAGTATTGTATTTGATTTGTAGATAGATATTTGTGCGGACACTAATGCAACAATTATCTCAAATAATCTCATTGTTTTGCATATAGTTTGTCCAATAAGTATGTATTATACATTCCACTTGGTCAAGAGTGTTGTACACAAAAATGAAACAAATAAATCCAGAATTAACAAAATGCGACTCAAATTAGTTTGTGAATAGTAGAATCTCGAATGTCTCCACAAAACGAGAGAAACAACAGATGTAAGTACGTACGTATGTTGGCAGACATACAGATGCTTGGCACTACACAAAAGAAAAGAAATGTGCAATGTATATGAAAGGAAATGCAATCTTTAACCGTTCGAAGCTTCTCGAGTTTAATCGAAAGTAATGGCTGTACATACAAAATTCTAAATAACGTCGCACAGCAGCAGCAGCAATATTGCAACTTCTCTGCTCTAACTTGAATAATATTCAATCAATCAACTAATTCAGTTCCATCAACCTCCAAAGTCTAAACATGTCGGTTCCTGAAATTTTCCCAATTTTAGATGCTCACCCGTCGACCCGTCACCCTAATCCATAGCACAAAAGGGCACGACGCCACCAACCTGGCCAACGTCCACTACTCTCCTGGACCCGAGCATGAGAACATTCCGAACCCCGGAGTGGACTACTCCCCTCGAGGCCACCCCGTCCATCAGGGTCTCTCCCTCAAGGAAGCCTTCAAGGGACAAGGACAGGACTTTGGACCACTCGTCAACCCTCAGCAGCAACAACAACAGCAAGGTTATGGATATACCATTACCAAAAAGTTCGGGGTGAATATTAAGCACGGAGGTCTTTCTCCACGTCGTTCCTCTAGCCAAGAATCTGTCCACTGAACTGACACCACATTAACTACTCGCTTATTACCGTCGTGTAGTATCCACTCAGAATTTACATACATGCACACACTCACATAACACAAGTATCCTCGTATTGAGCAAAACATCACACAACACCAGCTCAACCATGACACATTATTATATAATCTTATCCTTAGGAGTAGCCCAATGATGAGGAGATGAAGCCATACAATATAATTTTACATAGCATGCACGGGGAAATAGGAGAATTTATATCATTTTGATAAATATTAGTCTGTACTGCACATGAAATGTTAATTCTGCACGACAGTGGGATTGGAGACAATAATACCGTACCTTAATGTACACACAAAACACACAACTTTCTTCACAATCACACTACCACAACACCAGAAAACAAAAACAGATTCTTGGGATTCTGCGACACAATTTTTTCCTCTCGAACAACTCCTTCTCCTCTCACTTGTCAGTTGAGTAGTTTTCTCGTAATAAGTAGAACACGTACATATTTAGTCGTATAATAACTCGTATAACGCATCCTATCAAGTGAAAGTCCTTGGAAAAGAGTCTGTAAAAAAGTAGATGTTCTTGTTAAATATCGTATCTTATTTAATGCATGTAGTACTTATAAATCACTCTACTTACTCGCTGTGCCAAAATACAACGCTGTGTATTATCCTACTTAATAATGAAATCTGTAATCTGGGACTATGCAGATTATAAGTATGCGAAATACTAAATAAAACCTGTAGTCGTTCCTGTTAATTTTATAATAATAACAAAACGGTCAACCTTTTTGTATTTATAATTAATTGCATGGCCAAAAAGTACATATTATTTAGTTGTTGAGTAGTTATTTATTTATTATTACTGAACCCGAATAACGAGCCAGCAAGCAGGTAAATCGTATGCTTCTCCTTCCTCTACTGCCTATATGTAAGTAGATATTTGCGATTTAAACGTGCTGCATTTTGCACCTACAGAAAAATATAAATACAATTGTAGCGTACTTATCGGAATGCGACCGTATTTGCATGTAATGAAAAACACGTATTGACGCTTGATCAAGTATTTATTTTTTTGCACCCACCGCATATTTTAACATGATTTAGAACATCTGCATGCGCACGTACCAGAGATCACCTCCTTTCATTTTTTCCTAACACGTTGAAATGGTAAGAATTTAGTTTAAAACGAAAATAATTAATAAATCCTTTTTTCAGCTTGCAGACGCACATATTTATTTACATGTACATACATGCATTAACGCGGTATAAGGTTAACATAATTATTAGTATGTTCTAGCATATTTAGTGTATTTACAGAGCAATATCAAATTTTAGCGAATTCTGAAGGACGCTGCAATTTGTTGGATTCTTCAAATCCTTTTAAACTTCAAATGTTTCATATTTTGCATACTCAGCAAATTGGAAAATTCTAACGTTATTTATTTTCTTTAATGTCAGATGCATAATGTGTTTTCATTCGGCTCTTGTTGGTTCATCTTTTCCCCTTGCTTTACACACTTTTTAATCTTTCAAGTCAGTGTAGACTTCTTCTGCTGATGACAGCTGCTTAATACTGTGTGCTTTCCCCAGTTATTTACTTTGAACCCATGTACCTTTGATTTAGGATTGACATGCAAATTATTCCACGAAAGCTGGCAGATTCTTCTGAATCACAGCAGTACCGGAGATAACAACTTTGATAGTGTCACTAACTTATGTATTTATATATGGTCTTTTGAAGGAAAATTCTGATTGCTGAACCACTGATTGCTTTCTCCGACCTTTTTATGCTGTAAACTTTAAGCTCAATCTTGTATGAAATTTTCTTGATTTTAAATCACCTCACCAATTGTACATTGCATTCTATCGATATTTTCAAAACCTTAAAAAATGTATCTTCTTTCTTAATTCTTTTTCCGCCTTTTTATTATTGTCATGAAATCCTATCCTTCTCCTCCCACACAGAAACTCTTCGGTGCTCTTCCATTGCTCTGTCATTTTCATTTACCTTGTTTTCTACTTGTACTTGATTACAGCAGCCACGGGAGGAGGAGGTCATCATCATCATCATCAGCAACATACGGGCATTAGTCAAAATGGAATTGACATCACTCCAGCAGCACCCGTTGAGTTTATTAACCACGTGGTTGCCCCTCCGTCTGATAATTTCCAGCGTGTTCCTAAAATCTATTACGGATTCCAACCCGTAGCCACACCATATGGGAACATCTCAACGGGGAATGACCTGAGGGCTGATTTTAACCATGATTTCAACCGACGACCACAAAATGAGTTTGGCGGTGGCGAGTCGTACAATACAATTAATTTTAAGCGTAAACGACAAATTAGGCAGCGTCAGACTGAGCCTGAAAATGAATCTGTAAGCAGGTCACAACTTTCTTCGTAATCTGTCCGAGAGCATAAGCTCGCCATCGCCACACGCAGTCACAGAATATTGCATTTGTCCAATTACGTACATTATCCTTATCCTGCTATTTAATTCCTCCCCGTCTACGTTCCAAAATAATAATATAGTTAATTTCACACCAGAGAAAATATTGAGTGGGTGTTCCAGCAGTCTACAGTTTATGATTTATAATTGAGGGTAACTGAGCATACAAGTACATAAAGTCTGCAAGTGGGAGGAATCCATTACCTCCTATTTCCTGCTGTCTTAATTGTCCTGAATATGTTTCTTAATACGAGTTAAAATACTGACAAGCTCGGTGTAATCCCACGCAATGCAATATAATTATATTCACTTAGTTAACCAATTTCATATTAAAGTTTCCAAATATTTCTTCACATGTACATGTAATGTTGATGCAGGTGGTGGCAAATCTAGAGCCTCTAGCCGATTCTCCAACCATACGTATAAACCTGTCCAAAAAATTACTGGGCATTGAGTTAAATAGGGAGAGACGTCGTAGGATAAGTAAATCTCAACTGACACTCCGAAAAGACGGCCCCAAAAGACTCGATGGATCATTTTCTCACAAAAACAACAACGATCTCCATCGCAGCACGTTCACTCGATTGCACACGCTGGACTATCAGAAGGACACATCATTATCTCAAAATTCAAAAACACGCAGGAGAAAGCGGGAGGCGAGAGGCAGTGGAGAATTGTCCTCGCAAGTGGAAATACTTAATGAGGGCCCCTCCGCCTCCCAAGCAATTGGTCACGAAAAGGACAAATACGCAATAAAAGATGGACGACTAAAAACATTCACCTCTGAATTGCATGTGGATAACCAACTCATGACGCGGCCACCAACAAAGATGGTCGATTCCACTAATTATAGTAGCTCATCAGAGAGCTTTCTAGATGTAGCAGAAGACTTTGTGGACGGGGCAGTGTCTACAGCCATACATTTTCTGGAGGATTTCACCAATTTCGGAAACGTGTTTTTGACCAATGCCCAGTCGCTCGTTAATTATTTTGCCAATGCAACTGTTACAGCAGTCAACAAGACATTTCTTAATTATAAGCCGCATGAAAAAAACAATACTAGCACTCAACATAATAATTCTAATGTTAATGTGAGTAGAATAGTGTAGAACGCGCAAATTCCCGTGGTTGATAGTAGGCGAGGTAACAAATAAGTAGGTATTAACAGTATGTCGCAAAAGTTGAAAGTAAGCCTTAGAAGGAACCCCATTTTCGAAAAAAACTTAATTTAGAGTAGGAGACAAGGGCGAGAGTTTTGTTATAAAAAATGTACATGGTCAAAAATGTTTCTAAATACTACAAATTTTAGGTTTGACTGAATCGATGACTGCAGTGCTACATAGGTCTGTAGCACAAGAAGAACAAATACATATGTACATCCTTAGTGCTGCACTAGTGTCATGAACTACATATATAGCTGAGAGTACTGTAAATACTCTAAATACATAGTTTACAAACTAACCTAGGTATAACTATTGTGAAAATTAGTCATTTCACAGTATTCGTATTAAAATGAACATTAACTGAATGAATAAATTAAAAATAAACAAGGTTTGCGTGGTTAATATTTCGCCTGAATCTTTGGTGTTGATCATAGTATAAAAGCTGTACTTTTGCGTGATGACTGATGACACTTGAATAAATTGTGCTGGTCAGGATATACCAATAATTGCGCTAAAATTAATAATGGGAACTTATTCAACAACATCTCTGGACCTTTCTCTTTGCATTGTTGAAGAATATAATGTTTTCATGAAAGTTGGAGAATTCGTTGCATAATCATGCTCAATCACGTTCCATTATTTCATTATTCTGGGACAATCTTGAAAGTTTCAAATCTTCCACCACCAACTCATCACATGCACTCATAACATTGACGACAGCTGAATCATGGATGTTCGACAAGCCCATTTACCATCAATTCAAGCGTACCAAAGTAGCTACCGTGAGTAAGCTGCTATTAAATTAATTTGTTTAGGCAAAAATTGCGTGGGAAGGAAGGGCTATGACATATCATCTTTTTCAAGTAGATTTGTCCATAATTGAGCTTTCTGTCCTCAGTCCTACGAAATGGTGAAATAGGCTACGCCACACAATTTACGTGGGTTGCTGGAGGGAGAAATCTCAAAATCTCTCATCTCCACTACTTATTTCCAAGACATGGAGAAAGATTGGTTTCGGAAGAGCACGAATATGTACATTGAGAATCAAAGCAACTTGCAACCCTTCCAATTTTACCAGGCTTTCCCCTGCTTTCCCAGACTACCTCAGAAACCTACCTGCCCAACTCAAAGTTACAGAGAGAAACGGATGGAGGACAACTCTATAAAATGATGCTCAGCACAATCTGACCTCACTTTGCAGCAAGCTACCCGCATAAAAGCAGCTCAACTTCTCTCCAGCTCAGGGTCGTATCGAAGTATTCAAGGGGGTACGGGTTGACTACTTGTAAAGCAACAAGTTGCAGGTAGGTCGGGATTCAGGAAGACAACAAACTTTCCCAGCTTTTAAGCGTAGCAATACACCTCATTGAAAATTTTATTTTCAGACAATTCACATATCGGATTTATCAGAAAACAGGCCCGATTATTAATATCTTTTATCTTAAAAACAGTTGACGACAAGATGAGGAACACTGGGATGACGATCTGGATTCTGACGATAGTTACATTCGTGGCGACATTTGCATACATAGGGATGAAACCCGTATATGCAAGTCCAACCTGCATTTTGGTAAAATTTATTACCTTCTTCTGCTCGCAATTACTTGTTGCATTTCTGTTTAGTTGTCATTGCTCAATGTTTTTGACGATTATTTAGAACTGCGCACAATGCGTCAGGATGTTGGGCGACTACTTTGATGGACAACGGTGTGCAGACTATTGCATATCTCAGAAGGGTCGATTCATCCCTGATTGCGACGATATTTTCTCCATCTCAGCATTTCTCTCCAAAATGGACTAGTATCCATTTTCGCTATTTCTTTGTGAATATGAGTTATTTATGTTTATGTAATATTTGTGAAATTTGATTAGTGAATATTTTAGACATAGAAAAAAAATAAATCGTTTCTGATGCTAAAGATACATAAAATAGTTATTCTTCAAAGTATGCAATATTCAGTTTTCCAATACTATGAAATTTTGGTAATAATTTTGACATAATACATAATACCCCAGCCACCTACATGACCCCCCACCGATCAACCACTTTTTTGCTAATGTTCGAACTCATCCATGGCTTTGTTGAGATTTTGAACAACAAGCTGGTAAAGATCAGTGCAGTGGTTCCTCCGCTAGTGTGTTGCAGATAGACACACAGACACACCGATTCCACAAGCCCTGAATCGGGCTAAAAATAATCTATAAAATTTCAATTGTAATTGCCTATGAATTTCTTTGTAGTACAGTTACATAACAGAAAATAATTTACATATATTCTTAGTTCATGCAAAAATTTAAACTGGAAATAAAACAAACTTGAATATGTAGTAAAGCGTTTATAGTTTATTTAAACCAACCCATAATTCATAAATATGCATGTACCACAATGTAAAACAATGTAAAACATGACTAACTACAAGGTAACAATTGTTCACATAGACAAAAAGCAAGGTGGTCAATAGTCCAGCTTGGAGAGGAATGCCGAGATGGAGAAAATGTCGTGACAATCTGGGATGAATCGACCCTTCTGAGAAATACAGTGGTCTGCACATCGTCGCCCATCAAAGTAGTCGCCCAACATCCGTTTGCATTGGCCGCAGTTTTTGAAGCATATCTTCACCCGACTCAAAGAGGTCGAGGTGGACGCGTCGCCAAGAGTGGGGAGCAGACCAGCAAACAACACCATCAAAATCACGGCGAGGCTGACCCATTTCTGTCTCATGTTTCCTCGCTGGAAGAATAAATTAAACCCAAAAGTGTACAATTGTGCATTTACTCATGACAGGATTAAGTGGAAATATAAAATATGAAAAATTACGTGTATCTTGTTGATTGATATACAATTAAATCAAGTTGCTCGAGTTCTTTCTTTTCACCAAAAACGAATTGACCGAATGTGTTTCACGCAGAGTGCTGGACGTTATTCGTATATGTACGAAACAGAAAAACTACTCCTCGTATTATATTTGACGAAAAGAGACGATACAAAATTTTGAGATGAAAATATGGTGCACGAAATGGAACTAAGAAGCAGGTGACGTTGGTGGAAAAGAAGATTCACAGGACCACAATGGTTACGGTATGACGATGTATGTCTGTCCACGAACCTGAACTTTGTGAACCTTGCAAATCTGACATTGGTACTTATATAGGATTCGCTCGGAACAAACGCTCATTTGAAAAATCATAACATTGAACATCCTACTACCAGCATAATACGTTGTATATAAAAAACATGTAATTGACAACCTGTATCACATTAGCGTAGTACCACCAAAAAAAGACATTAACAATTTATGACGTGTAGTTTTTGCACTTATTTTCCTTGCTATATTAGTACATGCATGTGTATTATGTGTGGATAAGTCCGCACCTAGAAGAAGTATGCACTTATACATAAACTCTACTTTTTGCTCCTGATTAAGCCTGCAAAAAACACTCATGCATCCAAATAAAAAGACTTATAAAATGAGCTGAGTATAATGTGACAAGTTGGCCAAAACTCGTTAAAAATTAGACATTCACACCAAACACAAATCCTCGTTGTTGTAACTGTAAGTCAGATTAAATGGTCGAAATTAGACCAAGCACGGTTTATCGAACCTTATTAAATGAATTACACATGCAAGAAAAGCATTATTGCATGCACCTACACGCATAAGAAGTCGAGTTAAATCGTGGGTTAAGGCAATATAGGTTAGAAATATGAATGTCAATGTCACGGCAAAAGGAGAAGATGTGCGGAAAAATAAGGTGCGGTTAAAAACAATAGGATATGATTTAGACAGGAGATGAATGTGTAAGTAAACCCTTTTAGCACATCATACTCGTATTAGTACAACAACAACAACACGACGCTTATGGGATGATAGTGGTGTCAAGTAAGTTGGTTGGTTAATATTAAAATTGGAATGATATTCCTGAGGCTCTGCCAAGGTTGCATATTAAATGTCAACTTACAAGTATGGTCAATCATTGTATTTAGCTGCAGGCCGGCAAAGCAAACTCCTATTGTGCGACATTAATCAATCTGTTTGACTCACTGTACAAATACATTATTGTAATTTATCTCCGAGGCGAATTGACTAACTAACCTTCCGCTTCCTCATCTTATACAACTGTATTCAGCCTGCAGAAATCTGCGAATCTCATCTTGCCTCAAAACCCTAGCCCTCATTCATCATCACAATGTTATTATTGCCACTAAAATTATTGCTTCTATGCAATTGACGAGTTTCCTTTTCAGGTTAACACTGTGATAATATAGTTAAATTTTGGACTGATAATAATAGGGCAATATTCTCAATAATTCTCATCATGTCTCAAATGATATTGTTGCAATGAGAACGACGTATCGGGGAGGCGAGTTGAGATGCCCCATTTTGGTGAAGTTGGGAGCAGATAGCTCAGGCTGAGCGTAGCTAGCGCTGTTAGTGAGGCCAATTTACACTTCTGACTTCTAGCCGGCAGTTTAAATCCCTTTTTGATTGCTCAAGAGAGAAAGTTTTCTTACTTTTTTAAGAAAATTGTTGGATAGGTCTGGCCAACCCCCAACAAGGACCCCACTTGTCCAGCAGGCTCTTGCACCCTTCATCAGCCCGTCCTCCCCTCTCAAGCCCAGTAAGTCTTCACCACTGCCAACAATCTCTCGTCTACAGCTATAAATGCCAGTTATACATAATTAAATTGTCCAAAATCGGAACCCTTCAAGTTTCTACCTCTCTGGCTGGCTGGTCGTCGTCATCAAGCTATTATTTCCTTTAATTCGCCATTTTCATTTATTTCAGTCCATGTTAAATGTTGGACCGGCAAAATAATCCTCTTGAAATAACTACAATGGTTAGTCGAATTTCAGTTGTTAAAATGCGTGATAAAATGGTTGTTAAAATGGTAAGTAAATAAACGATGGTTTCATTCTTTTTTTTGCAGGACGTGTTTTTAATGGTTTGTCGAAAGAAGACGACAATCTTCTTGGACGGTAAATCTTCTTTGCAAATTAATGGTTTTATAAAGTAAAAGCTGACGAACCTCCCATTTTAAATAAAAAATATTAACAAGCTCATTGAAAACTCACTCGAGATGACCGTGTACTTGGTTTAATTGTATGCGTGTATAATTATATTTCAGCCAAAGAAGACACTCAAGTTCTTGAACTAAAAAAAATGATTGCAGGTTATTTTGAATTTTGAAACAACAAACATTACTTCAGTTATAAATTAATCACTGAATCATTGTTGTAATTTTGTTGGACGATAATACTCTGAACAGCTTATTAGACTATGATTCAACATAATAATAATTTCTGAATGATTTCAGGAATTACGAAAGTGAAACCAAGCAATCAGCGTCTGTTCAAGGAACGAGAGGAGTTAAAGGATGAGCGAACATTAGCAGAGTATGGATTTACAGCAAATTCAGCTAAACCACAAAAGCCTGGATCAATCGGACTGGCTTTTAGGTATGAAAAACTAACATTGCTTATTTTGGGATTTCTCAAATGGATCGTTATTCAATGGATTACTGTATATATTGACGAACTTTTAGAAACGAAAATGGCGATTGGGAAGATTTGGAAATAACACCATTGTCTCTGCCTCCAGAGCTTCCGGAAGTGATGAGACCACAAGAAACAGCACAGTCAGAACAGCAGACTGCATAAAAGATTTGGAGTGGGGCCTTTTAAAACATCTGAAGATTTCGTTCTCCTGCTGTATTTGCAAAACTTTAAATACCATTATATTAACCACTATCACATTTAACTTAACTTGTTGTGTAAGAAGAAGCGCGGCACTACCCTGCTCTGAATCTAAACTTCTTCATCCTACTCCTTAGTATGCACAACAAAAATAATTTCAATAACTCGAGTCTGGTTATAATCATCACCTAAGTTTATTGTAAGCAAGTTAATAATGATTTATTATCCTTTGTTGGAATCAAGTTCAAAATTATTATTTTTTGATGTTTCGCAGTTTTCCGTTGTAAGAAAAATAATATCCGCTATTAATTGCAACAATTCTAATTACTAGTAATTGTTACGCGATTATTACTATTATTATATATGTATGTGGGTTGCCGATGCCGATTGGTAGATATAATTTAGTTTGTCTTTCAATTTGAATTAATCGAGTTGCATCAAGTATTTTCAATCGTGTTAAAAAATAATAATTTATCCTTTAAAAGAAATTGTATCGCGACCATGTAATAAAAAACCTAAAGAAATAAAACTACATTGATAATTATATTTTATTCAGCGCATTAAAAAAATTACATTTAACTAATATTAAATTCGAATATAAATGCCCAAGAAAAGTCAAAGAGAAGAGCTTGACAGAGTGAGTACTGCAGGTCTATTTATTTATCGAGCATCAAAAACTATCACTGCAAACATATCGAAAAAAATAATGAGAATTTGTCCACCATCAATGACCTTCAATTCAAAGCACGTGTATCAGTACTTACATCTCTTTGTCCTCTTCTTGTACATGATTCGATAACCACACTCTCTGCATCTGATGGGATCTCTTGCCCGAATCTCATTTTCATTGTGGCATTCTAGAGAAAAACAAGAAAACCTTGAAACATTAAAATAAACGTCGGACCTATGATAACTGAGGAGTTTTGCATGCTTGATCCTCACCCCCACAAATGTAAACCATTGGCTGCTTCGATACTGACTGTTCCTTATTTGTCTGCGCTTGGCTCGGTGGTTGATTCGGATTTGGGGTGTCCATCTTCAAAATCTTGGGACAAAAACAATTTCAAAATGCATTACTATTTCAAAATTAGCTAGCACAATCTAAAACTCGTAATACAAACACAAAAAGGTGAAACAAATTATAGATAATAATATGGTCACACACTTTTGTATTAATCAACGCAAATGTATCCGCTCACCTGAAATTATTTCTAAATAAATAAAGACTTGACAAATTTCCAAGAAAATAACTTTCCAAGAAAGCCGGAAATCGCGAAATTGCTTCAAGTTTAGCAGAGCAAAACTCGATGATACGAAGGACGACACGATGTGTCTCTCAAAAGTCAGAATCTCAATTTTCAGAATGTACGTACAGGGTGGAAAGGACGAGTGGAGCGCAATGTTGACGGCCTACCCTGAACAGATGGTTGAATTGTGGTGAGCGGTAAACGGTAGTTGGAGGCAAAGTTTGCCCATTCAGAGAAATCTCAACTCAGTCTCCAGCCAACCTTCTTCGTCCCCACTTCATTTCCTTCCCTTCACAACAACAACATCAACATTGGGGCAATGACGATAAGTTAAGTTGGGTCCGTCAGAGAGAGAGAGAGGGGCTTATCCAGGAGAGAAGGAGGGGGTCACAGCTTTCCCCATGGGTTACAACCAAATGGACACGGACAGTGCTTTCTCCTCTCTCGACCCGCTGTCCTCCCCTCTCCCACTCGCCCTCGTCCCCACCTTCTCATCCACACCCAATGACGTCTCAGTCGTCGTCGCCAAAACTCAAGCCATCAGCAGTAGCAAGGAGACTCCTCCTTCCCATCTCTCACTCCTGTCCCTGGACGCCGTCGCGTTGGACAAGATCTTGTCATTCTTATCGGACCAAGATTTGATAAACTTTCACCAGGTTAGTCATGCCTGTTCAGCAGCGCTGGTGAACAGACCTCTTATCAATAAGCGCCGACTAGATTTGGTGCGAAAGATCCGAGAGAATAAGGAAAATATTGCGAGGAGAATCAAGGTAATTTAATCCTATTTTTTTTTAATTTTGCACATTATTTATATATTGATAGATAGGGATAAATATTTACATTGTTGTGTTTGTTTACTAGGAGGATAATCCGACAAATGACGTAAGTCGAATCAACAGATCTGGCCATAAATCAGGGACGTTGTTGCTGGTAGATTGCAAAAATGTCCTCCAGAGCACCCCCGAAACACCAAGGGTTGACAACAAATCTGGCAGCTTTCTAACCCCAATCTCTCATTTTTCATTCCAGAGTTTCGAAGAAGTAAGCAATATATATATATTTATTATGCGTAAAAATATTCTTGTACTTGTGAATAGGATGTAAATTGTTTGTGTTTTGCTAATAACTAAATAATATTATTCTAGTCGGATAAAAGTTTACAAAGTGGGCAAGAATGTGGAGGACCGTCGCCCCCGACACCAATCTTGAAAGGATCATTAAAGAAAACGACAGCCACAAGATGCAGACTCACGTCTCGAATGGGGGAAGAGGACGACTCAACTCCTACTTCGCCACTCAAACTAGAAGTCAAGGGAGACCTGGACGTGATTATCTCTAAAAAATTAAAACCTCAAACTCAAATTGTTTCAGCAACACCACCACTACAGCCTTGTTCAACTGATGTCCCATCAACTCGTGCTTTGGGGGAAAGAATGTCAACATTTCTGGTGATTTCTGATACTTCGACGCAAAGTTGTCACATAATTGACTCTGAGTCATTCGAAAGTTATAGCGAAAGTGATGAGAATAATAATAATTATAGTACTAGTTATTCCGGAAACATTAGTGATCTTTCAAAGAAAGATGGTGAAAAGAAGGGCAAAGGGAAAGGGAAAGTAAAGAAGGGATCCAAAGACAAAGTCACTAGTTCAAAGAAATTTTTGCGTAGAATTGCCAAATTATGATTTGTGGCTTGTTGTATATCGTAATTTTTTTAGCTGGTTGTGCAAAGTTTTTGCATGGCAAACCTTATATACATTTCTACTACAATGCTTTTAATACTAGAATATTTACTACTAGGCATAGTGCTATTGAATGAGATGTAATCAGAGCATGTAAAATTCAGTTTCCAGTTTATTCGTATCGCCGTACTTTTGCTTGTTAATTGTAGTAGTTTTCTCCAAAAAAAATATTGTGAATGAAACCTATAGTGTTGCTCATATATTCTTATTATTTACTTGTTACTCGTTGAACTTATGCTTTTTTAAATGTTGGTAGTAGTGCAAAGTAGATTATAGAACGAATGTATGAGGTGAAGGATTAAAAATCGAGAGGAGTCAAAAAGTCACCATTACAAGTATTTGGCAAAGAGACCGATTAGTGTCTTCCATTACTTGTGGTAAGTGATAATATTTGCCAGTTGAAAGACACCGACGATGACGATGAATGAATCCTATTTAATACTTTTACATATATATAACCTCCTCTTGATTCATTCCAATATGTGGCCTTTCAATGTTCGATTAAGCATTCCAAAATTATTTTACAGAACTTATACCATTCTACACCATCATTCATCGTCCTTATGTAATTCTGCATGTGACAAATAATTGGTTTATTTTATTAGCATTTAAGATTATTAGTAAGTTTTCCACTTGACTGACTGACAGATAGGTAGATTTTTTGCTTACTTGGAAAGAAGAACGAACATCACTTTGTTCATATCAACGGGTTTATTTTCTATGTTGATTTTTAATCATTGTAGTAAGTTTTGCAAGTTTTTTTACTGCCTTCCTCCTACCTCACTCTGTGTTTTTAGCACAAAGCTCTGCAAGCAGCATTTATTTGTACAATATGAAACAGTTCAATGATCAACGTTTACGCTTAATATTTACTGAAAAATAGAACTTATGACGCTTAGAAAAGTTCAATACTTAATAATAAATAATCTATTATTATTATTATTACCTAACATAGCCTTTAATGGAACAGCGAGTTCTCTCATCTACATTGTACGCTTACAAGACGCTTATTGATAAATATATATAAAATCATGTGCCTTTCCCAAGAATTCATGTTAATTCATCATGATAAGAGTTATCCTAACAGTAATAATAACTAATACTACTGTTAGGAATGATTGGAGATGTGGTTTCCTTCCATTGTACAAATATTAGGTTACAAAACATCAATCTTTAATTTTCGTAATGTTTCATTCATTGTCGGTTGGTTTGTGAGTTTATGTTCCAGGTGGATTGTCCGATAACAACAAGATGACCCATGTGTGGTATTTATATTTAAATAAACTGACGAACTGACCTTATCTCTTGAACTGTGTATGTGGTAGTGCAAATTTAAGTGTGTGCTGGTTTAATGATGTAATTTTAAAGCCTACGACAGCAGTCAATGGCTTCTCGATATATGGGCGTCATGTTGTCTTTGTTTAATATGTACGCATCGCAATATTTAATATGTGAACTGTATGCTTACTCTAAATTACTTATTACACCAGAAGTCTGAGATTTATTATGATATTCTTTAATTTATATGTTCTGCTGGTCAACGCAGTTCCCTGCCATTTATTATACTCACCAAAAGTACCAACCAACTAATCAATGCATAATTTTTTATACTCACCCCCAATTTTATAAGCAACTATTTTTACTTTTCAAATATTTCCTGTTTTACTAGATTTTTTTTGTATTTGGCCACCAGTATTTGTTAACTCTATTATGAACATAACTCTACTTTTCGATGTAGCAACAGCACTCAAGTATTGTCCAATGAGATTTGCAATAATTAAGTTTATCGCCTAATTTTATGAGTTAGTTAAAGAAAAAAAGTCTGTGAATAGTTTTACACGTTTTACATAGGTTTTAATACAATTGTTTTAAATAAAAGATTTTTAAGGAGAGAAAATTAAACAAAAAAAACAATTTTCTGATATCAAAATGAGTGTTAAATTAGATTAAACAGTGACATTTTTATTGCTGACTCCCGACCGAAGCGGGGTCACTCAGAGCGTGTATGCATTATAAACTTCGACTGTTCAGCTTTTTGAGGAGTTTCGTCGGTTTTGGTCAACTTAGGACGAGGGCGAAAAACTGACGTGCGTGGGGAAGGCTTGGTCATCATAATCTATGTGAAACGTAAGTTTGAGTCTTTGGATTCATCAGCAAACATTGCGAATGTATGTGCTCAGATATGTGTATTGAACGGAAAAATTACACATATGCAAGCAATTACAATATATATATTTGTTTATTCATTGGTTAAAGCTGTCACATCAAAGCTGAGCATTAAGACGTGGAGCCAGCACTAATACATCCAGGCATTCATTGTTTGCACTTGAATTGAAACAAGCTTTTCGCAAATATTTGCAACAACGGCCACTCAGATTATGCAACTGTAGACCACATCCTCACAGTGCGCTTATACATACATAAGTCGTGATTCTGAAATAAGTAAAAAACAGTGTAGGGTATTCAGCATTCCAGAGCTTGACCACTGCAAATTTAGCTTGAGGATGAGTGCGAGCACCTACCACAGCATTGCCACAAACTATTATACCAAGACTTCATTTTCACAGCAAAATAACGCTCGCAACCATGTGAAAAAGACACTGAAACCGAGGATGTGATTACACAAATGTGCATGCTTATAGAGTTGCAGGGGGAGATTTTCATGATTTCTCTTGCCTTTGTCAACCGCCTTCTTAAGACAAAGCAATGTAACACCTGTCGAGAATCGCACGCGAATGGGTGAACCTGTGTTTGGCAATGAATTTTTTTATCCCCCTGCATAAATGTGCAGGTGAATGTGCAATCTGCTGCTGTTAGTTTTTTTAGTTTTGGTCAAAATGTGAAAATTACTTTCAGACGTCGTCATATGCAAGGTGCAAGGTCAATTTTGTAATAAACTATCGACTATGCAATACATCTGCCATTCATGCCTGTGGCTCGTGTCCTACATATGTAGTAGTATTATTTATAAGTCTTCAGTTGCCCTATTGTCACTAAAAAATTGCATGTGGTCATTTCATGCAGATATTGTATTGCCACTCAAGTAAATAATAAAGCTCTGCATTTTTATGTTTTTTTTGAGAGCCTACGGATGTGGAGTAGTCTAGAAGTGTTTGATTTGGACGAAAACAATATCTCTCATTTATTTCCAACGAATAAAAAAACAATTATGTCGTAGGTTGAGTAGTTGGGTTGGTGAAAATGAGACCCAGTCAGTCCTCAGAGAATCCTGCATACGACAAGTCATGTACATCATAAATAGATGACGATAATACTTACGCAAACGGACATGCGACATTAAATATATTCAACCGACAAACTTTATTATTATATACATTCACTTATATATAGGACATGCCATCTCAAACATAGGTAGGCACATAATACGGTTAAAAAGAGTACAGTGGAATGCAAGCATGATTATCATTATTGAAAAGGCATCACAAACAGCATGCTCATATGTTCAAATTAAAGTCTGCATCAAATTTCACATCCTTATTTAGTGTACAAGCCAAATGCCAATTTGCTTAAGCGAGCACGAACGAACAGATGCGAAAATAGATTTATATATAAATCAAGATCTAACATCATCTATTTTACGTGCATACAAATATAAGTAACAATACATTCTGGTACCATGCACCAATTCAGTTTGTCATGAATAACAATAAAATTCGCTTGGTTATTAAAGAGTGCATATGTGCATATGTAGTGTGTTACTTAATTCAACTAATGGAATATTTCATGGCAAATCGTCTTTCATGTCCAGGCAGACTGGCACCAAAAAATTATGAGCAAGTAATTATCCAATGAAAGAAGAAAGAGAGAACCCTTATAAGAAAAAATATTGCATTGTAAAATTCGGCCAGTACGAGTCCTTATCTTGATAAATATATGGCATCACGTATTTCAGATAAAACTCAATACAATAGAATATTTAAGTTCTTTTGCAAAAGTCCCAGGTACTTTGTAAATTGATACATATCCTAAGTCTTATCTTTTTAATAGCTACACGTCATGTATTGAAGTGACTGCTTTGAAGTGTAACCGGACACTAATGGCGCCTAGTAGTCATTAAGATTTGTGATTTGCCAACTTCTGGGTGGGTTCAGTATCAGGTAACTATTGATGAGAATCGTTCCATGATGTTGTCGAATTACAGTTACGTGTGTACTTTTAGTTTTTGAATAAGGTGCAACATGCATCAGTCTAATTTGAGGTCTTTGGTCGCGTCTAGTACTTGCTGCACGCGGTCGTCATGTGGTTTCGTATTACTAAGATTATCGTTAATTTCTCCAACTCAATCCCATGCAGCAATGTCTACCCAAATGGGTACGTTATATAACCAAATAAGGACGAAAATCTGTAAAACAAATGCATGTTCACTTATTTTTTTGTCAACATAATTGCGAACAAATAGTTGCATACATACTGGAAAACAAATGGATAGACAAAAACCGAAGCCATGCTCGGGTTAATTGCAACTTACGCCGAGGATATCAAGCTGAATATTTGGGACAATTTACTTGGGGGCTTGGGTTCTGCAAGTCCACCTCGACTTATACGAATATGAGGAGGACGGGGTTTGCACAGCTCTTCACGGTCATGGCTTCGTCCTGACCGAATGTCGCATAAGAGTCTCGCTTTGCACTCCGCATCACATTCTGGTGCCACTGGCGAATTTTTGTTGTAAAATCTACAGAGATATTAATTTCATATGGATAATTACTTAACTACGCAAGATTTATCGCACAAGACATATTTTGATTGAGCAGTACATATACCTGTAGTATAGATTAAACAGTGGCTTGTTCTCGTACATGGACATGACCAACTCGTCCCATTGCAGAGGGTTGAGAGAGGAAAGACCGTAGGCTTCTCTAGCTGAGTATAACTTGTACCACGTCAATTGTCTGGCCCGTACACGATTGGCTTCTCCGAGATCAGTCACCCAAGTGTCATGATCTACCACGCTCTATATCGACAAAGGGAATAGTATTATAATAATTAAGGCTTACTCGAGATGCAATAGTTATACAATTTTCCATACCCTGGTGGACATTGGATAATCGCCATCAACGTAGTAAATCCTATACCCTGGGTTGAGATTGAAATATGGTGTCACTGAAGGTCCAATATATGCTATACTTGCAGCCCTGTAAGGGTCTTCTTTGGGATAAAAGATTTCCATTTCGTCGTAATGTGTGTGTCCAAAAAATTGAGCTGCGACAGTTCCCTCGTATCTGTGTACAATATGTAGCGTAATTGAGCATGTTGCAGTTCTGAATGTATATGATAAAGGAATCATAGAAAGATGAGGGGCTGTATTTTCTTACCGAGATATGATGTCATAATAATTTGTAGACCATGTAGCCATGCTGCAAACAAGTTCAAAATATGAAAATGAGAAGAAATTTCAAATTATGCAAGTAAATTAATATTATATGCATATGTATTAGATTATACTAACCAGTCGGCATGACCGGGGGGTATGTGACCTATAGGATTTAAAGGCACATACTTAGCCTTAGTGTGTTTAATATTAGTTAGTAGAATACATAAATATAAACAAAAACCAACCAATAATGTGAACCTTTTCACCGAGTAATTCTGAGGATTGTAGCTCAAAGATCAACCACTTTAACTCGTCCACGGGGTCAGTACTATTTACAAGTAACCACCTGCACAAATTTAATGTTTTATGTACCATAGTTTAGTGTTTTATCATAGTCAAACGGATAGGCTTATGTCACCAATTACCAATTTTTGTTGTTGCAGTAATTCATGTTAAGTGAGATCAACTTGAATCCTGGTTTGATGAGTGTGGAATAAAAGGCTCCTTCCCTTATCGTGGTTTGTGTCGTGTCTGGTAACCATCTTGACCAATCGTTTTGAAGCTCCTTGTACAACCAGTCGATGCTGAACTTTGGATCGGTAACCCATGGAGGGGCGAACCCATTGACTGTCAAAAGAAAACAACAATGTTGAACCTTAGACGTCGCAACGCATTAATTCATAAAACTAGAATACCAATAGAAAAATGACAAAATCGCAAGGATTTTTTTCACAAATATAAAAATTATGTGTACCTGGAGCTGCTTCATGATTTCCAAGCGCAGGAAAAATTGGAACGTACGGGAAATATTGTGAAAACAAGTCGACCGTTTCCCTAATCATTTTCAGATTAGTGTCATGGGTTTGATTCTGAAAACAAAGTTGAATGCAACATCCACCAATTAATTATACGTTTATATCACATTGATCAAATGTCTGATTACCCAAACATCATGGGCCGGAATATCTCCAGTCCAAATGATGTAATCAATGTCCTGTCGGTAGAATTTCAAATTATTTTCATAAAATTCATCATACAGCTATGAGTTTCATGCTCATCAGGAAATAAATAAGCAAACTAACGCTGTGAACTTTGCTAATATGTTCAAACATGGATTCCATTGTGTTACGAGGAGTATCGCACTTTCGATAATCCCCCCAAAGGCCTGCACCCAAGTGCGGTCTCGGTGGCTTTGGTCCCGATGTTACTCTGCAACATAGAGGTTCCCCACAATCTGCATTGCTTCCTGGTTCGTAGTAAGGGTCCCAATGAGTGTCAGATATCTGAAGCACCTTCAGTTTTGGTGCTCCTTTCTATGAGGAAATAACACAAGTGTAAGATTATTACCCCATGTCGTCGAGGCGTTTCGATTAAAACAGATATAGTCAACAAATGGTGTCTGCAAATACTTTGCAAACATTTTTGGCCGAAACCGTTATTTTTGTACGCATGCCATCAGCATCATGTCATTGTCATCATCATTCATTTCATGGCCGGAGGGAGCGTTCTATTAATATTCCGATGAAAACCACTCAGCCAGACAAATCCTCCACTGTTCAAATTCTTATAACTCTGACTATCTAACACTTTTGAATCTTATGGTTTGTCGGTAACGTAGATTCTGTGATAGATGAGTCGCTAAAATATTGTGCGATAAACTTGGACCACAAAAGTTTGTAATTGAATTTTAAACACTTATGTCATGCTCTATCTCATTTGTTATTATGTCACTCATGTCAGATACTGTACATGTGTAAGGATTGCAAAAAAGCCAATCGCGTCAGTGCATAAAGCGATTGTTATTCTGGCGTCATCCACGCAGAATCTGTGTCGAAAAAGTTCATTCGCCCAATTCTCAAAGTTCAATATCGTCCAGCCTATACCACTACATAGATATTCAGCTTAAACATTTAACCAATAGTATCCCAATAAATATGTCATTTATATAGTTATTAACTTTGAGAAAAGGGTTGTTGTACCTTTGGTTCCGGAAACCCATGAAAAGGTGGTTTTGGGATGGGAGGAAAAGCAACGTCCCACCTACAATTACATGGAATTTGCATACATTTATATGTAGGAGACCTTTACAATAATATCATTTTCTCTTTTTGAAGCCAGTCCCTTCTTTCCTTTGCATATATTAATCGTGTGCATACCGCCAATTGGGAGACACAGGAACTCCGCAAGTCTCGCCTATAACTAGGGCACAAATGTCATTGGAGTCAAGGACCACCCCTTTGAGCACCTCAACAATCTCATCCTACATAAACAAGAGGGTCTTGTGAGTACCATGCCATAATTTATAACCTTGACCTTTGTGCACTTTCATCAAAGTGCACTAAATTGAAGGTCACTTTACTTATTATAAAAGAAATTCTCAAAATTTACCACGTAAATGTCAACAATTCCAGTACAAACACGAGGTGTCTGCATCTTTAGATTGATACCTAAATAAATATCGGTAAATCGTGTAAGATGTATACATAATATCTTCAAACTGTTTACAGAGAAAATACATACAAAGCTTTATAGCAGCAGCAGCAATTTCGGAATTCCGTCGTCCACTTTGAACGTAGTGGTTGAGTAGACTAACGCCTGTTATAAGCATGATGTAATTTATTTCAGTTACGATTTATCAAATTATACAATCTTTAGTAATCTTCTATTCAAGTAAGATTATGTATAAGATACTAACTAACCTGCTTTACAAGCACTGCAGGACACAGAACTCATGACTAGAATAATCATTATAATGACTATTTAATATTTACTCATGGTAAATCACTTATAAAAATATGGAAATACTTCACGTTACCCGAAGTCTCAATTTCCCGTACCACTCGGCTGAGGTCTAGCACACTGGAAAATCTGGAAAATATGGACGATACACCGTCCAGAGATCGACCTGAGTCTTCCCTCGTAGAAGTACTCCTGCTGTCACCACCATCACCCGTACTGGTCAGCCTTGTCGACGTTTGATTCAATGTCGCGTCCACAACCTGATGTGTCAGCTCATCAATTTCCATTTCCTTCCTCAACAGACCCCCTTTGCCATCATCCGGCTCATGATGAACCTTTGACCTGTCGTCAGCTCTTTTCCTTGGCAGATAATTGCTCTTCTCGTTGTCATCGTCCATTTCAAAATGCTCCTCAACATTGGGCGAGGAATTATTGTTGAGACTAGATGAGCTACGTAAGGAGAGCATCGAGTAGTGAGCATTGTTATCATGAACCTTGACACTGACACTGACTCCGGGGTGAGTTATGTGATGTTCCTTGTACTGTTGTAAAAGTTGCCGATGCAATTTTTGCTGTTGTTGGAGTCTCGTCCTCTTGTTCACCAAAAACTCGACCGCTCTGGTGTATATGTCTTGGCTGTGGCTGGCTGGTTCTTGTGGCACAAGTGGAATTCTAGGAGAAGGTGTGTGGTTGTCATTGTGGTTTAAGCTCAGTAAATTATCTGGCGTTGCGGTAACAAAACTGTACTTGGATCCTGAGATTGATGCTAAAACAAAAAACGATATTCTAAAATACTCAAAAACCATTTTTTGGCACAAAGTCATTTCTTCCCTAGAAATTTCGTTGACAGTGATATTACGGGAAATTATTCAAGCCTTCTAACAAGTAAATGATAAGTCTAGTTCTGGTCATAAATATATGGATATATTTACTAGAAATTTAACGTGTTTCTTGTGACTATGATTTATTATGTACGACAGGAAGGACCTGCTGCAAAATCGAGTAAGATATGTAGGCACATAAAATTGTCCTGAACCGTTCGTCTCATCTCATCTCCAATCTCATCACAATCTTAATTAGGACACAATACAAATGTTGATTATCTAGAAGTTAGTTTTTTTCGGCAATGTGGGCAGTAGTAGTGGTTTATCTTATGGCAATTGCCTCCTCGTCCCCACCAAGAATTTAAAGTTAGGTGAATTATTCCACAGCCTGTTATTTAATCTGGGGTCGAACTGTCTGCCGTAGCCTGATAATAAAAATATACGTCTGAGGTCTGACTGGGTCTGAAGATGAGTTGAATCTTGTCTTCGGTGCATAAAGAGAAATTTGATTATTGTGCAACTATTGGGAAACAAGTAACTGTGAAAACATTACAGCACGAGTAATGTAAATGAACATAGGTAATACTTATTAAATACTATCATCAGCGTTATCGTTATGGCTGATTTTAAGCTGCAATCTACCACACTTGTGCTTGTCTCAATACATAAACTCGTCAAAAAAGCGAGGCTTCCAATTGTGGCAGAACTTCAATCAAAGAACTAACAATAAATTACGCTAGTCTAGCTTATAACTCTAGAAAAGAAAATTTGAGAATTTCTTACCACACAAAAGCAATATTCCAACTGCTCCCACCAATCTAACAAGTTTACACCTATTCGCATAGGAATTGGCTCCCCGTCCTTCCAATATTTGACCCACTGCTCCCGTCCTGACCCACTGCGTTTCTCTTGAGGAACTCATTTTTCACTTTTATGTATAGTAAACTACTTTAAACTCACATTAAAATCTTTTCTCACGTTTCAATAACATCAATTCCATCGTGCTTTATGCACGTGTTTGAATGTCATACAAGAAAAAAACTATGATGGATTATCCGAAAATTATGTCGAGTTATATAGTTTTTACAGCTAAGGTCAATATTTTTCAAAACAATGTAGAAACTGTATAATTAAGTATGTATAAAAAAGTTCAGCTGGTAAGGTTAAGTATCAACATCCAAGTCTTTTGGGGTCAATGATTATTTGACGACTGATGAACTGAGACGCTGCTGCTGCTGTTGCTGGACGAACGAAATGGACCTGTTGATTTTACAAGCTGTGAGATGAAGTAAAAAGGGAAGAAGATTGGTCCAATTGAGAAAAATGAGATGGGATGATCTGCTTGTAAATTGTTCATGGTGATCTTGACTGTGTTGTTGGACGAATCATTTTGAAGACATACTTACCACACCACTACCGTACTTTGAGTACTGATGGTGCTCGTTCGGGGGTAACGTATATGTCTCATTAATTAAATAAACACGATTCAATTGTTTCCTACAAAGTCAAATCTGAGAATGACTTGTGTTAATAATGAGTCTCATTGAAGAAATAAATCTACTGCGCCACCACTATTAATCGATCATATGATGCTGCTGAGAAGGATGAATCAAATAATCAACTCCAAGGTTAACTGCTGAATTAGACACTCTTCTCTGTGTGGTCTCGCAATATCCTGATGACGACTGTCGACATGTCCAATCCCAAAGTATTTTTGAACAACTTTATCACTTTAAATATGTGGGTTCAACAACTCCAGTCAAAAATTATATTTTACATTTTTAGGACTTGTGCATGGGATTAACTAAATATAAAAAAGTACGAAGAAGCCTAAATAGCAACTTGACCATGCACACCACCCATGAATGTGCAATGTTCTTTGCCACGAAGCAGTTTAAAGACTGTGGAAGCAAGTCTTGGTTGAGTGACTTTTTTAACCCAACTTTACAACAATGCATCCAACACAGAATATGTCAGTTTGATGCGTACAGGTAGTTGGAAAAGTATCTGCACAGGACATGCCTATTCTGCTATAATAGTTTGTAGTTGGTTGAATTTGCTCTTGATGGAGGGAGTTTCCTCGACCTTTTGCCGCAGATAAAGTGCGGATTGTGGATGTAAGTATGTATGTAGTGCAAATTTAGGATTAGTGTGGTGCATACCTGTGTTAATAATAAATTGGATTATGAAAGCTATGATTCCACCATAAAAGAATAAATCCTCTCCCTGCATTATACATTATTGCTTACTTAATATTAAAACATACATACTTTCTGAGCACGCAAGAATGATCTTTCTACTAATGCATTTATAAAATGAGACCCGACTACACATTTCGCAAGTCGGTTTAGTTATAATAACCATTTGAAGGCCGTCCTATTTCCGAAAACTGTTTACTATTAAGTATTTTACTTGATTTCAGAACATACACCGACATAAACGATCCGAAGGTGTCTCGTTGTTTACAATATGAATGTATTTACTAAAGGCTCCATTAACCCGTAATTTATTATAAGGAAGGACGCAAATTATGGAATTAAATTAGCACCTATTAAAATTGTCTTGCTTTGTTTTCCATTCCGGTCTTGTTAATACCTTGTAAGATTTTTAATTACCTCAAAATGTCGAAAACTGTGTTATACCGAATCCGCACTCTGCACCTCATTCATTCATCATGCAAGTATTACTAAATTTTCCCATGCATTCTTGGTTGGTTAAGGTCAGTGAGTATTTAGGTTCATCACTGAGCTACCCCATATTTCACTCTAATGCGGCACCGTGGTTAGAAAGACAAATTAACAGGTAATCCTAAAACCTTATATTCTTTACATTTCTTACACATTCTCTCTTTCTTGAGGAAGAGTGAAGTGAAGGTTCAACGGTAATATACTTAAAAGACGTGAGGAGGTTCATCTCGTGCAGTATTATTGTTACGCTCATCCAATTAATGTTCAGTTTGCTCCCATTGATCTCATTTAAATTACGAATACTCACCTACTTACTTACATTTCCCTCTCAATGAAAGATTTTCGGTCTAATTTATCACATGCTTACATGTACCAGTGATCCTTGATCGTGGTTTTTAGAGGAAGCTTGATGGTTAAATTAAAATTTATTATGAAATTTTCAGCGTTTCCATTTAGCAAGTACGTATTAAGTTATCACATAAAGTACACTGATAATTTTATAATCATAATTGAGGAAAATATGTTCGTCTTGTTAGTGCTTCAATAATGTGCAAATATTGTAAATAAAAATATGTATCTGTACAATTTAGACTAGTCTGGCAGGAATCTCGACACAGACGACGTCCTTGCCAGTCGCGTCCTTAAGCTCCCACTTGACGACGACCTTGATTTTTGGATAACTTCCAAGAACCGGGAGTTTAACCGAGTACGAGTAACCTTGTCCAGATTGCAGGGGACACGTGATGTTGGAGTTCTGACAAGCGTTGACTTGGGGGAAATGGAAAGGCATTGGCACTCTGAAATCATATAAAATTCATTATTCTACACAACTCACAATCATTATTACAGAAATTGACTTGGCAAAAAAATGTAGTATATACATACCCAGCGACAACCCCATGGACCACAGCAGTCAATTTGGCGATGTCCGCCTTGGGGGTGAAATTAATGTTGATGGTGACATTCGTGCCAGTCTTCAGGTTGCAGACATCACTGTCGCAAGGAATCACTTCCACGTTTTGGATGGACGCGACACTCCCACAATCCGTGTGAGGTGTTTCACTGAACTCTTGCATTAAGTACCACCGATTCACAATGTAAGGTCCATGGTATCGTGGTTTGGACTCCGAACAAGGTGCAAAAGTCGCCAGGAGAGCGGCTGCAGCAAGTATGCACGTGGACTTGTTCATGTTTAGTATCTCCTGTTTATTTTAAATATTATTACTCCGAGTTAATTTGTTGCCACCAATCAATTTATTTTATACCTTTCCGTATTTCTCCGTATGACAAGAGTATTTGTATTGAGACTTAAAAATAGAAAGTTCCAGTGTGTGACTTTTGAGCAATGCAATGCTGTGCAGAAATACATGCATAAGACTAAAAATAAGATGAGATCAGAGTCTAAATATGTGCCACCACTTTTCTTACCCAATAATTATTGTGAAAGGTTTCGATTGATAAACTGGAAGCCAGCTTTATTCGTGCACCACTGGATACAAGATAGTGTAATCTTGAACTGTTTCTTCTCTCCTCATGTGTGCCCCTGCTTGTGGCTCTTCTTATGGCATATCACATAACAAACAGAATTTTGTTAGCTCTAGATTGCTCGTATCTATTTATATTATATTTTCAAACATCACCACTGACCACTACTCAAAAACCGACCAAACTTAGCACAGAAGGACGTGTATTATTGTTCATTCATCAGAAAAACCTACCTTAACCCAAACCACAAGTACTTACATATATGCATAAATATACTAGTGTGTACTCGGTCGGTTGTAGAAGAACAAGAAAAATTTTATTGTGCACTGGCTCCGAGGATCCGGTGGAATAATGGTGCCACAAATACACTTATCACCCAACTGACCAATGTTTAACAAGACATCTCATTTAGACATTTTAGGCTTTACGACGCATTAATATTTAATGCACAAGTATGTCTTCATATATTTAGGTATGCGGTTCATGGAATTTACGTCCTGCATGCAATTGTCGCATGTGATGATGCGTCTTCCCCTTGTACTGCACATATTTATGATGTATGACTGACATGAGAAGAGAGGACTCTCATCATGCCTCGCATTTTTGTATTTATTTTTAATACTATTTATTTACAGTCTGTACACAAGGAACAAATTTCATACCAACATCACGTAGCATTGACGTGAGCATGGCTATATAGAAAAATAGATGGATAAAGGATGGGTGGTGATCGTGTGTGATTGAAAAAAAAATGTATTCGGTTTGACTATCAGTCTGTCAAAAATGGTCATGCAATAAAATAAATGTATGCACAAATTTTGCCATTAGTTTGAGTTTTAGACTTGTGAGTAATAAATATTTCATTATGTACATAGATTCATAAATAGTCTAAAAGTTAATTTAAGGAGGTTCAATCTAGAGTCAATAAATAGTCTCACATGATGCCTTCACATGATGCATTGCTGTAATATACATCTGCATGTAATCATCGATGTCACACAATTTGTAACATTGTCTAATGTTAATCAACCTCTTATTAATGTGACCCATTAATCAATATGTATCATGTCACTTGTGCATGCATGACATTCTCACGATATTTTCAATGACTCATTCACCATTTCTAAAACTCCTTAAATATTTCAATAATAAATAAGTTTGTGATGGTTTAGTTTATTGACATAAGACTTTCTCAACTCTACAAGTATACTAATATCGGAACGTGATAGCATTGGTATGAAGAATGAAACTACAGCATGTGACTTTTTAAAGAGGAATGCAACGTGATAAGTACAAATTTCAGGCATCTACGTATTACAATATCACAATCAACAAAACTTGTGTTAATAATTATAATAAAAACAGAGATTGACAATAACAATTTTAATCAATTCGAACAGGAATTTTAAGACAAACAAGTAGATTTCCAGTGTCCTCTATAAGTTCTCCTTTGATCCACAAGCTTCCCTTTGGGTATTTTGACTTAACAGGAGCTGATATAGAATAGTTGTATAATTGACCTTTAATAATTGGACAGGAAACTCTAATGTCTTTGCAGGCATTTGGCTGTGTTATTATATAAATGCATATGTTTATTATTTGATTTTTTTGTTGACCAGTCACCAGTAATATACAAGTAATAATAATATTTAATAGTTTTACTAACCTGTGGGAAGGGGAATGGAACTGGGATGTAGTCAATGATTCCATAAATTTTGGCCTGCAGTGTTTTAGAGGATTTTTCCGATAAGAAGGACATTTTGAAGGTAACATTGGTTCCTCTATCCAGCACACATCGGTCACCACTTTTCAAATCACAAGGAATAATCTCAACTGATTTTAAAACAGACTCTGATCCTCCACAATTTTTGTACGGTGTCCCAGACGTTGTATCGTATTCGTATTGTGGGAAGTCTTCATCAAACCGTGTCACAACCATAATTGTCGATGATGAAACAATTTTAACACAAATAAGTCTGCAAAATATTAACACCAAAGAGGCTAATTGAGACTGCATAGTAAGTTTTTTTATTTGCAAATAATTTCTGGGATTTTGGACTTGTGACTAAGTGCACATGTTTATGGATCAATTTCCAAAAATAAAATGAATGAAAACCTCAACTCACAAGAATTGACCTAGATTGTGCAGGCATGTCTATGACATATGTATGTACGTATGTTGTCTGTATGTATCACACGCAATTCAACTCCATCTAATTTTCTACCAAGTATCATATTTATTAGACCAATAATCCATCTAATGAACCATAAATAAATCTACTCTGATACTGATCATGGATTGTTGTCAGTTTGTATTATACGTAAGAACGAATGTGATAAGAGAAATATTTATGGATTCGTATTTATGATAAGACAGTTGTATTCAGCAAACTATTACGACTTAGAAATACCACTTCCCAGAAACCCTCAATGCATTTATAACAAACAAACATTGTGTGAGACATCCAGTTTTATTGTCGAACGAAGGTGAGATTTCATACATTTTTTACATGAACCGAAATTGACAATAAATTTTGATAACTGGTAATTTTGTTTTCTACCAACCATGGTACATGCATCATAGATATTTAGATGCGCAATGTCTTAAGAATCTTCGGGTAATTCCGTATTGTTCAAGCAGTTGTCCCAGTCTGGCCAATAGCGAGCCCTTTAAATTTCAAAGAAAATTATATTCACTTCACTCGTAAACTACTTATTAAGCAGTAATAATAATATGTTGTACGTACCTCATTCTCCAACAAAAGTCAGACAGATTTTTGTACGTTTCTAGTAAAGCATAATCAATTTTAACCCAAATATTTGAGCATTTGATTTTTTGACAAAATACCTTTCACGGTTTTCTGAAAAGGACTGCCATCCATGTTCCAGAGCATTTGACTCAGCATTGCGAATGCAGTGCAGTCCAACTCTGTAGCCTTGTCTCCACCAAGAAAGAAATTATTGGGACCTGGATTGAAATAAAGGTCTTAGTACTACATATTTTAATCACCAAAATAAACATTCAGTAATCAGTTTCAAAACATACCCAAAAATTCCGAAAGAGATTTCAAGTCGTCGTTGATGGCAGAAATGACATCGTCAGAAGTCTTTTTTCCAAGCCCATGGAACCATGCAGCTTGTTCAACAGTTCCTGAAAAAAATGCCAAAAAATGTCTCAAGGTTCTTAATAAAATATTCCCTGCATGTCTTCATAGTACTTACTGCAAACGTCAGGGATCACTTCAAGCGTCTTTTTTGGCAGCAATTGAATGTCCCTGCAATTTTTAAGCGTGGTTTAAAAATTAATATGTAAAGTACCACATAAATAAATAAATTTAAGGAATAAAATTAATTACCCGAGTGATCGAGCTCCGTCATAAACCCATCTCCATAAAGCTATGCCCCTATTGTAAATAAATCATGTTTAGCACTTCACATTATGCAGTTGTAGTTTTTAAGCTTAATTACTCACCAGTAGAGATGGTTTTCCAACAAGTGATTGTATGCTCTTGCCACAGCCCTTTTCTTGTCATCAAAATCTTTCTCTGGTTCCATCCCATACTTGTTGACGATGTACGCCAAGCAGTTTTGAGAGTCGGAAATGTCCTCCAGATCTAAAGTGATCCACGGGCTGCTTCTCGATCTAGGTTCGGATCCGGTAAAGTCCACCTGTGATGAAGAATGCTAAACATTTTATTCCTTCTCAACTTTTCTGAACTTGAAAGGTTCACCAAGAAACGCATGCATTCTAACCCACCTCATAGTTGATTCCATTGACGCGAAGAAAAGTTTCCAGCTTGAGAGGATATGGAGCGATGCATGGGGTCCTCCGACCTCTTGGACACTGATGGAGCACGAGAACTCCAGGCTGCTTGGCGTCCCCTTCTTCCGGACTTGTCCCCCCTTTCTGAATTTTTACTGGTGACGACGTTTCATCAATGTTGAACACCACCTTGTTCTTTGATTGTGCTGCCTGCTTCAGCTCGTTCCGTTTTCTGTGAAAGTACCAGGCAGCAGCTCCGCCGATTCCAAGAGTGGTGGCCAAACTCACTCCCACGGCCAGAGTGTTCTTGTCCACATTGGAAATGAGGGTTTCGAAGTACGCTACGACCCGGTCCTTCTCGGAGCGAAAACGATCAAGGAATCCCTCCGCAATTATAGCGGAAGATCCCCCAGCAGGAATTCTTGGCTTTAAATAACTCACCCCAGGAACGTAAGAAGAGGTCGGCATGGTGGGCATTGGATTGGCCATGGTTGGAGTTTAATTGTATTATGAAATAGAATGATTACGAGCGAGTGACAAAAATTTTGAGCTGACAAATGGAATATTTGTGACAAGGAATTTGGCTGGGTTGATTTTTTTTTCTCAGAAAAAAAGTATGAGGAGACGTCAAACTCAGAATAATTTGAAAAATAACATTGTTATGCCAACATATCATGGAAGAGAAATACTTACAAGATCTCTCATATATGCCAACATATGGAAACTACTAAAACTATAAAATCACCGTTCGGCCCCTTACAAGATTATGTAAATGACCTATCATTAAAAATATAACAAAATTTCTCCAATCCTCCTTGAGGTTGATTGGGAACAGCTCCATAATTGATGCCGCATTCCCACGTTAAACTAACCGAAATCCTTTATTCCCTTTCATTGATGACTTCAATCCCATACTTTAATAAAATCAATTACATATATGAAACACAAGTACATGCACATATTCTTGTTAATCGCACGATTATCTTTATTTGACAGCAAATTTTGACAATAAATAGTTAAGAATCAATAGAATAATTGACAATATTCAGTTCCATCTTGCCATCTACCATGTTATAGAAATCTAGACACACAATAAAACAAAAGCCGTATTAATTTATAGCTTAATTGTGAAGTTAATGTTTTTCGCAGTCGTACCGTCACTGCCAACAGTAACTTGTAAATGTCTGATTTTGCCTTTCCAGGGCTTCTTGCAGTTTGGGCTGCAAAATTGCAGCAGTGGCACGTTTCAAGTCTTCAGTGTAAGGAGAATTTTGAGGTGCGAACATGTACTGGGGTGGGGCATGGGACATTGGGCTCATGTAATCCCCCATTCGGGGGTACTGACCAGGGTGGCTGACAACTCCGGGGTAAACAACTGGTGCCGGCGTGAGTGGCATTTGCATGTAGGAATGCATTTGCATTCTTTGATGTTGCATTGGTGGAATGTACTGGTGTTGTGGCACCGCAACGTCTTGTCGTACACCCGAATTCCATTCATTACGGTATTGAGTTGTCATTGTAGATGGGAAAATATTGGTGGGGACATTGTTCGCTACTGGAATTTTTGAATCCGCATTTCGCTGATCCGTGGTGGATTTAGCAGAAGGTTGTTCGAGTTGAGACTGGGAGACGGGAGGCAATGATGCTGTCACTTCGGGAGGCTTGGCAGCATCAATGATTTGAGGTCTTACGGAATTTTGCGGAGTACTATTTACAGGTGCGACAACCGGTCCATCCAATGAGCTCTGACGTGCAGTAACGGTTGACATTTTCTCCAGACTTTTCCCGGAATCCAATTTCTGTTCTGGTTCAGAGTGGGCAGCAATATTGATGCTGCCATTTGTTGAAGTGATGGATTTGGAATGCAAAATCGAAGGTGATCCACTTAAAGAATTTTCATTGGATTGCTTTGTATTTTCTTTAGTCTGAAGGATCAAATCAGCCCAGTCTGGCCAATACTGGTCTCGCATACGAATGACATAATCAATCAGCAATGGCTGCCTTTTGATAGCTTTTTCAAATGGTGATCCGGGCATGTTCCAAACCTTACAAATAAAGTAATGGTTTGATTTATTTGCAGAACAAGATTAAAAGGAGGAGAATTCAGACTCTGCATATGAACTCTGATAAAATTACCATTTGTGCCAAGAGAGAGAACACATGACAATCCACTTCACCTGGAGTATTTCCCAGAAAGTATTTGTGCTTCCCTAAAATAATGTGGTAATTAATTAGCGCATAGATTGTTCTGTACTTCATCATCTATCTGCATAAATAAGAAACTAAAACAATACTAATTTCCATTTTATTTTACCAAGTGCAGAAGTAGCATCGGCCAAACCTTGAATAACGGTTGCGGTCACATCCTCCTGGCTTCCCATCCCTTGATGTTCCGCAGCCCGAATCACCGAGTCCTTAATGTTGGACAAAACTGCTGCGCTTGTAGGTGCCAAGGCCTGAATGTCCTTGACTGACCTGCCACCATCATAAACCCATCGCCACAGAGCAACGCCCCTATAGAGCAAGAAGGGAAGATTAATTTACCACTATTTAACTGGAAATTGTTTCATTTCAATTTAATCTTAGCATACCATGCAATTTTACTTTCGAACAATGTGGCAATAAGTCTTGCAGCCGTCTTTCGACTTGATGTTGCTTCTTCCAACAGGTTAATATTGAACTTTTTCGTGAGAAAGCTAATGCATTGCTTGTGGTTCTTGATTTCTTCATCTCCAACCTTGACCCAAGGAGTCTCTGAGCCGTCAATGGTAGTTCGTACCACCACCTGGGAATAAAATCACTCTCATTGTAAATTATTTTCAGCTGTACTATGACGGAAATTTGATTCTGTAACCATCAAGCACTTTAGTTTTACCTCATGTTCAATGTCTGCCACTCGAAGGAAAGTTTCCAGCGTTAGCCCAAATGGTGAAATTACTGGGGTGAAGAATCCCCGAGGAACTTGGTACAGAATAACTTTCTCTTTCTTGGGGGGCGGCTCTTCAGTTTCCGTTTCTTCGTTCGCATTCACGTTCCCATCTCCAACGACATCATCGGCTATCGTCACAGGGATTGGAATCTCGGCTTCAATTTCCTTGGTGAAGTCATCGAGACTGGGTGTAGGGAGGAACAAGTGTTTCTTGAATGCAGAGTAGGCCAGAACCACTGCCGATCCAATACCAAGTACCGCCACAAGTCTTCGAAAACTCCGCTGTTCAAAAAATCCAGCGACGGATGAGTCCGAGGAAACAGGTTCTGGATATGCCAAGTTGGGTCTGATGGACGACATGGTCACGACTAATTTTGAATCTCTCAATTGAACAATTAATTTTGAAATTTGTTGTGTGGGTGCGATCCAAATTGATATTGATTTTGTAGGAATACTCGAATTGAAATAAATTATTCAGGACATTTATTTTTTTGGGAGCTGGATTATTTTTATGAGGCTCTCGAATCGTCGTCTTGGAATTAGAAGTTTTTGGAATTGGAAAAATTATCAGTAAATTCCGCACTGCCAATGAACTAAATATTTATTGCATCATAGCCAACAGTCTTTGATGACTTATGAATGTTTACATATTGTTTAGGTTATCGTAAAATCGATTAAATGTTTGGTACCACTATAATAAGATTAAATATACTTTAATAAGATTAAAATAATATGGCATGGCTTTGATACGTACATACTTCTACATATATTCATAATTAATTACACCACATATTTATGCGCTATATGATAGATGAAGTTGTTTTATAAATTTTTATAAAATTGTTGCACCACCGCGATGAGACGAATACGAAATTTTTTGCATGTCACTCAATTCGTCGTCAAAGTATTCTGCATCAGCATCAGGATAGAGAACAACTAAACGAGCGGGGTGATCCGATGATGGTTGACAAGTTGACACCTTGCACCGAGCGCAAAATAAGACGCGTTCGTCAGGCGGAGCACCATTTTTATGACTGCAGATTGACGATGACGCCAAACAATCAGAAGTGAACGAGTCACAGTCATCCAAGGGAACAAGTTTGTAATACTGATCACGGAAGCTAGTAGAATGTTTAGATGTTTGCGTTTCAGTTAGAATGTGATCTTCACTGCGGACATCATCCGAATTAGTATGCATCAAGTAGTCTTCCAGTCCTAACTGGTCGTCCCAATCTGGCCAGAGACGCTCACGAGTTCGTATACAATATTCCGAGAGGTTAGCAGATTCTATATATTATAATTATTTATTATAATTTAAAAATTTAAATCTATCTGGTAATTTAATATATTCATAAGTACCTCGTAATTTTTCACGTAGAATAGATTCATGACCCCACATAATTTGACACAGAACAGAGAAAGCAAAACAGTCAATTTCTGTTGGTGTGTCCCCAAAAATGTATGGTTTTTTACCTTTAAATAAATATAAGGTAAGTAAGAACGCACCATAATATGGATTGAAGTTCTTACAATTTTTACAATACCCAAATTCAACGATAATGAATCAAAATCTTTTGAAATCTCCAGGGATAGTTCCTTGTACGATTTTTTGCTAAACCCACAACTCCACAAGTTGGCCTTGATGGATTGGCTAAGTTGTTTGAAATCTTTGCAAATTTCGTTCTGGAGTTTATTCAAGTATTTGAATTTTCCAGAGTTTGTTTTTTTAATAAGTTTGTTTAACTTATTACCCATCCTGGCTGACACAATCTAAGTTCCTCGGCATCTTCGACAATCCACCTCCACGCTGTTAAACATCTACATGAAACGTATATACATACATATGTACACAGGTATGTATGAAGCTCCCATTTGGAAAAATACAGGAGAACAAACGCCAAAGAAAGTGATGAAAATAAACGCGATAAAAATTACGTACAAGGAGAGATGGTCAAGGGTAAGTTGAATGGACCAAGCTGTGACGTGTTCATCACCGTGAAATGTGTACATGTTGGTTAGGTTAGGGAGACGGTCCTTCAGCATTTTCATGCATTCATTGGCTCCACAAACTTTCTCCTCATCAAAAGTCATCCAAGGTCCAGTAGTGTCGAAACAGTCCACTGAAACCTACGTAAATAATCCCCCACAACATGATACAAATGCGATATCATGCAAGTTTGCTCTGAATATTACGTAAATACATAGGACGCTACACGGAAAGAAACCTCATTAACATTACCGCGCAGGAGATTCCCAGCAATCGGATATATGTTTCCAAGAACATGGCCTTCGGGGACAAACACGGCTATCAACCATATCAACCTTATCATATCAATCACATCGTATGAACCATACCAATCATATTTACCTTTATCAACCCGCGCGGAAATTGCTGCAGCCTGAAATGTAACTGGCTATTTCCAGACGATTCTAAACATTTATTTGACGCCGGTTTTGTGACAGCCTGAATCTGACAGTCCGAATCTAGTTCGACACTGGGTGTGACATCACTCGTCGATTCCATCATCAACGACTTTTGCTCGTTATCCACATTAACAGTGTTCAAAAAGTAGGCCGATCCAGTCTGATGGTCAACTTCACCTTCTTGCGAACGCGGTGATGGTAGAGGAGTTCGATATTCAGTTGGTGACCGTGATGGTGACGGCGTGCAGAATTCTTCCTTGATTGATTCTAATAAAGCCTCACGAACTTCATCTCGTATTAATTCTGTCGACGGTACCTGATCCCTTAGCATGGTTGAAATCATTCTTCTGTGACGAGTACGAGGAGCATCCTCATCAATCATAGCCACCTCGGGAAAATCCAAGAATTCTTCGTGGTCTCCACTTGCGTTGAGATCCCTACTTCCTCCATTTGTCGGGGTGTCCCGAGTGATTCCAGGTAACCGCCTCGTACGACCGTAATGACAGTAGATCACATAGACAAATGTACCAATGTATCCAACCAGAAATCCAACAAAGAAGATTAGCGTCAGTTTAATCATGTACCACACAAAATGTATCGTGCCGTTGAATGTGTCTCGAGCATATGCATTGACCAGTGGGGGATAGTTCCACATTATTTCTAACAGCAGTATTGCAAGTCCTAGAAATATAAATGCTTTCATAATGAAGTAAAACAACCAATACCGCTGGTCCCGAAAACCGATTATACGAGGAAATCTACCGTTCAGAATCTACTGTAGAAGTGAAATAATCGTCTTGATGAGTTGCTATAACTTTTAAGTTAATCAGCTGATTGTTGAGTAGAAAGTGCAAGCATGTTTGTAAAATTATTAAACTCAGAAAATTGCACCGTCAACCGGGTCATTATTGTCAGTTTTGCATTTGTGGTGACATAATATTTATTATTCCTAAACAGAAATACTTGCTTGAAATGTTACACAAGGTTTATTTGTAATACATTTGACATTATATATTTGTTTAATACTAAAAATCAATCTAAGGAAATAGTTTTACGTAAGCTGCAAAGTAGTTGGGATGTTGCATTGAATCCCATACTTTCGTGGCGTTGCAGTACCAATCATAAGCATTGTAGCGCTGAGGAATTTTAGAGAATGGAATGTCTTTCAAATGAGGCGCACGATTATGGCGAATAAATTTAGATATTGTTCTTTTGAGGTCCGCAAGTCTATTAAAACACGAATGCAATGTAAAATAACGTACACTGTACATACACTATAAACGCATAATAATACAAATTAGTACCTCTTTGCGTAAGATATCAATTTGGCATCTGGCACTAAGAAAAAATTTGGCTTGATTCTAGGATCTCTTCCTGAAGTAGTACTAAGAAGGAACTCAAGATTTTCTGTCAGTTTGTAATCATTTAATTCTGATTGAGTTACTCTGTTATACACGAAAATAATTTCAGGATATACACCCTCTCCTAAGGCAGACTCCTAAGTTAAATCAGTAAACTATAAATTAGTAAAAATTAAATTGCACATATATTTAACGATAGAATATGAAATTACCAGGGGATGTATCATTTCCGCTGAGCTTACTAGCTGGCATATATTTGGATCTAGAAGAGTGTCACTAACAAGCAATACAACATGACTAATAGCCAGTGCCCAACGCATCAATTTCAAATTCCACGTCTGCAAGAAACAAAGCAATATGCATGTATTCATGGTTTAATAGGTTTAAATTAACAAGAAAAACCAGACTTACCATTGAAGTATTCTCAAGGGTCCCTTGCTGTAATGCTAGGTCAAATGCAGCATCACAGCTAAAAATTGACGACATTTCGATAAAAATGACATTCTCTTCTGTAATATACATAAAAGACTCCATTTCATTAATGGGAGATCTGTCAGAGAATATTTGTAATTTTCTCTCATTTCTAGGATTGTTTGCCAAGTATGATAAAATTGTAGATTTTCCTGAAATTATTTATTGACCAGTATCATACATAATGCACACCACAATTGATCATGTCATAAAATCAACTATGTATTTAGAAACGAACTCTCACCTGTCAAGGGTCTCCCTAGAATAGCAATCACAAAATAATCGCCAGTTCGTTTTCCCCTATTCAAGAAAAAATTGAAAGTATCAGCGGGTCGGATTTTTAGCTTATTGTCAATCACAGGAATTGCAAATTCTTCTGGAAAACAAAACGGTTCCAACAACTTTCGAGCGAGCTCTTCAGCGCTCAACTTGGGTTTCTGCATAAAGCACAATAATATATTAAAAATTAGTTTCTTAAGTACAAGAGTATATGTACGATATCAGTGTAAAAACATATTAACACTTACATATACATATTAACACTTACTTCAATATTTACAATTTCTGCTGATTTCTTCTGCGAGTCCTTTGACTGCTTGTCAGACGATTTTGAAGACTTTTTTGACGGTCGCTGTAAAACGATTGGGCCAGGTCCCACAGATGATGAAGATGGGCATTTTTCTAATCTTGCACTCTGTGCTTTCACTTTTACTTCTTTCCCATTGCCATCCTCCTTTCTATCTAATATATCCTTCTTTTCTAAAGTCCTGACGGACTGGGACGAAGAAGACGAACTGGTGGAAGGGACAGTGGTAGTACTGGTAGCAGCAGGCCCCCCAGGTGGTGGCCTCCTTAGTAGGACAACTGGTCCTTGGATTGAACCAGAGTCGCCACCAGTGGATGACTTCTCGTCTCTTTCTCGGGGTCGGCGTCGATGTTCAGGGTCACAATCCGTGTCATTCCGACTACGGTCACGGTCTAGTCGTTGGCGATTTCTGTCACGTTCTGTATTCGGGCCTGCATCCCCCCGGTCATTCTCTTTCTGTCGATGACTACTACTGGATCTCTTCTCTGATTCTTTCTCACAATGTCGATCTCGGCCCCATGGATTACTGCCCGATTTATTTCCATCTTTGGGATTTCGATCATCACGATGTTTGGTACTTCTTCCAGACATCCACGGAACATCAACGTCGTCTGCTTAGGAGTTTAAAATAACACAAATGAATACATTATTCGATAATCGTACGCTAGTTCTGAATACATCGTTTTTTTTCGGGTTTATAAAACACACAACAATCATATTCTTGTTCAAGAACCATAAATGACAGGGTTTGAGTCATATTTCAATTTAGTCTAGACCTTGAATATTCTTTCTCCGCACAGGACATGCATTACACACGTTCACAAAGTAATTATTCCCACCAATGCCAAATACCAATTTGCCGTTTCTCTCTATACCTACATACATACTTACTTGTATGTCAGTAGGAAATGAAACACGCAATCGATTTTTTATGTAGCTCTACAATATATTATTATCTATTTGTACAGTGGAATAAGAACATGATATCTCTTGCGGCCTGCGGTGCTGTCTTGGCTGGCACCTTTCGTGTCCGAAAAATCCGAGTTTTTACACATCGCACCACGGCACGGGAGGTACCGAGGAATAGAAAACGCCATGAATTATTTGGTACGTTCACAGAATAATAGTGAATACACCATTAAGTTTCAAGGACAAGGGTAAAAATTACGTGCGACGACATGTTGTCCCACGTTATTATGAGCCAAGAAAAAATAGTACAAACAACCATTTAGGTCTGGAGGACTCGTTCGATGTTATCAGAAAAGGACTGTTGCATTCTATTTCTATTCCCGTAAATCACTCTGGACGTACATTTTAGCAATGTAGCGTTCTTTTTAAAATACCTTGTTGTCAGATAGAAAATAAACTGCCTAAACTTTCATCGTATCGTATGTAACACAAAAGTAGTAAATAAATTAATCCAATTCTTAAAATATTAAAAAAGAGACAGCCCGATTGAACTAAGCAGCTTAACAAAAAGGTACGTATAGTTTATTAAATTGTCCCTCATATTCTGCGCTGGTTCCGTGCAAATGAACAATGGAAAGGAATTCATAATAAAATTATATGAAATATAGTAAATTTTGGGCTTACAATATAGGAGCAAGTGAGGCCAGGCAGATTTCGCAAACTCTGTTGCGTGTTGTAATTATATGTACTAATTTTGATAGTTTTAATTTCACTGGTTCATTCTGAAATTTAAATTTAATGTTGTCTGTATAATTCGTGATGATTGGGTAATTGGGTTTTATATTAATTTGAAATAGTGGGTCGATCAGAATAAAATCTGGTTCGGCGTGAAGTGATCTGCTGTTGGTAAATATTCAGTCCCGCTGCAATTCGAGGACAGCAGGGGCAGGAAAACAAGGAAATCCCTCGTGTTTAATTTATCATCTCACATTTCTCATAATTTCAGTAAAAGTCTCATTTCACATTTAAATACATGAATTTCGTAGTCGGATTTAGTAAGGGAATCTTTTTTGCTTGAAATTGCTGTATTCACAAGTTTATTTTGTAATAAGGAATGACCGATGCATTGTAATATACATACTAATGCACATATTACATATGTATATTTTGTAGACGATGCAAGTCTCACAAGTCTCATGAATAATATGCGATTGTCACCTTCTCGTCCACTTCTGTATCTTTTGTGTAGTGTGTATTAATGGACCCCAATTTGGTACATTATTATGTGCTATTCACCAATTTCTAAAACTTTGTTCATCCCCATTTACTTTAAGAAATTTTATTCACTAATTGTAACAAATGAAGGGACAGACATTTTTCATGTGGGAATAAAATAGTCTCACCACATCATCATTAATAAAACTTAAGAAGGGGAGATTTCGATTCATTTGATTTTGTATAAGACGATCACATATTCTCCACTTTCCTTCCTATTTGTCCATTTTCTCTTCATTTTGATTTATTATGTATTGCTCAATGAAAAGGTTAGCAGAAGCACTGAAGCAGTCCTTTGAGTGCATTGACAAATTTGCAAATTCACAATTCGCATGCATGACTCGTCTTTCCGTGTCCGCGTGTGGTTTACGTGGTCTCATTATTTGGAAAAGTGAAATGAAAAAAGAGACATTTTCAACAACATTAAGACTTGTTCTTTTTATGCATACTTAATTTATAGAAGATTTGAATGACACAGTTTTTATTGTGGATGGTGGTTTATGGTTTGTGAGAAACGGATTTTCATATTGCATGATTGAAACGCGTTAAATAAATTGGGTTTTCATACAAGGTTTACCTATTTGCGTATGTCAGTTATTGTCGGGTTTTAAATATTCTAATTATGGAATATTTTCATACTTAATACTCATTTTCACTTGAATGATATAAAGACGACATCTATAATAGCATGGATTCCAATGATTCATGGACTGGTCTCCGTTAAACCTCAATCCTTTATTAGCCACTTAAATTTTCCCAGCAATTAGTCATGGTCAGTGGAACCTGGCATATGTAGTAGGACAGAATAATATCCTGTCTACATGTAAACCTTAAAATGCATTTCATGAAGATTAAAGTTTAATAAGAATGCTCTTTCCGTGATATTCCCTGTCTTATCCCTAGAAAGGTGTTTAATTTATTTGGGGCTACTTGGATGCTGGGCTGATAAGATAGGTTACAGGTGATACTGCTTAATTGATATTTAATTTCTCCGTGAATTTTCACGTTGATCAGTTTTTTCTTGTATGCATATAATAAGCTGGGACCTACGAATCTTAAATTGTTTGATGTGAAGGTGATATCGGCCAAACACTTTACATAATCGTTTGCATACATATATGGCAAGAAAGGGAAATGCCGATGGTTGTCGGGTAAAGTTTTGTGGATAAGTAGTTTATTATTGCTGGAGTTAAATTGTAGTAGGCGCAAACATAGAACATTGTGAAAACCGATTGGTATCAGGCAATAACCAGTTTTCCATCTGCTCATTCTTTTGGCTTCAGGTTGGATTGAATTTCTCGAGTATGTGCATCTTGTTAAAGTATTAAAACAATTCCCAAGAACGAATGTGGTTCATGGTAAAAAAAACTTGCAAACTGTTAGATAGTCCAAGTCATTTTGTATGATTATCTGTACCGTTGGTTCTGCATTTACATGTGTATTTTTGGTAGGAATCGGGTAATATTCAATTTATGATAACAAAGTTGCACAACTCCAAATAACCTGTACTTGCATGGCTATTTATCCTGCAGTTCTAACTCATTGAGCTAAATCAACACTACAATTTAGATTTTTCCACCTCAAAAATTTATTTCGATTATTTTTCAGACGAACCTACAGTTAGCAAGAAAATTGAAGGCACCTTTACGTATTTTTCATTGCGATATGATCCCGTGCACTGAGAGCTTCGAAACTTTGCACACAGTTGTGAAAACTAATTGGCGAATAATTCCTCCTCGCCGATTTTTAAGGTCACCGCCCGGTCAAAGGTCAAAATTTTTTTAGCACTTCAAAATGATAGGCCAAAACAAAAACTTCATGGATAAATTTTCTTGGACTTTCTAATATTTTTTGTTGGTTGCGGCAAGGCCTCATGAAAACAATGAGCTATCGTTCGACCGTGTACGATTTTTTTGACGCTCACAGGAATTTTTCGCCAAAAACGGTTTTGAGGCATAAAATCGCGACCGCGGCCGCACAAAAGAATTGAAATATACAAAACCATATAAACATCGGTTATGTATATTTCAATTCTTTTAATTTCAAGAATTTCAGGAATTTCAAGAATTTCAAGAATTTCAGGAATTTCAGGAATTTCAGGAATTTCAAGAATTTCAGGAATTTCAAGAACTTCAGGAATTTCAGGAATGTCAAGAATTTCAAGAATTTCAGGAATTTCAAGAATTTCAGGAATTTCAAGAATTTCAGGAATGTCAGGAATGTCAAGAATTTCAGGAATTTCAGGAATGTCAAGAATTTCAGGAATTTCAAGAATTTCAGGAATTTCAAGAAATTTCAGGAATTTCAGGCATTTCAGTGCTCTAAGTGCACGGGATCATATCGCAAATTAAAAATACGTAAAGGTGCCTTCAATTTTCTGGCTAACTGTATTCAAGTAATAAACTAAAGCTACCTTCAGTTAACGGGGAACATTTTATATTTATAACCTCGTTACTCCATCCCGTAGCCTGTAATGTCTCATATTTGTCTCATATTTCTCACAACTCGAGTAAACTGGAAATTATGTGGACATGAACAAGATATTTTAGGGATATTTATTTTGATTTCGGCATATTTCGTGTTGAATAAATTTAGGTCCGGTGAAGATCTGAGGGTGCAGGTATCGCCTTCGAATTCCTTCTAATCTTTTGCTTTAGATAAGGCCAATCAATCAAACTGGTTTTTAAATTAAGTTTGAAGACAGATTATTAGTCAAAGTGTTGAGTGTTAAAACCAATCAAGCCGTGTATGTATCACATAATGAAACAATCAATATCAAGACGTTTGTTGTAACTTATCTAAAAAATGGCTCTAGGCCTACCAATAAAAATCTAAACTTGTAACGAGATACTTCATAAGTGCAAGTCACCTCAGCGTAAAATTAGCCATAAATTCATGATATTAATTCATACAGCACCATGTTAATTGCATCGTTGCTGATCATGCTTCGCGTGCCATTCAGTAACGGAATAAGTAGCATACTTAAATATGGATATAAATATCTGGTCGACCTCCATTTTTAAATTATCTTTGTTGTCAACAAGCTGAACCCCTTCTTGCTTTCTTCCACTGCTAACTATAATTTTCTTATTAGATTGCAACCGAATTTTACTTATTTAAAAAAATCAGCACTTTTTTCTTCTTCTACACAGCCCAAAGTCTAATTCTAGTAAATAATTCTGGCCAAAACCAGTATGGTTTCAGGTTGCACGTACTGTTAAATGTCGAGCCTTTCAAATCCGAACTATTGAGCGAATGCAAATATCTGTGTAAGTAAATATCCATTGGAAAATTTGCAAACAACACAGCCGAATAACAGATGCATGAACTTATTCTTGTTCAATTTGTTGTATTTATGTATCGATTTTCGTAGAATTGTTGAACCCATTGTAATTGCGTGCGGTATATGGTTAGCGTTGATAAATATGTGCATGGCACAATTCAACTTCATTTTTGCACGGATATGTATATTATTATCAGAATTGATACATTGAATTTACGAATATACTTTTCTCCTCACGACAACCAACATTGATCATGAACTTATTTTAAGTTATTTGTCCAAGTACAGTTCAAAACTTAACATATGCAGTGTTACCAGAATTTTTATTTAATACTCATGCAATGAATACACGTAAGATGCAATATTACTTTAATTAATAACGCAGCTCAAATTTGTCTCTCGCATCGAGTCACCTAATCACATAAACTCACAATTGTGATTTTTAGGCTAATGAGTGGATAAAGTAGGACAACGCTCTTCTTATGTGGAGACAGCATCTCACTCTCATTTGTGGTCCATATTATTTGTATTATCTCAAATCTTCTTTACATGCTTTAAAATTATCAAGTGTGCTATTAGCCCAATCTTTCATCTCCAATATGCATACGGCTTGATTGATGTGTGTGTAACAATATCTCGGATTTAAAATGGAAGATGCATGTTTGGCCAGTCGGTTGGGGTGTGTGGGGAGTAGGTTGCACCTTGGACATCATATTTTATGAACTGCCACAGCCATGGTCATTGGTCTAACTGGTCCAACACATATTGTGTGCTTCATTAGTTGCTGTCGGTGGTTGCGCTGCTGAACCCAATGCAAACTAAAATTGTAGAATAAGCCATTTAGATCAGTCTTTAGGTCGTTGGTTTCTTGTCCAACCAGTTTTTAAGCGATGAGACAGAGAGGTCAATTCAACAAGGCTTGCTTTCTTGCTCGCATTGTGAATTACATTTTTACGACACTGCTGCTCTTGTCGAAGTGGTGCAAACAAACAAAACGATGTGGTTGTTGTCGAATCAAACATGCGAATCACATTTTAAACTAAGAAGAAGGCATACAATTTATGTATATAAAGTGAACGAGCAAAGTGCATGGATGAAAATCAGGAACCATACACAACTACACCCTCATTTATTGCAATCAAAGAGATGCCCTGCAGATATTCATGAGGATGCCATTCTTCGATAGAGGAGTTCGATAGAAGAGTCGTGCATGTTCCATTTGTTCCGCCTTAGTTTTTTCAGATAAAAACTGATAAAATAGAGCTCAAAGGGCGCAACCTCTAACTCTATTCTGTCGCAAAATAGTCGAAATCGTTTTACATATTTGTACCTGTAATTTATAAATCCTTGAATATGGTTATTTCCGGAATGAAAACATTGATCATTGGGCATAAATATTCTTATTACAAAATTAGGACAATAAATATTACAAGCTTTTAAATAATTTTGTAAAGAATTAGCGAATATGATAATATCCGTATGTAGCAGACCAAAGTTGCAAATATATCTCCTATTTTAAATCTCAGCTTATGTTACATTCACATCAATCATTCCGTATGCATGTTGGAAGATTGGATATGAGGTACATTGATTATAAATTCTCATCTTTCAGATCCTTGTTTTGGAGGTTGTCAGATCGGTTAATTATTTTTATCGCACGAGAATAATTGTGAAACACCTTCAGTTGTGGGTTGTAGAAAGAGTGATCACCGTTTATACTTAAATTCCATAATTTGCCTCGACCTTTACATCGACACTGGAATTATTTCATAACATAACTCATTATTCGCGTTGGTTATAAGCATCAGGTTAAGGCCAGCAGGTAAATGCATTTTTAAGAGATTCAAGATCAATTTCCGACAAATTACGTAAGGTACACGCATAAGTACATTGCTGTGGATATGCATACTTCATGTCAGAATGCCATTTATCAAACAGAATATAACGATGATATGTTGCATACATATTCTATTCATTCGTGAAAAATAGCCTGTTAGAAAACTGCAAATAATATAACTTTGGATCATCTGAAAGCGATAATTGAATATGACGAGCGATTAAAAAATCAAGGTGGACATGAAACTGCAGGAAATATTTAGGTAAACTTCTCCATCGACATTAGCTCCGAAAAATTGTGATTGTGAACATTTATTATTATTTGCATGGATGCAGTGAAGAAGCTCGTGTTTGGTAATCCTAATAATTTATTAGCAAATCACCGTTCTTAACTAATGGTAAATTACAACAATTACGAGAATGTACAATAAAAAGCTCGTAAGACGAGATATCGTTAAATTTTTGTCATTGATTGTCCGTATGCTACATTGGAAAAGGTACATGTAACTGTTTCGGTCGGTGTAAATATAAATATCATTATTTTTTGTGGACAGCGTTAGGTAATCTTTTGCTAGCTAATCACTTATCTAGTTCCTTGAGTTCATGTACCTTGTGAGTGACAATGGAAATGCAGAGTAAAATATATATTTGGACACGGTTAACTTGAAACCACGAAGTCTGTAGCAAAGGTTTGTTGGGGCATAAAAATACTAGAGTATTAAGCTCGTATTAGAGTATAATACTAGAGCCGCAACGGACCTTTGCTGTCAACTTTTGTCAGATTTTGTGTTTGAAGATACAGAATTTTCATAAATAGGTTTAAAGAAAGGTCACCTTTTTTTGTTTATTGTGTGCGCAAGTTGTAATAGGTTTACTGTAATGCCAATCAGCAAGATTTCTATTGTTGCCTGTAATAATGGGGCGACGTTACACGTATTAAAACACAGGTTATAAGGTAATGCCAGAGACCATCATGCATTTTGGTTTGGCTGGGGTACGCAAATTATGCACAAGTGCATGAGAACTCACGACTGGTATTTTATGCGAGTATAAGGAGATCCCTAGAAATTCAAGAATGGCAGGTTGTCGAGATAAGATGAGTATTTGTCAGTATTAGCCACAGATATATAGTAGCATAGATGGAGGAACTGTTGAGAAAAGCGTCTCAGCATGGGGAATGATTTGGGTATAATTTGGGTATAACGCATGGTTGCACGGTTGCACTTAACCAGTGATTAGCACGTTGGCACGCCATTAAAAAATCGTAAAAACTACGAAAACAATCATATTCGTTCGAGTTTTCTCTTCTAAGTACAAACCTAAGTCAAGTGCAGGCATTTTAAATGTAATAAAACTTACTGCTGAGGTTTATTGAATTAAAATTAGCAAGTTTAATATTAATTCACATATCAGCTGAGATTTTTTTGTTATTGTTTTTGGAGATTGTGGACACGGGCAGGGTTTAGTTCCACCTCAAAAACACTACCGACTTTTTAGTATTGATTGCATAGCAGATCCACCATCTATACTATGTATATCTGTGGTATTAGCCTCGCTATCTCATCTCGCATCTCCTATTGCTCGGCAATTCCCTCCCTCTCGTCTTCTGCTCTATCTTTTACGATGATTTTTTAATGCTCTTACTTTTCACTGTTTTAAGACTAGTTTGGCTCTTAACGTGAGGCAGTAACCAGGGAACCAGAACCGAATGAGAGTGAACAAGTGGTTGTTATAAGGATGACGGGGGTTGATGTTTTATACGTTGGAATAAAAGTTGTTGAGCTGCTATGCACTAGTCAAGCAAGTGAGAGGGATGAATGATGATGATAACATGCATGGGGATATTATTATTATAGAGATTCTTTATCACCAGAAAAGACACACACCAACAACGAGAGCTGCATAAGCTACAAACAACTACATGCCATTTTAAATACAAACTGTTTATGGGGAAGCTAGCGTGTGATACATACATGACGAGGTGGTTTAGACACATTAGAGACTTCCCTTCAACAGAGTTACTTACAGATTGGGCTAAAAATCCAGAGCCGAACTTTGCAAGCTAAATAGTTGGCTTTGGTAACTGGCTTTGATAACAAAGGACCTCTTGTATAAAGCGGAGCATTATATTTCACATTGAATTGAGGGCTCGGTTGTTTATTTTACACACCGTGGATTGTACTCTACATACGTGTTCCATCCCCGTCAGTCACAGAGTAACCAAGCATTAAGAGAAATTAAGCTCCTCTAACGACGCTTCTATTCAAATTGGCAGCAAAAATCAATTAGTTTACGTCTTTATTACTGATACTTTCATTTCCTTTAACGACTCCACCAACCTGAGAAAATCTGCTGGATCTCAGATTTCAGGTAAAACCAGAGGATTTGTGAATTGTGTGTGTGTCTCCTCTCTCTCTGTGGTGTGCAATTTCACTTGCTTGTGGTGTTTTTAGTTTGTGCCCACTGAGACGAATTTCTGTAAAGTGTTGCAAACCAAAGCCAGCGTGGCTAAACGTTGTTAATAACCAACAAAGTTTGGCGTAAAAATTCATTAAGAGTTTAGGATTTGGTTGGAGCCGCAAAGGTGAGTTTTGCATACCACTTAATCTCTTACGTATATCATTAATACGATATCTTTCATTCCCTTCTCATTATTATTTAATAATTTTAATCTTGAGTACGGTGCCTGTTGAGAGATTTTTGAGCAATTTTTCACACTGCAGTGAAGGAGTGATTTTACAATCGCTGTTGTTAACTTCAAAGTCGCACTTAAAAATAATTTTGATCGTTACTGTGCGTACGGTGCATTGGATTGGATTGGATTGTGTTATTATTATTTATTACGCGGTGAACGACGGATATTAACGTTTGTTACAAGTGTATTGGGTAAGTCATATTTTTGATGTGATACGAGTTTTATAGTAGACGACTCGACTCGAAAAGTTTATTAGAAGTCTGCATAAAAGTCTTCATTTTATTTATCCGTATCCAAATGGAAAAAATCTTGATTTATGACTCGATGGTTTATGTATAAACGGTCTGGAAGCATGCACTAATTACAGTCGTGTAATCTCTCTGTCTGTGTGGCAATTGAGATTTTACATACGTATGAACATGCATCAGACACATCATCATCCACGACAATATGTACTCCCAAAGAATGGTTAATTTGAACTCGACTTCATGGTTTGGCTGAATTAACGCATCCTTTTTAACGAAAATTATTTTTCACTTTATGGACATGCATAATCCAGTCCTGAATAAAATAGCAAATTTTACCATAGAATATTTGATATGATTCCATCTCATCCTCACTCACATATGTATGCCCATAGGTTCAATGTAGGCACAATTCTCCTGGCGTTCGTTTGGTTCGTGATAAATTATTGTCTCGTTTATTCGGGATTTGAGAAACTAGGAAAAGCCTGTCCTTTATTGACTATCGGATCAAAGAATTTAAATTTGAACCAGATTCTCGTTTAAAAATATTTGTATCAACCCAAGGAATTGTCGTTTTGATCCATTGTAAACAGTTTACCGAGTAGTGTTTATTATCATAAACAATGCATTATTATTATTACACTTTTACGCTGGTTCAAACTGGATCACATGCACATGTACAATGGCGTTAAGCACATATTGCAAAAGGATTCTCCTTAACTCGCAGTTCTAATTACGTAAAAAAAGTAGACAACCCACGTAACTGATTTGGTGAGCGAGATTACATTCCTCCACAGCCCTTTTGTTTTACTCTCTACGCGAAGCACCATTTTTTGCCTTTTGTTTCTTTCCGCTTGGCTTTACAACATTTTTTGACACTTTGAAGGTTGGCCAGGCCAGATCTTTTGTCTTTAATTATTTGGTCCAATCAAGTAATTCTGGAAACTGTTTGAGCATTATTAGCCACTAGAAGTTGTGACACACAAGGTAAAATAATTTTTTACCCACGTTTTGATTCGTTTTCATCATTATTATATTAGTCCAACAAACAACATAATTAACTCGAGCCTGCACACCAAGAAGGAAGCATTTTTTTCCGAAAAGTCTCATAATGAACTAATTGCTTAAAGAAGAATGGAGTTAGCATGTTTTCTGAGACCGTATGAAATATTGCAGCAATATTGGACAACAAATGTGGATACTTGGCTTGTACAATAAATACTAAAAATTTTCAATGCCATTCCACAAGCTGAAAGGTGCATCATATATTACTAGATATATAATGCAATCTGTATCATATAATATTGGAGTGGAATAAATTTGCATAATGGCCTTGTTAACGTGTTGGTCTAATTAAACGGCTTACCAAGAAGAGTTTAGTTCCTCTATTTGCAGTTAAGCCCAAAAGGCTTGGGGTTGGCTGACAAATTAGAATTATGTAGTTATTAAAGATTAATGATTGATTATATTGATGGGTAGTAAACAAAATAATATGAAGGAGGAGGAATTAATTCAGGTGTAGTCGATCTATTACATATGTACATATGACATTTATTTGCAGTTTTGATTTGCTATTTACTCACCTTAGTCACCCCTTTATCATTTATCGTCGTGTAGTATCTACGTACTTACGACGAGTACTTTGTCTCATGAAAAGTTGAGCGTTATTTTCACACAAAGTTCTTTTAGTACTTTAACATGTATGTACGATGACCAGTGACTAGGAGGCGAGTATATTTAGAACAAATTATTTATGACTCTGTTCAGCACCAATACCACATGACAAGCAATAAGGTGGACCTTACGGTTTTTGTGACGCACACATTCAATTTTTTCACTCCTCATCTCGTTCAAATGTATTGAATGAGCACATCAAGTTGTAAAGTAATTGTACATACATTATTGCATCAATCTACTAACCAAGTAGTCATCATCATCATCATCAAGAACATAACCAACGATTCAGTGTCGTCCACTTGTATGTCCTCACTAGAATATTTTTTAAATTTTAACCTTGATGCTCATGATGTCAAGCAGTTGAGATTTTCGCCATAAATAACAGCGCAGTGTAGAGTTTGATCTATCCATCTATCTGCATGGACAGCAGAATTACGCCAAACAGATTTAACATTGATCCTAATTTGGGGGTTGAAGAAATGTCTTAAACCTACAGCAACACGAGTTGACTTGTTGTTTTTTGCATGTGTACATAATCCGAGGAGGAGGAGGGAGGGAGTGAACGCAGAAATATGTACAATTTTAATGATAGTTTGCTTCGTGTGCAAATTGTACCTTGCGAACTGTGTCACAATAAATAAAGTCCTGTCGTTAGATTATAGTCACGGCTATGAGGTCATCGTGCCGTGGCGGAAGAGTTGTGGAACATGCCAACTCACGGCAAAGTGCTAACGTGTTAGAAGACGCTGCACACTTGTGCCATTTATGTTCATGCTTGACTTTGTTGAAATTATTCTATTCTGTTGCACTATGATTTTCTATCCTCTCCTCAACCCCGTAAAAGTTTGCACCTTTGAGTTGAAGATTCGTTGAGACACTAAAACCACAGCAAGGTACATAAATGCATACTTGAAAGCAATATATGCTGCAGAGATCTCGTTCGCTCTCATTAATCTTCGTCATATACATACATACGATGACGGAATGGCGGTATGACGGTCAATTGTCAAATTCAAATAACCCAAATTTCCAAAGAACAAAATAATTCAAAAGTTTTATTATGGTATTTTCCCCTCCTGTCACCAATACCGTGTGAAGATTTGGCTAACTTTAATCGGAACAACAATAGTTTGTGGAAATGTTGGGTTTCGCCAAGAATTCAGACTGCCTGTAATCTTCCATGGCGTTGAACGCATCAACTGCGCAAATAATGCGCTCAATACCTTTCGCCAACAGATCTTCAAATACCATTCTCTTGGCTTGGTAAATCCTACGTTTTGTCTCTTCTTGAAATTGCTCTTGAACGGCTTGAGGTAATTCCTCAAGACGTTGTGAAATTGGGGTTGCGAGACTTCTCTCTTCCTCCACTGCAGGTGGTGGTGGTGTGGAAGTTGGAGCCTCACTGTCTTCCGCAGTTCCTCCTCCAGAACCGGAACCAGCAGATCTGGTAAGCGGCGATGACTCCCCCAGCATTTCGACCGTGGCTGCGGATTGTTGTCCGTAGAGTCGTCCCTCTTCATCCTCCTCCATCCCGTCTACAGCATTCTTGTCCTGTTTGGATTTCTTTTTCCACTTCTTTCCTAAGGTGGCAGCCACGTCATTTTTCCGATTCTTTCGCTTCTTCTCTTTTCCTTCCTGTACCGTTTTCTTGGACGGTGAGATCTCCACGAGTCTATCCACCAGCTCTTGGATTTGTATTTGACGACTCTGTAACAACGAATTATGCACAAATTGCATATATACATAAATGGTTTTGATATGTTTACAATAAAAATAAAATAGTTGTGATTATCTACGTCAATTTCCTGGACAGTTTCACCCTCCAACGCACCAATCGTCTCCTCTTTTGAAGATGGTTCAAAAATTTCCTCATTCATTTGTGGAATAAATGCTCCAAAGTCCCAAACGCTGTTATCCTCCTTGTCGTACAATTTTCTAGATTCGTATTTCTGGACTGAAATGTCAATGAAAATTTCTTGGAGCTCGCGAGTACTGTACAGCGCATCAATGTATTCCATCCTTGTCAAAATTTGGTCAATCAGGGTGACAAAGGTGGCGTAGCTGGAAGTGATTTTTCGCGAGTCTGCTGTGCAGTACGAGTACCGTCTAGGTTGGATTAAGATATTGTTATAGCTCGCCAACTTTTTCAGTAATTTTTCCGTCTTGTCCGTTTTAAAGTGGGTCCAATACATATCTTGAGAAGAGTTTCTTGTCCACAGGAGTTGGTATAAGCTCTAGAAAATATTTACGTCTGAAAAGAGTTATCCATCTTACAAAAAATATGCACGTTTTCCATTTAATTGTTCAAATGAAAGCGAAATTGTTTAATCTAATCTGCTGTAGGATACGAATGCTACGATAGGACAAGATCAAATAAAAAATGAAACGCTCTTTTTACATGCTAACGATGATATTTAGAGCGAAAAGTGTGTGGGTGTGGGTTGTGCCATGAGAGTGCGTGCAACACGTTTGGCTACCGAATTGTATTTTGTCATAGATTCGTTTCTGCATCATAATGGTATTATACTGCAAGAGTGAGCCTAACAATGTTTGATCTGAGGTTCAAATCTTAAGGATTACGTATGCACGTATGTATGTTCATGTATGCTATTTCTTGTTGTAGCCTGCGAGCTTTGAGTCTACTTTCTTTTATTTCAATAAAAAAATGCCGAGTTTGTCATGAAATTGTAGCCTACGAGTTGTTGAATTGGTGTCACTCCTTCCATCTCGGCGCTCATTATGTATGCGACAAAATTAACCCAGTCATTCCAAAAAATTCATTAGCACTAATTGGCCTTGTGAATGCATATGTATCTGACTGACTGACTAAATTAAATTACCTCGATAGAAAGCGTACAGACTTTTTCAATCCGTTGAAGGGGCACGAGAAGTTCAATTATGCGTCGAACGGTCTCCAACGACTTTTGCGAAATCTCGTAGTAGTACTTGAGGTTTCTGTTGTGCGTGTAAAATATACTTTCACTCGTCACCTTCCTGAAAAGTTAAACCACGATAAAAACATGCTGCTCAAATTAGAATTCAAATTATAAAAATGAATTATCAAAAGACGTGTTTTACGTACAAATATGGGAGAGTAGTAGGATGTTCAGGTTCTATGAATAAAGCGTGATCCAACACCGAGTCCATGAGATCTTTGGCTTCTTGCTCCAATGTCGTTTGACTCACAAGTTCGTTAATATTTTCTGGTCGAGATTTATTGCCGTCTGTCTCCTGGAAATCGATTTGCATTTCAGACGTGGCCACGAAACAAAGTTTTATTCAAACAGTCACAGTTTATAGAACTGTCGTAAAAAGTCTGTATGTGCGCAGTAATAATTTTATACACTTTATTAAATACCACAATCTCAGGGTCCATACAAATCCCGCTAAGCCTCAACGAGTAGCCACGGCCTTCAGAATCCCTAAGTTTTGGGTGGGTGAGAAGGTACAGATTTTCAAAAAAGTAGCCTGGCTTTTTGCTTCTGAATACAATGGTAAACTCGAGCGATTGACCTGGGAGAAGGACGCTGGGCAGCTCTCTAAAACGGAACTGATGACAGGACGACTTGAAAACTTTTTCATCATTTAGTCTTTTCCTCCAACCAGCCTGCATCGATGATGGGTTAACGTCACAAGTCATTTTCGAACCATCATACATTTTCGAAATCTGTAATGTTTAGTAGACTTTTACCCGTCCATGTCTGGTTCCTCCTCCTCCTCCTCCAGGCACAACAGACCCTGCGGGATTAGCTAGTAGAAATTCAGACTCGTTGTTAGGTGGAAATCTCAACCATTGGCATCGAATTGCGGTGGTTCCTTCATTCCTCAGAGTAATGGATTGTTTGTCTATCCCTCCTGAAAGAGGTGAAAGTATCATCAAAGCACATCAATGCAACGGCTAAAAGTATCAATGATACATTTGGATAAATATATTTCGGTGTCATCGTATTATGCACATACGCGAAGTAGCGCAGAAAGGTTCAAGATGTTCGCAAGCAAAGTTCTCGTCATCTTCGTCCTCATTGGGAACGAAACTCAACTTTACTTCCGTTTGTAATCCTCGAACTAATATGATAGGCCCACGCTGTTCCCTGTAGTAGTCTTGCTCTTGTTCCGGCTGCTCTTCTGTTATTGATGTAACTATCAAGTCACCTTGGCGTACCTTGTTTACTTTGGGCATTTCTTGTTGCAACCTGTTTAGTTATATTTCTTATAAAAATAATACAAATTATTATATAAAATATGGTTGATTTATTAAATTTTTAATTAAAAATATTGCCAGCAGAATTAAATTAAAACGTTTCTCTATAGAGTAGCGTTGCTAAGATTGTAAATTAATGGTTATCAAAATGCATTCAAGTCAAGCGGCCCTGCAACATCATCCAAGAATTTACTTTCATGATCTCGCCGTTGTCTGAGCATCATCAAGGAAGCTCAAGGAAGAAGAACTGAGGAGGGTGTTAACCTACTGCTCAAGAGTTTGTTGTTGTCAGTCGGGGAAAGCACCGCGTGGCACCTTCCTCATTCCTCTAATTCTGCTCAAAGCTTTCACTCGCGAGTGAAAGAAGAAGGAAGAGATTGCACTTCCGGGACCCTTTGTTATCCGATGTCACATGAAGTAAACAAATATCAATAAAACATTTGCTCAACTCTGCAGTTGTCCCAAAAACAAAGTTACATTGGCAGATAGTTTAGCAAACCACTTGTCTGATACGATTTGCGTATATTATGCTCCGTCCGTAAATTATGCAACACAAGAGTCCATAAGCTCTATGATATTGCGGGTAAATATGCTCCTCAGATACACGTGGGATCTTGGGAATCGAAATTTTTGAATTACATATAATTTATGGGCAACATCTTAGTAATGTTCTCTAATGCCGTACCTCTACAAATTCTAGAATAGTAATTTTAGAATAGTCACATTATGGACTAATAACTTGAACAAACACTGTGCAATTTCATTTTCATAGCACAAACAACCCATTGGATTTGCTTATTACAGCAATACTTCAATGCATAATAGTCTGTAAATGGTTATGCATGTGGGTCAACGAGGGTCTTGAGTTTAACTATCTCAATTTCATGGGGTCACATGTTGAATTTGCCAAATGACCTGCCTCTTTATGTCCATTCGGTATTTTCAACCTCTCCAGTGCACCAGACAAGTAAGCAGATTGCATTACTTCTTGCCTTATTTTTCTCTATATATTTCTCTGTTTTGCTTTCATGAGTAAAACTTTCACGAGTAAACCATCATATCAGGAAATGACCGTAAATGAGACTTCCTGTAAGCTGAGCTCTCTCATTTCATGAATAACACTTGAGACACTTGGACCCTGACCAAGCTTGATTATAATGAGACGTGTAAATCAACAATCTAAATTAAACACATGAAACTGCAAACTCGTGCAGAGTATCCATCAAGATTAAGTCTGTTTGTTTGTCCTTCGATGGTTGGGGTTATTAATTTATACGTGTTCCCCTGGGTTCATCTGATGGACTATGCGTGAAGAAAGTCGCGTCTGCATATGTACGTACATATGTATATTGATATCAAAACAAGCAGAAATATTTTGATGGGTAGGCAGATGGTCTTAGAAAAGTGAAGCATGTGACCATTGAGTGTTTATCGTCGACAACTACGATACAGTCTTCTACAAGTTCGTTGAACCGAGTTGTTGAGTTGGTCATACAAATTATTATTAGTTGATGGGCTGCCAGGAGGGCTCCTCTACTTCCTTCCTTCCCACCTTTCTCCAGCTCCTCGCTCTTACTTTCCTTCGACCACACCAATCGAATAACAGCCCAAAATGCCTCCCGTGAAGCTTTCTACATGCACATTATCCTAAAACGACGCGCATCCAATTTCAACCCATCGCCATCACCACCCTTTATTAAATCCAGTACTCACCTGTTCCAGTCTGTGCGGAACGTTGCAATATGCATGCTACACATGATAAACCGTCGTCTGGAAAACTTTATTGTGAGAACCGCAGCAAACCACCAATTTCAAGTTGGTGTTAGGCAAGGGTTTATTGTCCATGAGGATGGGATATCTTCCCGTGTTTGCATATACATATGGACACACGTAGTAAAGGAAGGAGGTTCGATTAGCTTGTTTAACTTGCCACATTTAGTTCATGCTAAAAAGTACTTCCTGGGCGATGACTTAATGGTGTCTTACCACGCATACATTCAACTAATATGCACTGTCTACAAGGAAATGCGAGGAATAACGTTTGATGATTCATCCGCAGAAAGAAACAACGTATTAAGTATCATCATATGTATCATCATATACTGAATTTTAAAGCTGGCACATAACACAAATGAAAAGTTTATCCGGAAGAAAAAGGAATTGTCCACGCTCACTTTCCCCCGTAAACAAGTCGGCCTTAAGACTCGGCGTCTGTTTGTGCATATCCCATCCATAACACAACGGGTTTTATTATTAACGTCTCCTCACGCAAAAGCGAACGCTGAGTAGTTTTACATAGGTACGTGTGGAGGAAAGTAAGGTAAGGTAGGTAGGTGCTCACGGTCGTTGTGGATTACCTATTCACCCACATTCTCCTTTGTGAGGTGGGCAGTTACCCCACGCCAACGTCCTTATCAGTTAGTTGTTCGAGTGAGTGAAAGGAACAAGCGTCGGAGCGGACGAATTGTGAGAAAAGTGAGTGAAAGTGACGCTTATCGGGAAGGGAAGTGTGTCAAGTGTAACAATGAGTAGAAAACGGTACATTTACACATACGTCTTTATAAGTGCATATTTTATAATTTGATACAGTTATCATATTTGAATACGTACATATCTAGTGAAAAAAAAGCTGAAGGATTTCAACGCACATCGTTATAAATAGGCGATATATTTAAGAACAACCAAAAATTAAAATTAAGCATTTAGGTAATTTATTATTACGAATGGATTTTACCGGAAACCGCATGATAAAGATTACGCTCGGAATACATGTGGTTTCTATTCTTAGAGAACAGTATTTATTGGACTTTCATGATTCATATGGTTTTAAACCATTGGTTTACTAACTGAACTACTTAATTTTAAACGATTTGATAAACTAATTCTCACGAAATAGGAATAATCTTTTATCAATTTCCACTTCAGATTTCTATTTTTATATTACATAGTAGAAAGCTTTATTTGACATCCACTTCTATTCACTCGAATCATTTCGTGCATATTATATTCTCGATTTAGACGGTTTTCTTGTTCCTCGTAAAGTATTATCCCTATTTAATCTATGTTGTCTGAGAATTGTTGTCCCAATCTTTGTCGAGGGAATTCGTGCAGACAACACTAATTTACTTTTGGTCTGTAAACATATTATTAATGTAAACACCTTAAGCTAACTCGTCGTTTGAGATGCATTTTTTTGCCCAAATCGACTTGCAAACTTTCAATGACATTAGTACCACAATTGTCATCTAGCTGCAGAATTGTTGCACGATTGTGATTACTCTATTTTATCGTGGTGCATCACTGCATAGACATCAAATCATTAATCTTGCTTATGTGTTATGTGATGTGTACGTACTACATAATTAATTTGTCACGCAACCCTCGAGTCACCGTACATTTGATCAACCAACTTCTTTCCATTTAATGACGACTGCCCCAGATTTGTTTTACTAATTTATGAAAGTTGTAACATCAACAGAAAAAGTAATACATTACATGTTTTTCTTTTCAGAAAAGAGCAGTAGATTTCCTCAACAAAAATCAGCAGCCTGCCAGTAAATCCGTGAGATTTGAAACTCCAAGGATCTCTAATTTTCGTGCCATTTACAACCACACATCATTAAAATGGACATTGGGACAATATTTGTGAAGTACTGCCTATGCCTCTTCAATTTCGTATTTGTGGTGAGTTTTACGCACTTTTGAACTTGTGTTTAAGAAACGGGTGGAAAGCCGAAGCCCACTTTCCCTGCCTGTTTCCTTGGGAGAATAGGTTGATTAGGGCATTCACCTTTCTGTTTACCTTTACTACACGCAATGCCAACCGGTTCCCATCAATAATCCGTTGTCCGGGTTTGCAAATCCTATTTATTACTTAAACGCACTTTCACTGTGCGTTGTTCAGGGTTGGCATATTCTGGAGAAAGTTCTAGCGTACCTATGTCTATGAGCATGTCTACTGTATACTAATATATCTGCATACGATTTCACTTGAAACGCCAAAAATAAAATATTTCTTGACGTTAATTTCATAAATTTCTCCCGATTCTCACTCAAAGTAGCAAAAATAGAACCTATGAACATATTTACTTATGTGTATTAAATATTTTGCATTGAGTTTAGTTCCTTTCTCTGCAAAATTACAACCTAGCAAAATTACTGCAAATGAAAGCACTCGGGCATTTGCTTTGTGAACTTTCTCCTGCACTCCTTGTCCAGGTGCTCGAAAACATTACAAAATGTAACACGCTTCTGTTTACATGCAAATGAGAAAAATGCGTGAATCAGTTTCGTTCGTGTGCAAGGGCTGCTCAGACTGAATGGTGATGTTGACTGGTATCTAAATAAATAATTTGATGATTACAGGTGTTCGGCATGGCCCTACTGGGTTTTGGCATATGGCTCGTGGCAGATCAGGTACCTAAATTTACACACAAATGTATGTGTGTATGTGCACGATCTTGTGCGTTCATGTCGTGTTTGACTAATAAATACAATTGCATTTCACAATTTAGTCGTCCGTAGTCACCCTGCTCAAGTTTGCAGACCACGAGACCATAAGGGTAACAGCAGCACTTCCTACAATTGAAACGTTTAGACACTTATGTTGGATTACTAGAAAATTGTATGATTTTTAGGATTATGGAACCAATGCAACTGTGATTGAACAGCTCGGCTACGTCCTGATAGCAATGGGAGCCTTCATCTTCGTCATCAGTTTTCTCGGCTGTAAGTGGTACCCTATTTGGTTCAATTCTCTTGCATAAGTTCTCAAACAAATAATGCATACGATGATAATTTATGCAATTTGTTTTACAAAAGTGGAAATGAACAAGACCAACGTATTATTATTTCCTCAATCCTTCCTACATACAGCCAAAAATATCATTAAACTATTTATTATAATTTATCCTTGCAGATTGTGGGACCCTAAAAGAATCCAGACTTCTTCTTGGAGCTGTGAGCAAACTAAATAAATTATGAGCGTCATTATTGTACAAGTCGTAATATTTAACAGCGGTGGTAGTGGCAGAGATCACAAACATTTAACATTACGTACTTATTATGAAAGTCTGTTAGGAACCAAAAATTTGTGGAATGATGCTGACCAAACGACGTGGGCTTTACTTGCCCACATAATAAGACTCACAATTATGAGATGCAGCATGGAACAACTCTTTCTCTCATTTATTTCCTCTTTTTGTACGAACCAAAGGGGAAATGTGTATTATTAGCGTGGTGTCTTGCAAAAGGGTTTAGTCCAATTGCCATTAAGTGGAGAACCACTCATAAAATAACCTTTATGACTTTGCACCACCGCACCCAACCATTCCACTAAATTTTCCTAGAAACAAACTGCTGCCAACCCGGTCTTTGAGTGTCTGACTTTAGAGATGGGAAATGATGACATTAATTATTTTATTTCCAGTACGCTTTCTTTCTCACCCTCATCTTTATTCTGGAGATCGTCCTCGTGGTTCTCGTGGTCGTGTACCGCAAAGAGGTATGCGAAATGCGAAATAATGCTCAGCCGCTCACCATTACGCCATAAGGTTATGCCAATTTCGTTTTCCAATGCGACTAATTGTTGAATTATAGGCGGAAGGTGAGACAAGGAGCATTCTCACAATCAGTGTGCAAAACCACTTCTCTACTCGTGAAAGAGCAAATGCTTTCACTGTGGCATTGGACTTCCTGCAAGCAGAAGTAATTACTTAATTAATTAATTAGGCTTGACTTTCTATAATTTCCTAGAAATATATGCATGGAATATAAATGCTCACATTATTAATGACATGGTTTTTCGTAGGGTCACTGTTGTGGAATTTCAAACTTTACGGATTTCAGAAATGCTCGCTTATTCAAGGAAAATTCTACTCGGGAAACACAGGTGCCTGTGTCCTGCTGCAAATTGGCTGGCGATCCATTGAAATTCAATGCTATAGACCCAAGCTGCACAACGAGTCCAAATGAGGGAAACTCATACCTGTTCAATGTACGACATGAGTGCAATACATTTCAAATTCCAACAAATGAATTAATTTTAACTGATTTTTAATGTGTGAATTTATTTGTAGGGATGCTTCGATTCTTTGGTAAAGCAATTGATGGATAAGTTCAACTTTGCGATAATTGCCGGTGTGATAGTGGCCCTCTTACAAATTATTGGGATCGTCTTTTCGATTTGTGTCTTTAAAGCAGCGTATTATGATTACAAGTGATTCATTTGTGTCGAGTCTATGTATCAATCAGCACTATTATTTTACAATATTCGCAATGTTTATAATTTAGCGTAAGAATGTGTAGACCCTCCGATATTTGTTATGGTTTGTTGGTTATCCTTTCATGAATATTGTCCACTTTACTCAAATAGCTTTTCTTAGAATATGTAAAGTTCTGTGTATTTTCTTGCATGCATCCATTCCACACACACTTGTTGTGAATCGCTCTTTATTAAGTAGATTCACCAAATAGATAATATTTTATAGTTGAGCTAATTGAAAACCTCGTCAGTATCCAAAAAGAGCAGCAAGCAAACTGAACTGATGTATAAGTATATGTATAGTGTAATCGTATTGCTGTATTACCTGTAGTGTACACAATCAACCCTGTCACATGTAATTAAACTCCACAAACAAGCATCAATCAGCGAACAACAGTGCTGTAAAAGTGAAATTCCCCCAAAGTTACTGGGAATGAGATTTCTATTTTCAAGTACAATGCAAAGAAATTTTGATTAGATAATTATTACGAATGTACAGAATAGTACATATTTGTGGAAGTGGCAATTATGTATTAAATCCTATCTGCATAAGATAGATTATTCTGGAGCGACAAATTGTATTCATGCAGAAATTTTGCTTATGACATTCAATTAACGAGTAATCAATTACAAATTATGTGAAATCACTTATGTGTCATGTGTAGCTAGCTATCACAAAGTTCGAATCGTCGAACTGCAACAATATATTTGTATTTGTAAACCTTTCAACATATTATTAAGTTACACAAACATATTTGAACTAAATTTTGGATTATTAATTTATAAATTGATTTGTTCCGGCACATACACAACAGAGCTGTCCCGAATGACAATATTGTTGTTTGGTGGTTAAATTGTAATAACGAAAAAACAGCGGCATAATCCATGCAATAATCAGTTTATTTTAATCCTATTATTATTATGTTTATGTTTACGTAGATTGTAATAGATTGAATAAATTACTATTTAATAATTTTATTATTAAGAGTTTTAATTGAAGCAACCATGATAAATATAAATAAACTTAATGGGTGTAACCTTTTTTATTAACTATGGTATAAATTATTACAAGTGCATCACCCAATTCATGTTATGCAACCCTCAAGTATGGTTGAATGGTTGAATGCAATTATGATAAGTATCTTCATTTAAAAATAATGCAGTATTTGAATCTTGCTAAATAATTAATAGGGGACGAGCCATTCATAAGTATTGGGAGTGTTTCACTGCAAATGCACAAGATAACCATCAAATCACAGTGCGAATGATCATTAATCCGTAATGAGAGCGTGATCTCATTCTTCTTTAGAATGACGAATAAAATGATAGCCTCGTTCAGTCCAGAATATGAATTCAGCTAAACTCATAACTCATAAAAAAGTTGTTATATTTCTTTTAACCATTGGAGAAAATTGGTACGTGTATGATACCGAACACAAGTTGGTTTTAATAAAATGATAATAAAATTTAATATGATGTAACTCATTCCTGTAAATTTTACATGTAAATTACTCTATCATCACGAGCGTCATATTTTCAAATTGTTTTGTATTGTATACTGAAAATACTATGCACATAGTATTTCCAAGTAATATTTGGGATGGATGTTGTTCAACAATAATTCACAATGAATAACAACAATGAAAACCTTTTGTCGTGATGTCTCATTTTATTTTATCACCGTTCTTTAAAATAACGGAGAAGTTTATATGGAGAAAGTGAATGTCAGGAATTTCACCTCCTTTTCGACCCCAACAAGCAAAACAAATGACTTCACAGATTCTTTTCCATTCCCGTATTAGTTGGACCCACAAGGCATCTTTAGCTTGAGTGCTTACCTAACGAGTTGGTGTAGCATTGTTATTATTTATAGAACGCCTCGTTCTCTGTATGTACATACGATGACTTTGGTGTTTTTTACATTGATCGCTGGTAGGTTTGTTCGCGTTGAGCATGATGGCACTCCGTCAATGTCAGTCTGTAGTCTGGTCACGTCGTAAATAATTCCAATCGGATTCCCAGAGGATGCGATTTCCTGCATCCGCACACACATGCATATGGAGTCTCATCTAGAGGGCGAAATATCTGCTTTTCTCACATGCTCATTTGCCTCCAGCCACGACGAACTATTCGACATTTCACAAAACCTAACGAGCTTTCCTATTTGTGGATAATTCGGAAATTTCCCTTTTGGAATTTCCTTCTTTTTCATATTTACTAATTGTTTTTTACTTGAAATCCTTAACTAAACTTTCCCCAAACTTGCAAGAATGAGCAACCTGCAGAAACCAAGATGAAAACTGCACTTCATTTTGAAGCACCGTCGTGCTTATAGCTACTACATACGTACATCGAGGAAGGGAAGTGCAGTTAGTGAGGCTGTGAAGGAAGAGGATAACAAAGTGGTGTTTAGGTGCGAATGGTGGGGAAGAAGGAAATGGGAATCTCACGAATTTTGTCTCATTATTCAATTCTCACTCCCCTCACGTTTTCCCGTCTCACTAAATGGAACTGCAGCACAACTTCATCTTCAACAATCTCGTCTTTGTTAAAAGCATCACCACGCTCATTCATTCAGCTCTGATTTTTTGGACTTTGGCTTTCTACAGGTTAACCATCATGTAGATGAGAAGGCAGCGTTGTTTTTTTCAGTAAAGAGTCGAAATGAAAACAGCACAATTCCAGTTTGCTCTTCCACAACAGATATTTGAACGAGGCGAGTGAATTGAGAGCACAGATTCTCAAATGAACTTTTCTACGGTGAAAGATAATTGTTCTATTGAACAATACAGATGAGAAAGAAGAGGAAAAGAGAGAAAGAGTGCGGTGGAGGGACGAGTTATTTGCTGTTGTTGATTTCGTCCCAAGTGAGATGCAGACAACATGCATTCCATCCCAACTACGAACCCACAAAGAAAGTTCTTCATTCCTTACACAAACATGAAACACAAATCTTGAGATCATCTTAATCCTAATTTATCCAGTGGAGAGGAAATAAATCCTGTTTTCAAAGTCACACAAGCGCCCTCGTGCCGCTTTTCTCGTAAAATAAAGATATATTTATATACTTACTCCTTGTACCTGCGGTGGGTTGGTTTCATTGCATGCTTTTGCCAACATTTTGGCGGAATGGTTGCTATTAATTCAGTGGTAAAATTACCCGGAAAGGTGACAAGGCTGACAGTCAGTGAAATAGCTCTTGAACAATAACCTCTTTGATTTTATGGGATAGATTTACGAAGCCATCGCTCGTGCTAAAGTATATATTTCCCTGCCATAATAGGAAGCGGATTGAACAAGCCAGTAGCTGTATTTCTTGAGCAGTATACTCGTAGGTAGGTTGGATCACCTCAAAAAGATGGTTTCACTCGTCAAGATGTATGAGACAAAAGTCCTGAAGTCGCAAATATGCCGTATTGGGAGAATATTATGGCCACAGGCATTCCAACGTAAGCTTAACGTGAAGTGACAAATTCCAGGAGGATGACTAAGCTAAAATAAGTGGCCGCAATAAAGTGTGGTGGTGCTGAGCTATAGATGGAATCCCAATTCATTTCAACATTTATTCAGAGCCTACGTCGTCTAACCATTTTCTTTCACTTACTTTCCTTCCCCAGATCAAGCTCACTTTTACACCCTCTGGATCCTTTATTCATCGTCCAAGTGCAGTGCTTCATTTCCTGAGGGACTGTCTACCTGACAAATCGACATTGATAGGCATCAATTCGACATACATAACATAACGCCGTAAAGTACAACTGGCTGTGCCTCCAGAAATAAGAATTGGACGAGCGTGCATGTGAGGAGAGGACAGAAATGGAAATTCTCACAGTCGAGTTGAATGGGATGGATCCCAGTGGCCTCGTATGAATCGTAACGTGTCGCATCCGTTTTGTTAGAAGAAAACATGGACCATCGTAAAATGTTACGTGAGATGTGATGAAATGGCTGCAAGTGTGAAGAGGGCCAATATATTTATCGACATGTTTCAGTCGTTGGTCGTGGTTTTGTCCATAAATTGCAAACAAGATGAGGTGGATCACAGAAGCAGGCAAGAAGGGAGGCAGCAGAGGAGATGAAATCCCTTTATTTACTTTGTTGTTATCTCTCTATTTGTTGTTCCTCTGTATTTAGGAGAATTGACACGGAATTGAAAAGTACTTATGAAATAAGAGGAGATGATAGCATGTTTCCTACAAACGATGAATTGACAGTTAATGAAGACACAGTTAAAATTGTTCCAATAAAATCAGAAAAACTTATTCAAGCTTCAAACGGGAAACAACGATTCTCTGATCTCTCAAGCGACATTCGAGTCAATAATTTAATGGAAAATTCTCAACAGGCAAGAGTGCGTGCCTTGTTTGACCCAGAAGAGGTTGAAATCTTTGAAGTTTAAATAAGACTCTAAAACACAATCATCATCAATAAGTGGAATTACTGCACAAAAATAAATAATGAATGCTCATGTATTTTTTTCCGTAGATTATTAACGTTTCTAGTTTATACAACACAGATATAAAACGCATTCTACAATAATAACAATAAAATATGTATAATATTATTGAACACATTTGAAGAAATAAAATATCTCTGCCGTACAACTAAGTATGTTTAAAATTGGTCCACTGCGACATTCAAGATGATAACAACTACGTCGATCGATATAGCAAAAACAAAAGATTTAAATATATTTTAACTAAACTAATTTTAAGGACGGATCTTTACGATGATTTTGTAAATTTGTTCTTAAACTAAGTAGTCCACTTTCAATAAGACCGGTAGCATTTTTTCTAACCCATGGTGACATCATTATTATGAGTAGGTGGGGTAGGCATAACAAAACCTGGCTTCCACCCTGCGAATGGAGGCTTGAAAGCAGCGGCAGAAGTAGTGGCAGTAGTAGCAGAGTCCTCTTTTTTTTTTTCTTTAAAAATTCTGCCTTCTTGGCAGAAGCCTCTTCTTCTTGATATTTGCATTCACTGTAAAAGAAGCAAATTAAATTAGAGCTAATAGAGAAAGTATAGTTATCAGTTTAATCATGAAATATGTAATTCGTTACCTTCCGTAATGTCCTTTCTCCTTACAGCGCCAACATCGCTGGTTCTTCTTGTTCTTGGCTAAAATTAAATAATAATAAAATTAAAAACTGGTATCCCTTTGCATTTTATAATATGGAACTTACCCTTAACGTTTCCACCACCACCACCGCGCTTCCCACCACCACCACCGCGCTTCCCATCACCGCCACGATTTCCACCACTACTGCCTGGAACGCTCAAAGTAAATGGACTCCCGAAAGGGAGTCCACTCACCGTAACCTGATGGTTATACTTTCCCATCTGTAAATTTAAAAATAATATAAAAACTTTGCTAACCTAGCTTTAATTTGATTTATTTCAATAAATATTGTAAAAATACTTACCTTCAACGAAAACAATGCGAAAAATCGACGAAAGACGACGAAAGACGACGACCGGTGGAAGAACTGTGGATGATCAACCTATACAACCATTAATTTATGAATATGCTTTGCTAACCTAGCTTTACTTTTACTTTGATAATTAAATCTAAAACTACTTACCAAACAGCTGAAGACAGCAGACGACCAACTATTACGATGATGACGATGATTATGAGAGGAGAAGAAAATAGTTATGAATTGCACTAAAAAATAAATGAATTAATATTATTTATTATTATTTGGGGCTTATCAATGATGAAATTATTAATTATTTAAAAATTACCGAATTTCTTCAGGAGAGAGAGTGTTCCACCCTGTATGTTTGACGAGAGAGAAGTAAGTGAGCGGGCAGCAGTGGTGGTGGTGGCACTCAAGTCAACGTTTTGACTGCTGCCCGCTCACTTACTTCTCTCTCGTCAAACATACAGGGTGGAACACTCTCTCTCCTGAAGAAATTCGGTAATTTTTAAATAATTAATAATTTCATCATTGATAAGCCCCAAATAATAATAAATAATATTAATTCATTTATTTTTTAGTGCAATTCATAACTATTTTCTTCTCCTCTCATAATCATCGTCATCATCGTAATAGTTGGTCGTCTGCTGTCTTCAGCTGTTTGGTAAGTAGTTTTTTAGATTTAATTAATAAAAGTAATAATAAAGCTAGGTTAGCAAAGCATATTCATAAATTAATGGTTGTATAGGTTGATCATCCACAGTTCTTCCACCGGTCGTCGTTTTCCATCGATTTTTCGCATTGTCTCCTTCCCTCCTTGAAGGTAAATATTTTTCTACGATCTTTATTGACGCATTCAAATTAAAGCTACGTTAGAAAGTAATACTATTTTGTATTGGTTTGTTACTAATCGGGATTGCAGGATTATCTTTTCGACGTCCAGTCAAGATCGTCTTCGTTTTCCTTCGATTTTTCATTTTCTTCTCCGTGGCGATTGGTCTAGGTATATTTGAACTTATAAATTACAACAAAACTAGGTTAGCAAAGTAATTAAACTATAATTTGTGTGATTTGCAGGGAATATTCGTCATCTTTTTTGTCCATCGTCCATCGTCGGCTTCGTTTTAGATTTATGTATTTATATTTTTATTACATTAGTTTTATTCATTACATATTAAAATAATTGCTATTGTGCGATTATAAATAAATAATTGCTATTGTGCGATTATAAATAAATAATTGCTATTGTGCGATTATCAATAAATAATTGCTATTGTGCGATTATCAATAAATAATTGCTTTGTACGATTAATGAAAATTATAAAATGTCTCAAATTCTACATTACCATTCCTGGAATGCTGAAGGCATCAACGAAAAAAAAATTACAAAGATGATGCCTCATTGGAATGATAGCCACCTGATTTTTATTCAGGAAAGTATGCTTCAAGAGAAGGACGAACAGAAAATAGCTGATTTTGTAAAACAGCAGTATGGATATGAGTCCATTTTTCATTCATCTGTCAAGTGGAACTCAGACCCTTCAAGATCGAGCTATGGTGTCTGTTTATTTTATAAAAACGTCAAAGTCGAACATCTGACGCTTACTTCATCAAATCCTAACAAGCCAGTAAATCCTGAAAGGCTGATGATGGTGGAGGTGGATTGTGATTTGCTTGATAAAGCGATATTGTTTTTCAATTTGTATTTCCCATCAAACAATAAAAGTCTTCCAACAAGACCAGCTGAACAGCAAAAATGGTTAAAAACAATTGAAGTTTTATGTAGAAAATATAAAGACGAACATTGTATTTGGCTTGGAGATATGAATATGCAAAAATTAAAGCCCAACACGAACCCAGACAGAAGGTCCAAGTTGTTTGGCCAACTACAGAAAATCATAAAGAAGTATGGTTTTCGAAATGTTGCAGATAAGCTGTGGAAACCAAATGTATTTACATGGCATGCTCCACATAATTCTAACAAGGTGAATCACATCACATCCACTTTGGACTATGTAATCACATCGAAGTCCATGCAAGACCTTCACCAGACTTTTCTTCCTTTGTATGACATGGATTTGAGTCTTAGTGACCATGTAGATATAAAGTGTAGCAATAAAATTGCTACAGCTCATGATCTGGCCATGCCATTTCTAAAAAGAATCGTCTTGCACCCTCCAATTATCATCAACGACAAAGTTGTTCAGCTCGAGTGTGCCAAGTGTGGATATAAACCCACCGGCAAATTTACAGTTGCCCGAGGCAACTTAAACAAGCACGTTGCTAAATGCAATGGCCCTCCTCAAACAGTATGCATTGTGTGCAAAAATGATTTTGGACGCCCTGGTACTTTAGCACGCCATATAGCGATGAACCAATGTCCAGGGGCGCCATATGTGACAATTTGTGTAGACTGTGGCCACGATTTCAAGCGTCTTTCAAAACTTAACATACACAGAAACAGGGGTTGCAAAGACAAAAATTTTGTGTGCCCAAAGTGTAACAAAGAATGTGGCCATATAGGTTCTTTGGCCAATCACATAAAAGCATGTTCCATGTGAAACCTTTTGTCTGTGAAGATTCCGAAGGGCTGCTCAACTATGTTAGAAGCAGGGGTTAATTATATTTACTTTTGTCTGTAAGCTTTGATGAAAATACGTTGTTCAAAATAAATAATTTAACTTTATAAAATGATGTTTACTTATGAAATCATCCATTTTTTGTCTTTGATTAAGATTTCTGTCACATTTAATACACACATGGATAAAAGTACGTAGTTGCAAATGTACAATCTTTAAACCTTGTTATCACAAACAAATTCTCAAAGCAGCAATACATAATCATGATTATTTCTTCCCAATATGTACCTGTTAAAAGTTACTTGTGAAAGTTAAATTGTTGCAAATATACATAAACTCGTAGTTTGTATTAATTAACCTCAAGAAAGCTAAGTAAGTTGAATCAATATCCTGCCATTCATTTGAAATGGAACTTGTAAAACTGTGTTTGAGTGGAGAATCTGGTACGACATATTTTTCACTTTGCTATATTTTTTTCGTTGAAGCATTACATATTTTTACCCGTATTATTATTCTTTTACAGGATACCTGATGGCCAAGGGTCTTCAACTCTATCATTCATTTGCCTATAGAGTTGAGACGTTCGAAGGATTTATTTGACTTTATAAAATCTCAATGTCGTGTAAATAGTTATGGGCTCATCATAACTCAGCGCCTGAGACGAGCGCAATAAGCAAAGGAAACTCTGGAATAATTGGACTAGATAAGCCCTGGTGAATGTCCTGAATCACGTTCACTCAAATCTTAAAACAACAATACATACCAGATCCTGAATAACAGACATAAGATTTATTGTTTGCTAACATTGTTTTCAATTTCTGCAAAAATTGTTTCAATAATCTGAGAAAATTACTATTTGAATTGTGTCCCAAAATCAACTGAATGCAGGCCCAGCATCACTTTACTACGGGTTGACAATCCAGTCTGGATAATCTTTGAAATCATCTTTCATTGTAATTTGAATTTTTTAGAGACTTTAATAAATATTTTCGATATGAAGCCACTACTGCCTCGTGGACATTCTTGCTGTTTCTGACTTCCAAGATTGGATCTCATCGTTTCTGTCTTGTCAGCAGTCGAATACTTGTGTAGGGAAGGACGTTGGATGTGTGAGAAATTCCCAGTTGGGTTGGTTTCTAAGAAGAAATTTTACGGATGAAAATATCTGTACGAAAAATTGTTGAGGCGAGTGCTTGGCAAAGAAATGGGGGAAACTCGTTGAGCCGACCTTACAACAATTCTATCAATATAATAAGAGGCTTCAGAGCGTCGGAAGGAAGGTCGTCCATCTTCAGCCCCATCAGAATCGAGATGGATGATGTGACTGTCAACACTCACACGGAATCCTATGAATGAATGAGAACAGTAAATGCTGATATTTTTCTATCTCTGCAAACATTCAGAAAAATGATCCAGTAATTTTTATATCTATTGGGTAAAAAATTGCGAGAATTGTTCTGTAAGTTCGGTATAATTGATCCAGACAATTTTGAAGTAATAAAATTAAAGGTCATAATTATAACAAACGGTCTTCCGGTTAATATTGGTTCCTTATAACATAAAGAAAGTAATTAGGAACCCTAAAAATTCAGAAAATTAACAAAAATTACATGTCTGATGTTTGTGATTAATGGAGATGTAAACTTCCAGAAAGAATACCCGTTTCTCAGAAACGCATCGGTGCTCTTCAGCTTCCTCCATCGAAACTGAATATCAGAAAATGCAGGAGTGAAAGTTTTCTCTCAACAAACTTTTCTCGTTGAGACCCAGACATCCAACTGTTTTAGTGCATTAAGGAATCACTTGATCCAGGTATGATGACCCGACCCGCTACTTCAGACAAGTGGTGCTCAAGATCATGGTGATTCCAAAAAACAAAGTTTTAAAAAGCTGTGTACTTTCACCAGCCGCTTTTTATTGCTGGTTGCACCTGCCAACTTCCCACATGAATTCAATGACTTTGAATTTCCTCTAAATTCATACCGAATTAATTCACATGTGCTGTGGATGCACATATATTTCTCATGCTCATTGTAATTTAATGTTTAAAATGGTAATACATGAACCAATTACGTTGCACAAGACGATGCACGATTAGATAAACTTTCTTTCTATAAAGAGTTGCATACCTCGCATAACTCAATGAAAGTCGTTTCAGGATCAAAACTGAAGCAAGAGAATCACTAAGCAGCACAACAATGTGCGACTTAGTGAGCGGAATGATGGGGAAGTGCGGCGTAAGGGAAGAAGAGGGTCAGGATGAGACGAGACTTTCTCCTCCCATTGCAGAGAGGAGAAGGTAAACGGAAGAGCATCACATTACAAGTACACAGATAGCCTGGTTGGAGACCGGAATAAAAATTGTAAAATTCTCCAGAGACTTGGGAAGTGGGAAGATAAGGACGATAAGGGAAAAAAGCCCCAGAGAAAAAAATAACTATATTTCTTACACGCACGTTGCCTCACTTGAACCCACTCTGTGCGCTGATGATGGGCTACTTCCACCAGAAATGGTCTTTATAAATAGCTTCCCTCTCACCCAACTAAAACTTTCCAGCCGACAACCACCAACTCCTAAGGCGTGCATGATATCAAATCCCTCTCGACCATCGCCGCCGCAGTCATCTCCCAGAGTGAGAAGTGCCTTCTTGAATTGTGAGACCTGCTGCATTCATTTTACACCCACAACTTTCTCATCCTCCGAGTTATGCCTCACTTGGCTAATCCACTTTACACACGGCTAAATGGTGGCTGCGTATGGAAGAACAGATATTTCTTTATGATGACAGCTCCTGGTTGGATACTCAAAATTTGCAGAATGGAATAATTATATACTACTCGGAACAAAAATACTTTTCGCGGAATTTTTTTATGGGGATTGATCTCGAAAAAGATAGTTGGCCAATAAGAAGCTGTCAAAATAATCAAATTGATCACCCCTAAATTAGAGTTATTCAACATTTCCCCTTTTCCAATTCCAATTTTCACTTGGACGCGTCCCCTCCAAATTGGAAAAAAATGAAATAAATACAAATAAGACAAGTTCCGGGTGCGGACTTCCTTTCTTTGAAAAAATATTCACCCTCAAGAAAACTCATCTTGTCTGTGCCATACATAACATGAAGCTGTTTAAGAGAGTGTGAGCACGTAACATAAAAAGTCCGGTTTCCCATTATACATGTACTCGTCTTTCCCAGTATTGCTCTAAAAATGCGCATATTACTTGCATGCAGACCAATTTTGTAATTAAATCAATGAAGAACTACTGGCTGGTCTGCTGCATCACTGGAGGTTGAATAAATGTGTAATATAAAAGTAAAATTTCATACATACGTATGTCAAATTGTAAATCAGTCAATGTGCGGGTGCATGAGCTGCACATTGTTCTCAAAGTTTCGTATTGCTGAATAAAATGTACAATTTATATGAACAACTTTAAACTACGCTTACACATGTATGAAGATGAATGTGAAATATTGGCGAGTCATATCGATATTTTATTCAACTCTTCAGTGCTTCACGTGACTTTAGCTGAAGTAGAATACATGTTCCCGATTTAAATTAAAGTTGAGCGAATACAGATATATTCAAATAGCCAACGAGGAGCGTTAAAATGTGAAAATTTTCGTTGCGTAGAAAATATTTTATGTCGTGATGATTCTACATTTCAGAAGTTACCGACACTTTAGCATGTGTACAATAGAAGGGACTATAGCCGTTCACAATTTAAAAGTAAAAGCAAGCGGGATACAAAAGATTGCAATGCATCTGACCATCCATGCCCCATCTGCTTTTTGCTTATTCCTTCGATCGAAACAGAGGATTGTGGACTTTCAAGATTACCAAAAAAACGAGAAATCCTCAGTCTTCCAATTCAGCGCTTCTTCAGTTTTCCGTGCCACTAACAATATGTAACAATGCAGGATAACTTCATGTTTTGGGTAGTTGGCAGAGAAGTATCGTCGTCTTTGGCTTTCTCGCAGCTCGCTCCAGAAAAGTCTACAATACGTGCACTCTGTAAACTCTGAACTGACTTTTACTATGAACTTTGGTTTATTTTAAAGTCCTCAAAATCAAATGCGGCCGTTTTCTCGAACCGAATCGTTGCATCGGTGGACTGTCAATGCCTTCTGATTCTATTTTGTTCCTCGTATTTACTCAACACTAGACAGACAACAAAGAACAAAGGCAACCAAAATAGACTTTGGGACTTTCATTTCGCTGTTATTGAATGAATTGAAAGTTGGTTCGACTTGTGAAGATTTCGTTTGATTGTCGTCTAGAGCTGAATCCAATTGTATTTCGTTATCTTTCGGATGCATCTCCTTGTCAGCCAGCGCCAACAGATTGAAGCCCATGCAATGCAACAACAGGAAGAAGAGTGAAAGTTGAAAGAGTTTCACCCGCACTGCTCGACTCCTCTTGTGGCATAATCAAGGAAGGAACATGTGCTGCGGCTTCTCATTTAAATCTGCATACAAAATTCATTTGACTACCAAATACTACGAGAGAGAACGAGAATCTGATTCTTGATTATCATGCGTTTTGTACTCATAGTGCATATTTAGTTATAATAAGAAATGTAGAATCTGCTGTTCAGTTCTTAGTTTTAAGCTGTAGTAAGCTGCTGAATATGAGACTTGTTTCATTATGCGAAAGGCTCTGTTCGCATGAATAACTGCATTTTCCCTTTGCCTAAGAAATTTTCAAAAGATGTACTAATTAATTTCGTCTTGACCCTCAATTGGGCATCTGATGCTAGAATTTTTACGACTGGATTATACCGCTGTGGGGTCTGGGATATTAGCAAATCGTATACGTGCAGAATGGGAACCGCAAATTGGAGCTGGTGGTGGCTGTTGTGGAGAAGAAAAGAATTTCGTTGAGTAAAGAAAGCTGTAGAGAAGAGGGTGGATGGATGAGATCGAAATGTGGATCTTGGCAGCAATAAGAAGTAAAAGCGTACATTTTCCCTTCTGGTTCGTCCTCCTCCTTCTTCTTTCTCCGTGAGTGAGTGTGTGGTGGTCATATTACAACTTCTGGGCGATAAGAATACCAACCCACTAACACGAGGTAAATAAATCATTTCCACATATTTCGGATTTCACACTGCATTCACATTTCATTTATTTTTTGACACTCCACGTGAGACTTTCTCTCGCGCCACACTACGTCGCCTTTGTAACAAGCATTATTTCAACGGCTCATTAGAAATTGTAACCCTCGTAAACCATCAGTTGATTAAGGCTAACAGAAACACAGGTATGTATAAATAACTTGTACGTAAGTTCAGAGATTTGTAAAAATGGGTAAATGTAATAAATATAGACGTCCTATTTTTAATGTCAAATTATGAAGAATGATCTCGTCTCAAGGAAATAATTAATGTCGTAAAATGCTCGTGGCAAGCCCATTCTTTTCCAAATCATCTCTTCCATATTTTCAATGTCAGATGTCAACAACTAAGTAAAAATAATGGGAGAGGAGCTAATCATTGGCGAAGGTCATTAATAGACTATTAATCTTTGGCTCACCAAATCCACCACCAACCATTCAATTTCCTCCTTGGCACTTTCAACGTTATAACTTTTATCCTTCAGCCAGTCACATTGGAGACCATTCTGAACCACTGTCTTTGTAGTTTGTCTGACCTCTTGGAACAAACGAATTGTGACCATCAAAGCCACGACTTGAGTGGGAGCTCGAGAGTATGTAGTCGAGAGTATATTTACAAATCCTCTGTTGAAGACAAGACAACTATCCAAGCATTAAATTAACGTAACGACAGGCCCAAGACAAACGGCTATTTGAGAGAGATTCAAAATCCTCTTGAAGAACATGAGAACAAGCTTTGCAAAAATTCAAACGCATTTTCTCGAGCCCTCGCTTCTCGTAGATAGTAAGTACCACGCTTGTATTTATGTACTATGCATGTTACATACTCGTACATTCGTATGTATGTAGGAGCTAAAAAAAGTCTGGACATCCAACATCCATTATTTTATTCCTCCGGCATGCTCTTGGCTCTTGAATGTGCGGTCCCTTCACACAAAGAAATCTATCTCGTCTTGTCTTGGCCTCCAAGTAAACGGCCAAATCTTATTTGCAGGGAACTTTGGAACGAGACGAAACCAAAATCCATCCGAAAGGAAAGTTTGTTGGTGGAAATAAAAACAGTAAACTTGAAATTCAAAGGGGAGCGAGAAGAAGCCGGGATGCATGGAGTGGAGCGCATGTGTTGGTAGATTAAAAAACGGGTCGATGCTTGAAGCATGAAGTTACTCCACCGATTCGGTGTTTCCTTTCCATCCTACCCGCACCACCTCATTTTCAGTCTCTCGTTTCAGAGACACGGCCACGTTCTGCCATTCTCACACGTTTAGTCTCAGAGTCGTCTCACTGCTCCCTGCACCATAAAATAATAAAAAGTGATCATTATTGAGAGATTCTTTCACGAAATTTCCATTCATATCTATCCACTTATTGCACACATTGAGATATCAATTACTTACCTTTTCCCCGCTCCTTTCCCTCTCCAACCGGCTTCACTCTCCTCACATTTTATGCAAGACGGACGAGCAAAGTGTGTTCCCTGATACCGTACTCTGGGTTCCGGTCGTGTATGAAGTAACCCGGCAAGAGAAGAAAGGATTTTTTGCAGTGCGTGACCACAAACAAGGCATTCAACTGCGTAAAACTGTTCGATTTATTATACGGAACGAGGAGGGCGCTCGCCAAACCAATTTCTGCTATCTGCTCTGCTCATCAATTGCCATCAACGGCATTGGCCAATTGAGTTATAACGAGGAAGAAACATATTACTTCACTTGAGATTTATCAGACTTTGCTACATACGCAAGAGTGGGAATGAGAAATGGAATGGTGAAGATAAGAAAAATAGAACAAGAGGAGAAGTGAGATTGCAACATGACTTCATGAGACTACTTGTCAGCAAAAAGTCAAGAAATTGCCAAGTAATATTTTTATTATCATTTGTTGAAGGAGCTACCGAAACTCATCACGGCTTGTCTTGTCATCTCGTACATAAATATAGCTGGACTGTGCGCCCCCAGCTGCAGCATCTCAGGAACGGACTTTGTTTCGGTGAAGGCAAAAGTAAAGAGGCATTTTATGACTTCATCTCTTCTCTCTCTTCTTGGACAAGTTTTCGCAGAGAAAAGAACGCACGATTGACTGCAATGTCTCAGATATGACAGTGTATTCATAGTAACCGTCATAACTTGACTTGACTTTGGTTTGCGAATCGAGGACAAGCTCAACTCACAAAGCAAGAACCTTAGCCAACATTCCAGTGGACGAGTATGTACTATCGGGCAGTTCATTTGTGAGGTCTCATCCTTCCTTTCCAGACCATGTGGCTCTCTCTTTAGCCATTTCTTCTTGCGTTCACTCCAAATACACGAATTCAATTTCCAAGTTCATGAATATAAACGACTCATTCAGTCTCCATTGATGGACGTATTTTATATTCCAACCGATTCTTATCCAACAACTTATTGGCTGTGCCAGTGAATGGGCTGCAGGAGTTAAGCAGGATGTCATTATCATGAGTTCCTATTTACTATACCTGCCCACGCTATTGTTCTGAAAGAAATCGCAAATGGGTTCCCCAATAGCGAATAATGTGCACTGAAAGACGGCAAATTGGACAAACTTTTGCAATCTGAATTTGTGCAAGATTGTGTGTCCGATCCTGACGGACGTTTGTGTCCAATCTGAAACTTGCTTCTACCTGAAATAAATATGTCAGAATTTTTATGAAATAAGGGAGCTCGTGTCAATCTTGTTCGAGGAAAAGGAGGGGATAGCTCCTGTCCGGTCATTTATTGTCGATTTCGATATTGATCTTGAGTTAGCGTCTTATTGAACTCCCCCACTGCCTGAACCAACTCTCGCACAGACTTGCTGGTGGACTGGATGGATGTGAATTGAGTGGATGGGCTCCAGTTATAAAAATACACAACAAAGCTGAAGGTACGTGACTTTACTATAAAATTCTGAAGGAGGTACAGAAACTTGGATTGACCACATATTATATGCATGTACATTCGCTGAAGGGAATGGGCGACGTCTAGAATAATTTTTCTGTCCCATTCAGAATCCAACATTGCCTTGACTTGACAAAGTCAGTAAGTAAGCATCTCGACTTAACAAGAAGCAATTAATTCAATCACTGCAATCGAGTTAGATGCGTCGGATGAGAAACTGAAAGCGGTTTTCAATTCTCATAAATTAAGAGAAACTCTCAGGAGAATTGGACATCCCATTCAACATTCGTACATTATCTTGTGTTATATTTCGTTCCTTCGCTCACTGGTGAATTGTGAAAAATAAATGTAACAAAAGCTTGAGAAAGTGGACGATAAATTTTCTCGGATAAAAGATCCGAACTACCGATTCTCGTATCGGAACAAAATTGTCACCTACGGTGAGCAGGGCCTGCATACTGCCACAGACTCTTCCTTCCTTGGCGTGTGCTTCTGAATAAAGGGAGTGCATTAGCGATTCCGTCTGACGGAGAGAGGTGGGAACCTAGCGTTGGATCCTACATAAAGTGAAAGTGCGATTACACTTCCTCTCTCACCTCGTGCCATTGTACTTACGGACCTCATTCTACTTGGCTAACCAGGTAAATATTATATACCTACGAGCTTTGGTGCGTTGAGTGGCAAACAACTTGGCACAGTGAGACTCATTTTATTAAGGGAAAAGAAAGCGACGCTGGAGTGAGCAGATTTCCCGTGGATTGGTGAGTTTACGCATAGAGCTAGTTTTAGCATGTCGTTCTTCCTCTTTTCGGTCCAGCCTAATATACAGCATTATCCTCCTCCTTCCGTGCTTTATAGCTGTGCCTATCCTCAAGCCCTCTTTTATGAAAGTGCACTATTGTAGGCACCAATAAGAGAATCATTTTCCTTAAAGGCAACGGACAACTTATATCTTTCTCCAGGCAAACGGTGTGTTTTGCTTCTGCTGCTATGCGTATGTTTTGGTAGAATTATGGAAGGTGAGAGAGCGGTCATTATTGTTATCTCAAATTGAGCTGGACAAGCAAAGTTGGACAAAATAATGGATGAGGACTCACGGAAGTTGAGTTGACGGCAAGAAAGGATAGTTGGGCACAGAGTCATTACATCCAAGTCGTCACCTGTCTCTGCCATTCAGTAAGGTTTTAGACGTCAAGTTGACGCTTCATTTATCCTCATCATTGATGATTGTTGTGACTTCAGGGAGGGTCACCCTTAAAGAGTCGCAAAACCCCATTTTCTGTTGATTTTCTAATATATCTAGTGAATGAAAGCTTAAAAGTTTGCAAAACAAGTAGAAAATGAAACAGGGTTTGCTACCTCGTAAAATATTAATCCATTAATTTAAATGTTTTGCTATTCATTTAGAGCTCAGTTGCAAAAATATTTGTATGGAACCTATGTAGAACGCACTAAACAAAAGTCCATATTTACATATGTACATTCGTACATATTCGCATGCATGTAAGTATGTACATAAAACTGTTCCATCACTTCACTCCATTACTCACAATCTCTTGCGACCAAGACGAATAAAAACTTTCCTTTTGCAAATCAGCTTTGCTTTTTGCTTACATAATGTAGCAGGAGTAATGGAGGAAGGATGAAATGAAAGTGTTGGATTTTTAATGGCCAAGAAGTGAACCAAACTCTTTTCACTTCATCCCACATTGCGAGTGAGTGAGGTTGCGAAATAAAGTGCACTGTCAGTCAGTCTCCTGCCGACCCTTATAACCACCATATAGATGCTTGTAGCCTATAAATTCCTTCCGTAACCTCATCCCAGTCTCACTACCAGGACAAGAAATGAAAGCTTTTCTCCTGAATTTAGCAGATGCGGATGGAACAACTTTGTCCGTCTCCAGAATCGACCTTTACTCTCCAAGGTGAGATAGAAGAAACGGGAACGCACATTTATTAAGTTGGATTGGAGTGGGACCCATACAGAGGACGACGCCTCCTTCACAAGGTGAGGCTCAATTTTTCAATTTGGTCTCACCCACTCGGAGAAAATTGATTACAACTATCTCTCGCGTGGAACTGTATCATGGCGTTAATGCAATAACACACACAACAAAATGTTCAAAGTAATCTAATCAGGAGGCTATAAATATGGCAATATAGGAAACAAAACTTTTAATGAACCTTTGAAAACGTAATTGAGTTTGTATCATCTCCGAGAGTGAGAGCGTGGTCCCCGAGCATTTGGACGAAGGAGGAGCAAGTATTATCAGACAGATAAATAAGATTGGATTAATCTTAAGTGTAGTTGTTTGCATTGCAGGGGTGCTTCATTAAGCGCTCGCCAGTGCTCTTTGTATTGGCATCGCTGTGTCCTGTAGTCCTCCCTGGTGACGGTAGTTTCAAGATCTGCTCTGATTTATCAGAGTCAAATAAGAGCAACTTAAATGTTCAGTTCACTTGGTCGGAAAGTTGGAAACAGATTGAATTGGAATTGGTCGCTGGGATAAATTAAATTACCGACTCAGAGTATACGATGGACCTTCCTCTTTCATCTTCCTTTACAACACAAGAGTTTATCATCTTGACTTAAATTACATCCACAACTCTGCAGCACAGCGTACTTGCACACATATTTAGTTAGTTAGTTGTATGCTTAAAGTTTGGCAAAACATCCACAAGGATAAACCATTACTACCTACGATATAAGTACATAGGTAATGGCTTATCGTCGTTCCCCCACAAGTCTAATGTAATACAAACAATGCAGCCTACGAGCACGCTGTTTCCTTCAATTTACTCTAAAATCTAAAAGTTCACTCATTACTACGCTTCCACAACGAGCACTGCCCGTCTTAATGTCCAATGTCAAGTAAGAATTCGAGCAGTGGTGGGGAGCCTAAGTGCACTCAAAAACACTTGTGATTGCCACTTTTAATAATAAATTGTTGGAGAAGACGGCACACTTGGCAAGAGTGGGGCATGTATTATGGTAAAATACGTACATACGATGGAAACTATAATTATAAGATTGTCTCACGCACAGATAGCGTTCGTCACGTTGAAGTTGAAGGATGAAATTGGATTGCGTTTATTTAGACGGTTGGGGACGAAGCAGAGGGAAGGTTCATTAAATGGATTTTTGAACCAGTGTTACAGCACAAGACGAGATTGGGAATTGAGATTCTATTTCAAAGGGAATTTCAGTTTATTTGGGCAACCTCAGTTAGGCAATTACATTTTGACACATGTACGAAAAATTTGAAGCAGTAAATCCTTTAACAATGGGTGATACTATATTGTCCATGGGAATTTATTCTTTCACAACAAGAAATGCAAAGCCGATGTTTCCAAATCTGAACCTGAATAATTTACTCCTTTCTCGGATTGTGAACTTTTTCTGCCGAAATCGTATTTTGATGGACCGAATAATTCATACAAATAATATTACTTGAATCCCATTCATTAAGCTGACCACCACCACGATCAGCCGTAATGATGATTGGATGATCGGGTCATTTCCTCTCGATTCCCACAATCTATCTGCCTTTTGCGTCATTATCACTGTTCCAAATTCATCCCAGGAACCTTTCACCCGGGTTATGTTTATAATTCAAATTACGACTCAATTTTCGTGATGGACCACGATTAGATTTGCGATCCATGGTGGAGACCCCGAGTAATGAGCTTCTAAATGCCTACATATGTATCCATCTGAACTGCATTGTCGGTTATCTCGTTTGACCACGGAACATGCACAATAATTCGAACCTTGTCTTTCATTGGATCCAGTCATGTCATGCTGATCCACCCAACGCGGATAAACTACAATCAGCTTGATACTTCATAAATAAATGGCATGAAAAGGACCCATCAGCATTAGCATTCTTTATTTTATTATAATGCGGGAGCCTTTAATCTCGTCAATCACGCGGCCCAAATTCATTTGGATGAAACAGAAATTGCAACATTCGTCTACCAATATTAAGTAAATGTGTTCAGTATGTATACATATGTAGTTTTGACATGATAAAGAGACCAAATATAACGGTGGTAGACCGAGGTTATTGTATAATTGGCACGAAAAAATTAATTTCACTGCAGTGGATTAGACACGACTAATCAAAATCCCCTGTAAAAGAGAAAGAAGACCGAATCAATGTACATACATAAATGTATAATATTTATTTCCTCGTCCGTACATGTTCTTGGTTCATTCTGGTTAATCAAGCAGACTTGGGAGAAGTCCATTTTATTTACGTTTCTGATAGTGTAGACATCATCTTGTCGTTCATCTAAAATCTTACTGGATGCCAAACAAATCATGATTTTAAATCAAAAGAATTGTCTAAATCAAGTTTTCTTGCCTCATTCGAGTAACTCTTCCTTGGAGCTTCAATTTACGCAATCACTTAAATATTCCAAATCCTACATTCATCAATCGAGTTGAAGATGCAAGAATACTTTTGTGCTTTCGTACAAACGGTGGATTCTGTGGAATACATAATTAGATTTCTCTGCTCGCTCGACATTGTTCCGTAATGGAGTTTACTTGAATTTTCAAGATTTCCAAGAAGAATCTTAGGAAACATTGAACGTAGCAAGTCATCCCAAACAAAAATAGAGAAAATTAACCAAATTAAGTTGCACTTTTCTATCCTCCTCTCAAATAATATCCAAGGAAGATTTACAAGTTGTGGCAGTTGACAGTTAGTTCCACTCTCCCCATTCAAGTGCCATTACAAGGAGAGATTGTGCTTTGCATAAAATCAACTAAATTTTGGTACAAATGCGATTTGTTGCTGCAAGGTCTTCTTGGAGAATGGTTGCATTTCGAAGAGGTTGCGTGTGTGCTGGGTGGGTGCTGCGAGTTTGGTGGTGGAAGGAAAGAAGGGTTGGCTGGTTTGTATGAGAGGAGAAAGAGGGAAATCATCATAATGAAAGTGACAGACAAGAAGGGGGCCCAGCAGCCAAAGTTTATGCCAAACGGAAGACTGTGCTATCGAATGACAAAGTGAAGTCGCAACGGGGTGATCATGATGTGAATCTTAATGGGCACGGTGAAGATTCTTCAAAGCACAGTGTGAATTTGTGATGCAAATCACACTGCTGAAATATACTGAATTGACTTCGATAATGCAGGGTGATCACTACATAAACCAGAAAAGAGCATATATTATTGCAATGTGTGGTTGCTTGGCTGATTACTGCGAGAGCTGGAGAACGGCTGGACGACGACGGAGAGCTAATTTAGAATGGGTTCCGTGCTATACACTCAATCCAATTGTTAAACGAATGAACCAAATGTCTCAACTTTGTTCGCAATAAAATGAGATTTTACGCCGGTAGTAAAAACTAAAACAAAGTTGTTCTCCTCTCAGCCTCTCATAAATTACTAACAAACCACAACCACATCCAACGTTTCTCGCATTAAGCTGAACAAGTTTGAAAGAAAATTATTGATGTTCTCATTCGCACGATGGAAGTTATTTCCCTCGTAAATTTAATCGGGCTACTTAACACTTTCTTTCAGCTCGTAATCAGCCCCCACCGTGTAAACCTCGACACAGACACCCAATCAAGTCTGCTGATATTAAAATGAATAAACTTTGCCAATTTCTCTGCTATGCACGGTATTTTTAGTAGAATTATTAAAATACGGGGTTTATAAAATCCATAAAATCACAAACTTTTGTGTACTCGACAACTTTTTCGCTATAAATATATTCAGCTAAAGTCGTCGAGAGTTGAATCGTAAACTCAACTTTCTTTTGTAATTAGTGAGCTGGAGCAAAGGGACTTTGAATTTCAAAGATGATTCCATCGTCAAAAGAAGACGAGACTTTTTATTCTGATTACGTTTAATCCTTTGTACTTTCATTCGTCAAAAGTCGAGTGGAAATGTTCTGCCGACTCTTTTCTTGTTCTTGAAAATTATCCAGCTGTTGTCTTTGAACTCGTGAACTCTCCGTGTTAATTACCCACCTTCATCTTCTCGTTCTGAGAATTATTTCCTTTGGCTGCACTAGATTTAACAGTCTAATGTAGAAATATAAACCCTAGACATTCTTTTGCAGAAAAACTAATGAGCAACCAGCACGGATTAGTTGCAGAGCCGTCTAGAACAGTTGACACTAGATGAAATTAAGCAACCCTCATCATTACTTCAAAGCAACGCTTATTTTACACCCCCTCATCATACTACAAAGAGAGCTGAAACTGAGAACCATTTGTCTCTCGTACATGCATACGTAATTGTGATGCTGGGTGAATTCACGTTCCTGATGAATCTACGCACTCGGTTACTTCATCCTATAACTCTTAATACGTACTCTGTTATTATGTAGACGAGAGGATATTTTAATTGGTTCTCCATACAACTAATTGCAATCAAAGCCCACGTTCATTCCCCATAATTACAGAATGGAATCAAATCAGGCATCATAAGACGCCATAAATAACTCAAATTTAAATTGAATCATGGTGAGGAGAAAGATGCGCAAGGCTGGAGGAGTGCAAGTCGAATTGTATGTCTCCAGTGTCTCGACTTAATTAACTCTGTCCCCAATTTTGGATCAAGGCTGTTATTCGTACGTCGACATGCACGACATTATGATATAGATATGACTCACTCATCCTTTATTCCCATATCTCTCGCAAGGAAGGTACGGCACAATGTCATTTGTTATGGAGAAATACCACGCGACCGTGGGTGGGTTATTAGTAAGTCAGTAGATTCATGTTTTATACGATAATCTCTTTCACTTAACCAGACAAGGTTGATGGTAAAATAGTGTTGTGCTGAAAGTTGGAATATTTAGTTGTCGGTCTCACAACTTGATTATAACAGATATGGTTCCCAGTTTTATTAAACTTTTGTTTCACGGCTTGAAAATGACGGCAACTTCATGAAATTCAGCATATTTAAGCGTTTTAATTATGTTTCTACAGCAAAAGTGCAAAGTTGTGTGACGTTCAAACCCATGGTCCAGATAATGTCCACCACGC